TGGTATCGCCGTTATCGACTCCAACCCCGGCTGGTATGGCGCCACCAACAACTTCTTCCGCCAGATTCGCAACTTCAAGATTGACCTGACTGGACAACCCATCAATACCGGCACTGGTATTCGCTGGCGTGTTGCTCAGGCCACTTCGATCCAGAATGTCCAGTTCATCATGAGCACTGACACGAGCACAAACAACAAGCAGCAGGGTCTCTGGGGAGAGGATGGCTCTGGCGGCTGGCTGAGCGACCTCACCTTCACCGGTGGTGCTCTGGGCATGTGGGTTGGCAACCAGCAGTTTACCAGCCGTAACCTCGTCTTCAATGGCTGCCAGACTGCCATCTACATGAACTGGAACTGGCTGTGGAGCTTCCACGGCATCACCATCAACAATGCCAACGTTGGTATCGACATGAGTGGCACTGATGGTAACGGCATCCAGCAAGTCGGCTCTATTTTGCTTGCCGACTCCAAGATCTCCAACACAAAGGTCGGCGTGCTCACCAACCACGACCTTAACCAGGCAGGCACCTACGGTACTCTGGTTCTGGATAACGTGGACCTGACCACGAATACCCCCATTGCCGTCAAGAACGCTCGTAGCGGTGCCACCCTCCTCGGAGGAAACGCCAACATCGCCTCTTGGACCCAGGGCCGCGCCTACACCAACAACAACGGAAAAGCTGTTCAGGGCACCCGTGCCACCGTCTCCAAGCCTGCTGCGCTGACCGCTGGTGGCAAGGTCTTCACTCGCAGCAGGCCCCAGTACGAGAATGTCGCCGCTAGCAACTTTTTGTCTGTCAAGTCTCGCGGTGCCAAGGGCGACGGAAGCACCGATGACACCAAGGCCATCCAGGCCGTCTTCGACAGCGCTACCGCGAACCAGATCGTCTACTTCGACCACGGTGCGTATGTCGTCACCGACACCATCAAGGTCCCCAAGAACATCAAGATTGTCGGCGAGGTCTGGGCTCTCATCATGGTTGGCGGTACCAAGTTCAAGGACATCAACAACCCCCAGCCCGTCTGGCAAGTTGGTCAGCCCGGTGATGTCGGCAACGTCGAGATTCAGGACATCATGTTCGAGACCCTCGGCCCGCAGCCCGGCGCCATCATTGTGCAGTGGAACGTTGCCGGTTCTTCTCAGGGTGCCGCCGGTCTTTGGGATGTCCACTTCCGTATCGGTGGCTCTGCCGGCACTCAGCTCCAATCCGACCGCTGCGTCAAGACCCCCAACCAGACGACCAACCCCAACCCCTCGTGCTTTGGCGCCTTTTTGCTCCTACACGTCACCACCTCCGGAAGCATCTATATGGAGAACACCTGGCTCTGGGTGTCTGACCACGAGCTCGATCTTGCCGATCACAGCCAGGTCAACATCTACAACGGCCGTGGTCTCTTGATTGAGAGCACCAAGGGCACCTGGCTGTGGGGTACCGCTTCGGAACATAGCGTGCTCTACAACTACGCCCTGAACAACGCTCAGAACGTTTACGCCAACATCCTCCAGACTGAGACCGCCTACATGCAGGGCAACCCTGATGCCAGAGTTCCCTTCACCTCCCAGTCCAAGTATGGTGATCCTGACTGGTCCAGCTGCACCACGTCCACTTGTGCCCGTACCTACGGTATTCGCATCGTGAATTCGAGCAACACCCTCATCTACGGTGCCGGCATGTACAGCTTCTTCAACAACTACGACGGAAACACTTGCGTCAATGCCAACAACTGCCAGGACAACATGATTGACATCCGCAACTCTCAGGTCAAGCTCTTTGCCATTAGTACCAAGGCCAGTATCAGCATGGTCACCCTCAACGGCCAGCAATCTGTCTTTGACAGGGACAACCGCAACACCTTCTGCGGCACCATTGCCTCTTTCGAGACGTCATAGAAAGACGACCAAGATGCTCTGACTGCCTCTGCCACAGGGCCCAAAACAAGCCCTGGGGCTTACACTAGGCCCGTTCCTGAGCTTCCGGGAAAGCCGCAACCTACTGAAAGCGTCTTGCCCACATCAACAGGATCTCTGCCGCCAGGATACGGTTCTGAGGAGGCTGTAACGATAACTCGGACCGTGTTTATCAGCCCAGAGCCCCTACCCACTGGAACATATCATGACTGAAATGTATATATGCGATATGCTTGGGAAAAACTCGAGCATTTTTTTCTTACTCTTGATTCTCTATTGCTCTGTTCTATAACGATCTGATTACCCTTGATCTCTAGGACGCCTTGTCATTTGTGGCAAAAAGAGAAGATTTATTTCCTTTGTCATTTTTGGTCTTGTCTTTTTTGGTCTATCTTTTGGGCATAACTGTGGGAAGGGTAGGGGGATGGAAAAGGGATAGCACTGACGTGCAGCATTGGTAGAGATGAGTAAAAATACGAGTTGATTGACTTGCCACATTGATTGTCTATGCTTTGCTTTGATTGTGACGGTTTGGTTTGAGTCCTAGTAATTGTTTGCTGTTTGTGATTTGCTACACAGCACGTGTCCGAGGGTGTTGATAGTGCATGGCGAGCTTGGTGTAATTTGATACTAGGATTAGATGTGTGTGATGCAAGGCTACACTAAAGCAAGGGATGACACAGAACATGTACATCACAGAATGCTATTGATTTGTATGTTATAGTCCAACAGCTTAGAAAAGTAGAAGAAATGATCAAAATCCAGCAGCTCAAAGTGTATGCATGCATGTGCACTTAGGTAATGCAAGATGTCAATATATAGGTACATGACTGAGAGCATGATGCAAAAAACCACCAATACATCCCCGACAGGCAAAAATACGGCATAGAGAATGTTCGAACGGAGGAGCAAAAGTGAAGACTCCTTTGGGGGAGCAGTGTAAGAGGACTCCAAGTTGGTTAAAGCAGCTACTTCACTGGATTGTAGCTCGTTTGTTTTGGCTTATAAGGACCTGTGAGGCGCGGCGGGAGGATGTGAATGTTGGTGGGGTGAGTCATGCCGAGCGCTGGCTGGAGGTCATGTTTGATGCTTCAATGGAATTTTTGAGAGATGGCTTGATGGATTGTAGTGTATGGTGGAATAGAAAAAAAATTGAATTATTGCTTTGTGATATGATATATCCAGGTGAATAATACGACAAGGACGCTGCAACATACGAGGAGGCTGGTGTAAGTGCACATCTACATAGGTACTAGGCCTACTAAGTCCACGATCTTGTCTGCTACGTCGGGTATTGTACAATATGGGCAGAGCAAAAAGAAGAAGAAAAAAAGATGCCACAACAGCTTTTCGAACAAGAGACAAAAAGTGAAGGCTCCAGATTGGAGAGAACTTTCGATCGATGACAGATTGCGTTATTCAGCTACTTCACTGAATGTCAGCTCGTTAAAGTTGCTTTATAAGGGATGTTTGTGTGGTGAGAGACGGGCTGTGATTGGCTTGTTGGAGCCGGGATGGCGATGTGGGGAGGTGAGTCACACACCGAGAGCTAGACAGAGCTGTAGGCTGGTGCAAGTCTTGTGTATGGCATCATCATTGCTTGATTTGGGGTGTTGTCTTGAGCTTCTGGATGAATTTTACAGTGAAGATTGGTGATTGATGTGATGATGGAGATTTTGGTGTGTATACTCTAAGTTTGTGAATGTGAACATAGGGAAAGACGCCGAGGCTGTAATGATATGGCTAGCTCTAAGAAAGCATCTACAAAAGCATCTGCATACATGTAACCCGTGATTTAGAAAGACAAGACAAAGGAGAAACAAAACAGAATGCATCAGACGTGAGTCGAACAGAGTGACAAAAAGTGAAGTCCCCAAATAGGGGAGAATAAACTGATTACGGAACTCTCCGAAGAGCATCCCATTTCCAAAGGAGTTATTGAGCTACTTCACTGACATCAGCTCGTTTAATTTATTTTATAAGGGATCTTGGTGTTATGAGATTTAGACTGTGATTGGTCAAGTAGAGCTGGGGTGGTGATGGGGTTGAGTCACGCCGCGAGCTGTAGTTGGAGGCAGGCGGGTGTAAGGCTTGTGTATAGCATCATCATTGTTTAGTATGGGATTTTATTCAGTGATTCTGAAGGAGTTTTACGTTGTTGATTGGTTTATTGATAGAGATTGAAGTAGCTATATTCTGGTCTTGCGAATTTAAAGTCTCAGAAGCCGTAGAAAATGAGGCCGGGTCCAAGAAGGTACTCGGGCTACGTCTATATTCACACACATGTAATCCGTATTACGTGCTTAGTATGATCATGGGACAAAAAGAGATGAGCTAAAGAGAAAAAGAATGCAACAAACGTTACTCGAACGGAAAAACAAAAAGTGAAGGCCCCAAATTGGGGTACAAGTTCTGCGATTGGAACTCTCCGAAGAGCGCCCCTTTGAAAACTAGTCTCATACTGGAGATTATTGAGCTACTTCACTGAGAATCAACGCGTTTAACTTGCTTTATATAGACAGTTTGAGCAAGGGATAGGAGGGCTTTGATTGGCGTGTTGGGTAGACATCGTGGCTGTGCCCATGTAGGATCTAGGTCTTAGTCATGGTATAAGAGTTGTGAAAGGATCAAAGATTATGTATGACAGGATGTAAATGGCTAGTGCCGTTGTTGGCTACGATGGCTTCAATATTCATGCTTGGGCTAGAGCTTTGATGAAGAGAAGTATCATCGTGGGAGAGTCGTTTGATCATTGAACAAGAATTGCCTGTGGACTAATCTTAAATGTGACACTCTGAAGCAGTACTACCCAAGAGTTGGACTGTCCACGCCCAATATGGAGCAAGATATAAACCCATGATCAAAGAAAGCAATCTCATAGCTTCTCAAAGACTCCATCCATCTTCAATATATACCTGTTGATCGCTGAACATTCTATATAACTGAGAAATACTATTGTGCTGCCCCAAGTACAAATTCCAACAGCCGACCTACTTTATCCGCGACCATAGTCTGTCACCTCTATTGGGCAGCCAACTCGACCATCTCGTTGTTTCGTTGTAATTTAGATTGTTTGTGTCCACAATTGTCGTCAAGTGCCGTTGTGACCAAGCAGTTGAACAATATCGTGATATCCCTTCTCAGATGCATACTGCAGCGCAGTCGTGTGATACTTGTCCTTAACATCGACTTCTGCACCCTTCTCAATCAGTATCTTGGCCATAGCTGTATGTTCATCCCTGATGGCCCTAATCAGCGGTGTTTCGCCATAATCATTCGTCGTATCCAAATCAGCGCCCTTGTCGATGAGCAGCTGCATAATGTCCTCCCGTCCTACACAAACTGCAGATAAAAGCGGCGTGCAGCCATCGTAGCCCTTAATCTCCATATTAGCTCCATTGTTGAGAAGCAAATCGACAATTCTCTCGTGGCCCTTTTGAATTGCCAACCATAGTGGTGTCTGGCGACGATTATCCTGTGAGTCGATGTCGGCTCCCTGCTCAATCAACATGATGGTGACCGAATAGTGTCCGTTAAAGGCGGCATAGGCGAGAGGCGTTAGTCCTTCGTCGTCTCTTGCATCTGCGTCCATGTCGCTTCGGTCGAGGAACATCTCGACAGCGGCTTCGTGTCCCCCCTCGGACGCATACGAGAGCGGCGTCCTCCCGGAATCGTCTCGCAAATGATGCTGCGACTCCCCACGGGCCAGCAGCATTGATATGATGGTTTTGCGCCCGTTTGCCGCTGCATGGAACAGCGGTGTCTGCCCTTTACTATCCTTTGAGTGGATGTCGATATCGCCTCGAGTCAGCAGAAGCCAGACAACCTCGGCATGGCCCTCTTTGGCTGCATGAGACAGAGGCGTTCGTCCGCCTGAATCCTTTTCATCTGGCTTGACATCACGCCGCATCAAGAGCGACCATACGATTTTCGCATGCCCGTTAGCCGCTGCATGTGACAGAGCTGTTCGTCCACTCCTATCCTTCTGATCGGGCTTGGTGGAGCGCTCCGCAAGTAGCCATTGCGTCTCCAATACACGCCCTGCTTTTGCCATGTCGAGGAGCGAAGGCTGTTCTCCGGTGTTCCAATTCACTGGCGGCGGTGCTGACGAGCCATTGATAAAATTGATCGTCGCGTCGAACAGACCCCAATCAGGATCATCACGAGGGTTCGGTTGGGGTTGCCCTTGCGCTGCAATACTTGCGCTTCCTATACGGCTGAGATTTCGCATTCGCGTTGTTACTGGACGATGCTGCCGGACGTTGATCCATCTTTGAGGGCGTTGACTTGGTCGAAAGGGCATGGGATCAAACAACTCGTACCGTTCGCACCAGACTCTCTCAAAGTTCTCCATGGTAAGGGATACGTCTTTGAGGTATATCGCAATAAAGTCGTGTCTCTTTCTATTGCGTTCTGCACAATGCAGGATGGCGAGCCCCAATCCTTGATGTCCTACTCCCATATAAGATAGCTCTAGGCGGATACCCTTGTTACTGACTGTCCAAGATCTACTGTCTGGAAGCCAGCCAGTGCGCCTGCGGACAACGTTGCCGGAATGCTCAAACGCATCTGGAGATGTTGCCAATAGCGACGAGTGGTGCTGGGTTTTGGATCTCCAGGCGAAAATGCTGTCGTCGTCCGTCACCTTCATAATCTCCTCTTGGAGTCTCATAAAGGCCCTGTCCCCCTCGCCATACAACAACGGCATGTTGATGCCGAATATGCCCATGAGACAGTAGGCTCGGTCTTCTGACCGTGATGTTTGCCTCGAGGCGGCCCATGACATTTTCTGAGCGACACTTACACTCCCGAGACTGGAACCCGAGAGAACGCTCATCGGTATGCCGGTACGCTTGGAAATTTCTTGTTTCAGGCTTTCTCTAGTGCCCAACTCGTTCCATGCGTCGTCTAAGAAGATCATCGTCTCTGGCGCAATCAGCTCTTGAAGCGTCCACCCTCTGGTAAACCACCTGCTCTCCGAAAAATCAACCTGTGACGGCACGTCTGCGAGAAAGCCATAGCAGACGTCGGCTTCAGCGTACCACTGGTACATGGAGTTGATGGCCTCGGACAGCTCAGCGCTGCTTGTCTTGTCGATGCAACACGTGTCCACCCAGGCATAGTCGTATCCGTTTGCCCTTGCCAGGACGCAGCAGCCTCTGATTTTGTCGTAGCCTTTCTTGTTGGCGAAGCGACCAAGAGTCATGTCCTGAAAGGTGACTTCTTCTTCGCCCCAGGTGTGCGACAAGATGGCGTAGGGCGGGACATTTTCTTGGCCGAATTCTTTTAGCTCAAACCCCCCGGTGTCGAGCTCTTTTGTATGGAGTAGACGCATAACGAAAAGTTTGGCAGAGTGACTACTCTTCTTTTCATTGCCTTGAAGTGGAAAGTTGATTCGAGCTGAGCTTGAAGAGCTCTGAGGGGAATCTGGTGAGGGGATATATGGGCATTTCAGGTTGTGCTGCACTCAGCCCGCACAGAGGTCTTGCCATGTTCTAGCGCGTCTTACACATGTGCTTGCGTGGGAATATTACATGTATCCACGCACGCATATCTAAGGTACGTAATATATATCACCAATGTATTATCATAAATCATTTTGGAGAGTATGTCGCCTACAGAGCATTATTGAAACCATCTAAAAAAGAAACACATTCTAGCATTGTTCTTGTTCTGACCGCCCGTACGAATGGACTGCTCCCCGCGTGGTTCGACCAACATCGTGGTTTGCTTGCTGTGATCGACCAAGGGGGTTTGTCCTTCGGGGCTCCGGCGCTGATCCCGGCTTGGGGGGAGCTCGCCGGAGCCTTGCTGTCGTTGCTGTTGCTGGCGAGGGTCAACCCACGACGTGGTCCGCGTGTTGTGGTCGACGAAGTAGGCTCGTCCTTCGTGGGTCCAGCGTTGCTCCCACCCCGAGGGAAGCTCGCCGGGGCTGGGCAGGGTAGAAGTAGAACCTGTATGCATCATAGCCGTATAGCTACTACCGTCGAGGGCGGCATTAATAGCAACGGCGCCACTAGAGCTGCCTGTGCCGGAGCTCTGCGGTTGTTGCTGGAGAGTGGGCGAACTTGTACCGGTCCAATCCTCGGGAAGGGTTCTGTTGAGTTGCACTTTCTGAGAGTCTCCCTCCCTTTGCTCAGCTTGGCTGTCAGCTCCCTTTGACTCTGGAGTATAATCCCCGTATGCCCAATATTTGAGAGCTGAGAACGAAAAGACTGTATCTGGATGATTTCGCCCCAATACAGAGAGCTCATGTTCCGCACACTCTACCATTAGCGCAAGCGCATCAACCAGGCGGCCCTGGATCTTCCATATGTGAGCAAGGAATTTCATGGCTCTAATAGTATCCGGGTGGTGTTTTCCTAGAATATCCCGTCTTAGGTCAAGTATTCGAACGCTAAGAGTCTCTGTCTCCTCATACCGGCCCTGTCGCTTATATATATATGCAAGATTTCCTATGCTGTCTATTGCATCTGGATGTTTATCTCCTAGAATTTCCTGTTGAAGATCCAGTGCTTGAAATGTAAGAGCCTCTGCCTCGTTATACCGACCTCGTTCACAATATGTTATGGCCAGGTCTTTCATGCTCCGAATCGTGTCTAAATGTTTGTCTCCGAGGATTTTTCGTCGAAGATCTAGTGTTTGAACTCGAAGAGCCTCTGCCTCGTTATGCCGACCTTGTTCATGATAGGTTGTTGCAAGGTGTTTCATGCTATCGATTGTGTCCGGATGCTCGTCTCCGAGGATTTTTCGTCGAAGATCTAGTGTTTGAACTCGAAGAGCCTCTGCCTCGTTATGCCGACCTTGTTCATGATAGGTTGTTGCAAGGTCTTCCATGCTATCAATTGTGTCCGGATGCTCGTCTCCAAGAGCTTTTCGTCGAAGATCGAAGACTTGAACTGCAAGAGCCTCTGCCTCGCTATGCCGGCCTAGATCATTGTATGTCATTGCAAGGTATTTCATGCTAGAAATCGTGTCCGGATGCTCGTCTCCAAGAACTTGTCGTTGAAGATCGACGATTTGAACTCGAAGAGCCTCCGCCTCTTTGTGCCGGCCTTGTAACTGGTATGATAACGCAACGTCTCCCATACTAAATATTGTATCTGGGTGCTTTTCTCCCCACCTTTTTCGGTCAATTTCTAAGCCCCTGTTACTGACAACTTCACTCTCCCTCCAACGCCCACGATCGTTAAGAAAAAAGAACACTCTTTTGTAGAGATGGTGCCTCTCGGTTTGTTTTTCGTTCAAATCCGCCCAGTCTCCTATTTGAACGGCATGTGCTAAATATTTCTCACATTGCGTCCAAGTTTCCGGTTTCGAATCTGGGAAAAGATCATCTATGACTTGCACAGCTATACCAGAAAAATATCGCTCGCCTTCATTCCCCAAGGTAGCCTTATCGAGAATGCTGGCTTCCCACACGCTTAGGCCATATCGTGTAGCCTCCTGAACCAGTTTGTGCATCTCGTAATTCCGACTGCCATCTTCCATTTGGTGCATACCAAGAAAGGAAAACTCTTTCAGCCGTGTGACCGCCTTGGTAGCCTCAGCATCCAACTTCTCTAGCTGAATAGCGCTGTGCTTGAGTGTAGTTGTTATAATGTCGTGTGAAATATTCTGATTGGCAACATATGCGATGACGTGGAGAATATTATACGCAATCTCGCTTTCTTGTCTGAGGCGGTCAATTGAGATGCTCCATGTCTCAAGGACGTTGTTAGGAACATCAGGTCTCCGATGCCTATCGAACTCATTTGCTTTGAGAATGTCCCATCTTCTTTTGCTTTGCGCTAGAAGAGATAAATACTCTTTGGGTGATGTCGACGTCCGTCTCATATACGACCCGGCTTGCATAATGGCCAACGGAAGCCACTGGAGTTGTTCTAGCAAGGCAATAGTTTCCACTTCTTCTCTTCCCACCTCCAAGTTCCTTGCTGTTTTCAAAAGAGTTTCTGCTTCATCGGATTTCATTTGGGCAACCTCAATGCTTCGCGCTGAACCCACAAGCGTCCCCGCAATATGAGCGTCGCGAGAGGTCCATAACACTGTCCCGATGGACGCCCGAGGGATGTATTGAAATAAACTCTTTGTCTGCTCTGGTGCTTGATCAACACCAAATAGCCGTAGGTCGTCGGCATTGTCGAGAACAAGCACCCAATTTGGCTGCGCCGCTATTTGATCGCGTACAGCCGCGAATAGATCTCCATCTTTGAGTTGCTGATCGATGTCGAATGCTTGGGCTATTGTTTTGTAATCTTGCGAAAAAGTTGCCTCGTTGTCGGCATGCACCCAAAAGACGGAACAGTTTCTTTTATCGCACCGTTGATACGCATAATTGAGGGCAATTTGTGTTTTCCTTGGCGCTTTTAGTAGTCGTACTCATACGTAGATTTGAAGCACAAGAGGTTGGGAGTTACCCTGATCCGCCGAGACCCCAGAGAGCCGCACTGCAGTATGTGTGTGACTCCTGCGGTAGGAGCTCATTGAGCTTTTCCATGAGATCTGGGCGATTGACAAGATCCTCATTGAGTGGATAAGGAATATTGCGGATGGCGGATCCAGCTGACCGTCGTGGTATATGTATGTTGTAAGTGTGGTTGCCTTGATCGACAGTGGCATTGTCGCCAAATTGAGAGTTGTGAATCTCGCGTCGACAAGACGCTGGTTGTTCCATTGTGTTGTTTGATTCCCGACAAGCTAATGATAATGCTGATCAATCTTGGTGCATAAACGTAATCTTTTCTAATCGAAGGGAGCCCTTGATGCCCAACAGAATCGCAAGGCTGGGAGCATCACGAGACCTGCAGCTACTGATTGGCTAATATACCTAGGATGATGCTGATAAAGGTTACATATAGGTAGTTACATGTTATTACCTCCTCTAGAAGTGTGTTTTGCCCATCAGTGGCCGGCTATGATGATAATAGCATTTCCAAGATATGAAAATTTGAACCTTAATCTGCCCATGTTAATAGACTGTTGGTTTCGCGCAGCTTAACTATTATTGCGATGTAACAGCCTGCATCTGATAAGTCTGTTGACTGATTAACAACTTGATCCATTTTCGTTCATGATAGAGCGTGTCGATGAATGTCTAGATCTTGTTTTTTTATCCATCTATCATCATCTAACCAAAGTACCCAAATTTTTGCTTACTCTTCTACACACACCTTCATGGAGTAGACATCCTCGTTCGTCTCAAGCTTATACCTTCAGATCTAGATGGTAAGACCTAATGATTGAGTCTGTGTCGTCAATAGCCAGGGGCCGAATGTCCGCCATTTGCTTAATCTTGGCAGTCCTGCGCATAATGTCAATATCGCCCGTGCAGTGAAACACCGCGGAGAAGAGGGGGGATGCGTACACTTCCTTAACTTGATCATCGGAGAACTCCGCGCCCAGGCCTAGCTGCTCGATTCGGGCCTTGACAGCATTCCAGCCTGTAATTCTTGAATTAATGGAGACATAGCGTGTCACTGAAAGCAGACATTAGCATAGAGGACTCGATAGAAAGGGTGGTGGGCGTGGACGCACTTCCGAAGTCGTGCGGATTGATGATCTCGTAGGTTGATGGGTTAGCAAGAATAGCTATAAACATAGTTAGCGCTGGAATAGGGGTGACTGCAACTTCTTCATCTTACCCTTAGCATGGATGCCAGCCTTGTGAGTGCTGTGTGCGAGTTAGTTAGATCGGAATCAGGTAACCGTCACCGATCAATGAATAGCTTACAATGCCTATCTCAAGGTTAGCGGGAACAAGATAAGTATGCTCGGACACAGGGACAAAAAGAAAAAGTGAGGTCAGTGATGCAAGGAAGATGGGTAGAGGAGGAAATAATGTGTATGAGTGTCGACTAGTGGAGGAGTGAAACGTACGCAAAAGCCCGTCACAGGATTGTTGAACTAGGAACGAGATTAGCTCAACACATCAGAGTTCAGAATGCTCTCCTTATCCTTACTGGGATGTTGATCTGGACAGCATCGGCAACCAGGGTTTCCAAGCTCTTCAATGCCTTGAGATTATACTTCGACTTGACATAGTCCGGTGCTGTCACAACCATCCGGGCCATCAAAGCACCACTTCTCTTGGGGTCAGCGGTTTTGCTGTTCCTCAAGATGGACGATTATCCTACTTACAGCGGAGTAATGCCATTGCGTTCGCCGATTCCCAATACCGAGGTGTCAACGTGCGTGGCTCCGGCTTCGAGCGCAGAGTGTGCATTTGCAACTGCGCAGCCCGTATCGTCGTGAAAATGGGTCTCTGGGGTTAGGGTCAGCCAAAGGTTTCATAAGTTGGGAGCTCGATGATGGCCAAGGTTACCTATGTCACAGCCCACACAGCCTATACATATGAGTTAGTTACGGGAGTCTGCAGGTGATACTGAAAGACACGGGAACTCACCTCTCAGTGTTCTGATCAAGTCGTAGACCATCCTTGGCGTGGCTCCGCCAACAGTATCAGCGACGCCTCTGGGATCTGTTAGCTAACCGAACGCATGCAACACGGTGGGAAACGATGTCCGTACACTCGGTTGACACCAGCCTTGTCACAAGCCTGGTAGAGCTGTAGGATATCGACGAGGTTGCTCCTGAAGGAGTCCTCACTTGAAAAGCGGACTTCAATGCCCTTGCTGAACTTGAACTTAGCTCTCATTACGGCGGCATGGGTTAACTTGTCGGCGGGTAAACAACCTCTTGACATAGGCAATGACCTCCAGGGCAATGGATTTGATCATATCCATGCTCTTGCCGTGGGAATATTCCCGGAGGAAGCTTGATGTTCCAATGACCTAACAAGGCATAAGCAGTTGAGCAATCGAAAGAGGATTAGAGGAGGCTACCAGGTCGACGCCATCCACGCCGCACTCGACTGCCTTTCTCGCATCTTCCATATTACAGCGGACGTGGGTAAGGATCTTGGCCTAGAGATGCATAGTGTTTAGTTATATGTCTTAGTTATTGAGAGCGACGACTGTCCCGCTATCAAAATGTAGCCATCCAGCGGGCCGATCGATACTGCAGTTGAGCTGAGAACGAACCTTGAGACCAAGCTGACAGATGGCCTTGCAGTCATCATAAGAAGCTTGACTAGCTACAGGGCTGGTCAGCTCGATGTAGTCTACACCAAAGTTATCGCTTTACCAACTGTGTTAGTATGTGGTTCATCGTATATTGTGATGTTGTTTACTGACAGTGCTTTGGCGATCTTGATCTTAGTCTCGAGATCGAAAAAGGCGTTGGCAAACTAGTAACAGATGTGAATATCAAAGAAATATCGTAGAAAAGGAAAAAGAAGTCGGGTCGACGTAGGAATTGAGGATACGTACCTGCTCTCCTTCTCTCAAAGTGCTCTCTAAGATACAGCGTCAGTCGCTGTGATGTGATGCACACGAGGAGAAGGGGAAATTGCAGATTGCTGTACCAATGATCTTGAATCTGCCAACATTTGAGATGTAGTCCTGAACACGCTGGTAGGGAGAAGCCGCCGACAGGCCCCGGGCAGGATTGACGCCGTTTCTTGTTGATGTTGAGGGAGCAACATTGTCCGCCGTTGAGGTTGCGGCGGGCGCTGCGTCTCCGTTGCAGGTACCGCACATGATGTCGATCGACTGTGCTCAATGGCAAGCGTCGATGGTGTTATACGATGTACTTGAGCAGGATAAGTAATAAGTAATGCTGGAGATCTACAATTGAAGTCTTGGGCGTTCGTGATGTGAGTCAAAAGCGATTCCGCTGTCGGGCTACGTAGTCGGCGGGGGCACGGAAACTCTCCAGTCCAGATTGAGCTCAATTGGCCAATCTCGTCAATTCGCAGAAAACAAGCGTCGATTGGATCTAGTTCGATCTACCAGGTAATATTCCCACATACCTATATGGAGGCACTTATGCCAAGATGCCTCAAATGCAGCTTATAAGCATGGGCAGTTGCTGTTCTGGGAATATGAAGAGTCTTCGCGTTGGCAACCAATACGATAGTGACAATTTAAGTACAAGGTTGCAGACAAGATGAAGTTGAAGTTAATCATAAGAAGAAACGGAGAATTGGGGAACCTTGCTTTACTAGAGAAAGTATGTAGGCAATGCTCCGGTCCTTTCACTTTGTCAATGTGCTCGTTACTCCTGCGAGAGAGTGAGAGCGATAGTTCCCCCTAGTTGCGATAGCAATTGTTTCATGATTTCATACTGAATGATTATAGCTGTACTGTAAATAGGTACATATAATGAGATAAACTGTGCGATAATGATAATCGGGCGTTATTCAAGATTTATGCAATAGATGAAACGGCTGATGCCGCAACAGTAAAGACGAGAGCCGCAGAAGTGGCTGTTAATGACACCAGAAGAGTATCGTTTCCTTCTTGGATCTTGACTCCCATACCCGTATCACCGGCCCTTCAATTAATGAAACTCAGCAATTCAATCTTCTCTCAAGTATTAACAAGGGCATAGGCAGTCTCACTTTTGTTCTTCTTTCGACTTCTTCTCCCTGGCCTGCCTATCGTAAATTCGCCCCACCGCGGCCGCCACAACCAGCAAGACTATCACAGTCACGAAGATGGACGACAATAGTCGAACAAACAGTGTTCTTCTCGTTTTCGCTTTGTTTATGGCGTCTTCATCTTTGCTTAGTCCATCTTCTTGGTATTTCGGAGGCTCTCTCTCGTCGCCATACGCAGGGAGCTGAGTTCGTGGGCTAACAGGCGGACTCTCTGCCGTGGGGGAATCGCTGGCTGTAAATACGTCTGCGGAGAGAGCAGGGAAGCGCGTCGGCGTGTCTTTGGTCTCCATAGTGGACTGTAGAAGACTCACGGTGGCTTCATCGCGGTTGGCATTTTGGAGAGAAAGGAGCGTTCTGTCGGGCGTCAAGTGCTTAATATTACCACTGTTACTCTTGCTACTGCTTCTCCTGCTTTTGCATGGTGTTCGGAGAGACATTAATCAGCTGAGCAAATTTTTGTCTGAGGCTAAATGATCTCCATACCAGGGAAGTAGCGGTCACTGCGTGAAGTCTGTCTCAAGTTGAAATGAGAGCGGACGTTGACGACCTAACAACTCAAAATGTCGTTGGACCATAGGTTCGGGTAGGCAGGAATGTAAATCTTAGGCATCAGAGTGAGAGCTTCCCCGGGTTTTCTCCAATGCCTTTATTCTTGTAACTGAAAGAGCGCAACTTCATCTAAAGCCGATCCGATTCGGTCACCACTATTTGGCAAATACAAGACATAGGAGCGGCAGTGTATTAGTACTGTCATTTGTTACCTTTGGAGTGGCATTTCTGTAAGGTATCATATAGTCTATTGTGAGACTGTACACGAGCGGTAGAATGGCCGAGACATTCACATTCCTCGTTTTAGGGATCCAGGGGACTTGATGTTGCTACTTCAGAAGAGATAGCAACCACTTCATTCTCGAACGGTCAGATCTACCGAAATCAACAGACTCTTTAGAAAATATTGATGATCAGTAGCCACAAGGGGACATGTCTATTGCTCTGCCTGAAGGGTGGCCTTGAAGAGTCCTTTGCAAGGCCGTATGGCATCGTTTCATGACGCCAACCCTACCACGTGGGCCGATGACAATAAAAGGGAGGTTTCGATGTTAATTCAGCGACGTAATATTTGCCAACCCCGCGCGGGGTGTAGTAAAATGTGTTGTAGATTCGAGGGCGAATACTTGTGACAAGAAACATGATCAACAATTGTTGGGATGGAAAGTGACCTAAGTTGAAAGAAGTTTCAGTTGGTATCAGGGTTAGAAAATACAGGTAATTCCATGACGGATTATGCCTTTCTAGATCAATGCCTCTATGACTAGAAGGATGACGGCCATGGAGACCATTGCCATCAGACTCTTCCAAAAGAAAAGAGCTTTTGTATGCCTCTACATACTGTCAGTGACTCGACATAGTAGACAACTTCAGCCTCATTCCCTCAAGTTTGCCTGCCAACAACCAATCCGCCTCATATTATGCCCGCAGAGAACGCCTTGTCTTCCTGCCTCAAATGTAAACGGTGTGCTATTCCACCACCCATCGGTTAACCGTTCTGCTGTAAGGATCATGTCATGCAGAAATGAGAGCTGCATTACTGCTCTTCTGATTGGAGGACTGACCCAGCTGGTGCTGCCACAGTGCAAATCCCCGATATTCAGCGATTCCTTTCACGACGAGGCGACCAACATTAATTGGATTCGATTAGAGCCTTACTATATGTCGTTATTTGTAAGTGTACCGAGGTGGAATACGCCTGCATGTATCTCCAGGCAGCCAAATGCGCATGATACTGGATTAACCTGAAATGGCAAAAGACAAAACAAGGACCAGCTCATTTGACTAAATAATGTCTCCTTTACTCAAAACTGTTTTTCTCTTGTTTTAAACTAATGTTCAGTTGTAAACTCCAAACAAAACCTCCATCTACGTATCCCTTCGAATAAGCGCTTCCAAAGGTCATTCAATCCTATAGATTATCCTTCCGAAACCCTCCCCCATGGCTCGAACACTTGTAGAGATCTCCGATACCATATTCGTGAGAGGTAAACAAGGAAAATACACAGGCTCGGCCGTCAAGGCCTCGACGACTTCAAAACGTCCTCCCGTCTACGTGCCTCACGGCAAAGGAGTTATGAGATACAAGGACGGCACCATGTACGAAGGCGAGTGGGACAATGGGATATACTCGGGGCACGGGAAATACACCACCAAGACGGCCGAATATGCCGGCATGTGGTCCAAAGGCGTCAAGGCCGGCCACGGAAAACTGACGACGAGCGACGGGCGTGTGTATGACGGCTGGTTCGAGGCTGGCCGAAGATCTGGAGCCGGTACTCAAAAGAATAGCAAGACTGGCTCCAGTTACTCGGGCCAGTGGAAGAAGAATGTGCCATTTGGAAAAGGTGTCTGGCGCTGGGCAAACGGAGACTGGATGGAGGGAACCTGGAACAGCAGCCAAGCCAGCGGAAAGGGAACGACGTTTCGTCACTTTGGTAACGGGTCAATTTATGAAGGAGAGACGCAGAATGGGAAATTCACCGGTAGAGGAAAGATTACTTATCGCAATGGGGGAGTATATCGTGGGCTGTGCTTCAATGGCATGAGACATGGTGCTGGATCATACAAATCAAAGGACGGCGTGCTTTACGAGGGGACTTGGTCTAATGACGCCGAGAAAGGTGTTTTTGTAATCACCCATGTGGCCTCTATTGTTAAGAAGAAGCACAGGTATTGAGCCGCACTTGGTGAAAACACATGGACTGCGTACATACTAGAGTAACGAATTCTCTGTAGGAACTGTTTCATTGAGAGGGAACAAGTTGTCCTTGTCTCTCCGTCATGATAGCGTTGAGCTTTTAATTGAAGATGGAGCTGAGGTAATGGAGTGATAATGGCATATGAACGACAAAGTCGATGATGTGATGTATCCAACTCTACATGCAACCCGCAGTAAAATAGCCAGCTATATGATGAAACTACATGTACTGATATAGCTTTTGGCCCTGATAAAATGGGAGGCCATCAAGGTACATGCACTTTCCGGCCGAGGTTCCAACCTATTCTTTCATCACGACGCGGAACTCCGAGTGCTTACTCCTTTAGGATGCTATTTTGCCGGTCTCGTAGAACATCTTGGTCCTTTCTGAGAAAGATGATTAGAGATCATGTCCAGTTGATGTCAGGTGGGATTCATGCGGGTAAGTTCTGCAACGCTGATGCAATCCAGAAGGCGGTGTCTCATGTTTCCTCTCAACCGACCGAAACATTGGCTGCTCACTTCGACCTTCAACTTCAAATCTGGCCTTTGAGCCGCGTGCTACCCGCACCAATCAAGACTTATTGAAACCGCTTACTTGGGCATCTTGAATGTTTTTGCAAGATTATCCAATGTTCGAAGTTTACAATAACCAGGGCTCGAAAAAAAGTTGATAATCAGCTGATATGGTCAGGTTTCCTACCCAGGGTTACATTTCCAGATTACATGTAGCCAGGGCTAAAGCGGAACCCCCGGCCGAAGAGTCGAGGCCTTTACATGTAGGTACCTTTCAGACACTCATTGCTACGTCGTCGGGGTCGGGAGAGTCATGGGCGAATGAAAACCAGGGTACGGGGTCCAGCGGAGTGGTAGGGCCTGGCAGATCTCAACGAGCAAGATCAAGTCGCTCAAAAAGGATCTGAGACTCGCAGTACCTGATACATGACGTCGAGATTTGACTTGACAACAGGCTACGTTGATTACTACGAATAGATCGAGAAGCTGGCAAGACATGTCGGCCGTATACAAGACTGTATTTACAACATGGAAATGGCCCTAGGCGATGGCTATCCGACATAGTCATCCGAGATATCCATCCGAGATACTCCGTATTTGCATCTGAGTCACTCTGGGCTCTCATCTTCTTTTGTGAGAGGGGGCTAAAAGATACCATGACCTGATTTTCCCGCCAGATGTCACAGAAATGTGTGGGATGACGCCGGGGCCAGACCGCAAGGACTCAAAACGTGTGGACGCACAAAGAGTCGGCTGCCCTCGCTTATGTTGGGAAATGCATCAGAGACATGCAGCCTAGCACGAGCTCGATTGTGGACGTTGCGACAAAAGCATGTGTGGCTCTGAAGCTCACCATAAGCTGTTGGCTTTGATGATTTAGATGGACCTTTGCGGGATGTGACCCCTCGTGACAAACTGGCTTATCGTCGCCCAATACCATCATTTACGGCCCGTGGCAATGGGGATAAATCGAAATCGCAGCCCAGTCAGTATACCAAGTCGAGCCTGAAGTTAGCTCCTGACTCCTTGGACCAGCGGGCTCTTCGGCGACTTTTGTCGAGGCCTCCTGAGTGAGAATTGATTTGAAATCCAACCGGCGCTTCATGTCGCCATCAAGTGCCCGAGTGACAACTTCAAAGCCATGATGTCGCATTGCATGTCCTCGTCTTTGATTGATCAATAGCAATGCAAAGAGATATTATGATGCGAACGAACGAAACGGTGTGTGACGCAGCCATCTGCGGCAAAGTACCGCGTCTCAGGATTTTGACGTCGGGAAACTTGCGCCTGCTGACATGAGGACTGGATGTTGATGCCGGATGGCAGGCCAGACAGACACATGCAATCTCAGCCCAAGCAGAGCCTCGTCATTTCACCACTCATGCATGTGTGACAGGCCGCACGCCCGGAATAAACATCCAAGCTCCTGAGAAAAAAGGGATCCAGGGGGGCCAATGGGCCTTTTTTGCACTTTTGTTATCCACCGAAAAGTGACTCAGGCGCGGGCTTGAGCTGGTGCTGCCATCCGACAGATTTGGCGGCGAGGGATCCAAACGCCTTTGATGGTGAGAATTGCGCCATTCCGGCGGTGCCAGTGGCCAGCCGAAGCGTGTCCCTGAGCCAAAGCAGCTAGGCGCAAGTCGCCGCCAGAGATCGTCAATCGAAACCCCATGGGCAGAAATGTCGCGAGGGGTCCATTTAATTTGATTGACCTGGTGATGATGTCGAGAGAGTAGGTTGGCGTTGGTTCTGCAGGTTTAGGGAGGTCGCCGAGGTTGGTTCGTTCCATGCAGTCAACACTTCGGCCTCTTGTTGCGTTGATGCTACCTGCTTGGGGAAGCTGGATGCGGCATAATCGCTGCGCCAGGCACAGGTGTGAGCTGAAGGGCGGCCAAGAATGTCTCCATCCGTTGATGCTAGGCCGTGTCGGTATCCCAATGAGGGCATTGGTGTTGCGTAGCTTGCAATGTGATGGTGTTGCGCGTGTCGTTGTGTTATTCCAAGACACGAACTCCATATTACTATAGTAGCAACAAACCATCAGCTGAGGTCAGAGCCCGGCTCAAGCCACCCTCGCAACCTCGATCCCTCAGCGACCACAAGCAGCGATGTTGTACGATAGCACGGTAGCAATAGTTCCTTCTCTGCGGCACTCGCCGCTGTCGGGGCCAAGGCAAAATGGCCCGTCAGCGGCTCTCGGGGGTCTCTGAGGCGATCGTCGCGGCTCCTGGAATGGCAATCTCGGGAGTCGGCGCGGCGGTGTTGTGCTCCATGGCATCGATGGCGAGATCTGCCGGGTCCGGGGTTCAACGTCAGGTTCTGTTGCTTTCGATACGGCGGCCAACGTCGCAAATTCTTGCACGGCGGTGGCAACGCCGGCTTATGTCAGGCACGTGGACAGCGAGCAGAAGGCAAAAAAAGAAGTCAAAGCAAAGACTAGAACAAGAGAAAAAACTGGGAATTCAGTCATGGTTTTTCAACTTCTGGGGCGACGGAGTCCAGTCTTTATGACTAAAGGGATCCTCCGCCATTCCATCCCACCATCGGGTCGTCGGGGCGGGGCATCCCAAGGCCAGTCACAGGGCCTCAGCACCTCCACCGCAGCAGCTGGCAGCGGCTCTAGGCCTATCGGGTCGCTCAACAGTGGTTGCCATAGGGCGTTGGCTACTGTACAGGCCCCGTCCGTTAAGCTTTAGCGAGCCACGCACGCTGTGTGATAACGCCATTTTGGCGCCATCGCACCCAAGCAAAGCTACTCAACACCTACTGCCCGTTTCTGACTGGGTTTTTTTCCCTCCCCCTGCGACTCTGCAATCTTGGGGGTGCAACCCAATATCGATCTCGCCGCCTCTGTCAATCACAATCCCCGGCCTGGCTCCTCCTCCTCCGCCGTCCTGCAGCGTCTGTCGTGTGAGCAAAGACGGAAAGGATTGAACACGACAAGACACGCTGACTGGATAGTTGCGAACCTGCTGGAAACCGAAACTGCAGCCCTGCGTCCGACTCGACTTGGCCTCTGCACTGCCGAATCAGCGGGCGGCCAACCGTCAGAATTCCTCCATCAAATTCCATCATCCGGATTCCATCATCCTCACCACCGCGAGCGCCACCAGCCAGAACTGCCATTCGCCATCCCTCGAACCGCAGAATCCCGTCGTGTTCGTATCCTCGCACGCAACGGCTCACGGGCCTCGTCCTGCCACTGCTGTCTCGTTAGACGGAACGGAGCAACGGGCTCTCGCAGCGTGTACTTGCCTGTAGGGTGGTGTCTCAGAATACCAAGGCCGGAGCACGCAATCGCTGGCCTTCTCGCTTGACAGCGCATGAGTCGCCGCAATCCCAATTAACCTTTGCTACGTTGTGCGATAAGCCTTCTCACCGCATATTATCCCCATGGAGTCCCTGTCGACTTCTCCCGGCCGCGAGCCGACTTCTCTCTCTTCCCTGTCTCGAGCCCACTATGACCACTCTTCGACGGCCGAAGCAGTTGTCACTGCCTCTCTAACACCGACTGCGACATCACCTTCGCCTTCACCTTCGCTATCCACCTCTACTGTCAACACTCTGCCTTCGTCGTCGCTCTCCGTCTCCGTTCCTGCTCTTGATCCTGCTTCTGTCGCTACCTCCAACTCTGTTTCTGCCCATCAGTCCTTGTCGCAGCAGCCGCCATCGAAAGACAACTGCGAGCGACGCCGCGAGGGTGAGGAAGAAATCCCCTCCAAGGGTCTCGTCAAGATGCCCTTCGACCTCGTTGGCAAGACCTTGAGTCCCTTTCTCAAAGAGCACATTCCCGACCAATATGCTCCCGTTGGCAAGAACCTCAAGAGAGACGACACTACCGGCACCGGCAATGCCTTGGTCAATATCAAGGACCCCAATACCAAGTACTGCTATCGCCATCGCCCCGATTCAAAGTGTCGTCGAGCCGCAGATGAGACCAAGATGGGAACCATTCAACGGGTATGTCCATGTCTAAATCAAGCTATCCCTGCTCGTCCTGTCTGACATGTCACCTTACTAACAATGCTTTCCCTTTCCGTTCTGTAGGAGCTCAACAGTCTCTCATCCGCCGACCAGGAAGCAATTACCCATGTCTGGTCTTTGTTCTCCGCCGCCCCGGCCAAACATCGCGAACTGATGCTGCAGGGCATCATCACCCAGTGCTGCTTCCCCCAGCTCTCGACCGTCTCCCGCGAAGTCCAAGAACAGCTCAAGATCGATTTCATCGCCACCCTGCCCGTAGAACTATCGTACAAGATCTTGTGTTATTTAGATACCGTATCGCTGTGTAAAGCTGCGCAGGTCAGTCGGCGCTGGAGGGATCTGGCCGACGATGACGTCGTTTGGCACCGAATGTGCGAACAGCACATTGACCGGAAATGCACAAAGTGTGGCTGGGGTCTGCCGCTATTGGAGCGGAAAAAACTCATGGCATGGAGCCGGCATCAACAGACGGCGCACCCAACTCCATCCAATCGCGCCGCCGAGGCTTCAGCTGAGCCCGCCTCAGCTCCCGCCCAAGGCTCCAACAAACGAGCCATGGTGGTTCGCGACGACGGCGCCGCCAAGCGATCACGGGTCAACAAATCGGGCAACGGCCGGGCGCAGCTCGACGAAGAACGAAAGTTTCGGCCGTGGAAGGACGTGTATAGGGATCGTTACAAGGTTGGATACAACTGGAAGACGGGACGCTGTTCCATCAGGACATTCAAGGGCCACGAAAACGGCATCACCTGCCTGCAATTCGACCACAACATCTTGGCGACCGGATCCTACGATACAACCATCAAGATCTGGAACGTCGAGACGGGAGAATGCATCCGCACGCTGCGTGGACACACTTCGACGATTAGGACCCTGCAGTTCGACGACGCCAAGCTGATCAGCGGAAGCTTCGACAAGACGATCAAGATCTGGAACTGGCACACGGGCGAATGCATCAGTACACTCCAGGGACACACAGATGGTGTCCTCTCCATTCACTTTGATGGGTGTAAGCTCGTTTCGGGCTCCATCGACAAGACGGTCAAGATCTTCAGCTTCGATACCAAGCAAACCTGGACGCTGCGGGGTCACTCCGACTGGGTCAACCATGTGCGCCTCGATTCCGCATCTCGCACCGTCTTCTCAGCCTCCGACGACCTCTCCGTTAAGCTGTGGGACCTGGACTCGAAGCAATGCATCAAGACTTTCTTGGGCCATGTCGGACAGGTGCAGCAAATCTTGCTGATGCCACCAGACTTTGAGCCTGACGAGGACCCCAACGCTGACAAGACCGATGCCGCATCAACGAATAGCGGACGGGGCGATTCCCCAGCACCTCTTCCAGACCAGACATCCGACCGGCGTGCTGCGTTTGGCTCCGGCTTCGTGTCGGATCCCTCTCGGCCTCTGCCTCCCCGCTACATGCTTACCGGTGGCCTCGATAATACGGTCCGACTGTGGGACATTGCCACAGGCAAATGCGTCCGCAGCATGTTTGGTCACGTCGAGGGCATCTGGGGCTTGGTGGGCGACACTCTCCGTGTCGTCACTGGTGCCAATGATTCCATGACCAAGGTCTGGGAGCCTCGTTCCGGCAAGTGTGAGCGCAGCTTCACCGGCCACGCTGGCCCTGTGACTTGCGTTGGGCTGAGCGATAGCCGCATGGCAAGTGGCAGCGAGGATGGAGAAGTTCGCCTCTACAGCTTCGAAGGTACCAGCTTGGAGGAAAGGGGAACGCCGTCTTAGGTGATGCCAGCCCCAGTTTGGTGGCAACGCCATCACACCACTAATCACCATAACGCTACTCTCGTTGGTTCTTGTATCCCAAGCGACTGTTGGTAGCACAACCCATGGCCCTTTGGCATTGAGTTCTTCTTTCGTGTCGAACTGATATTACCCTTTGATTTTTTTTTTATCTTTTTCTTCTTCTTCTCTACTCTATCTTCGGGTTTAGACGGATGATTCCTTAGGTTATGGAAACTGGATTGCGGTAGTAGCGCATAAACGGCATCTTATTTCTTCTCATCACAAAACACAAATCATAGAGCGATTTCTTTATTTCAATGGGAAACGGATACCCTCGGAGGGCAATTGGAAAACGGCGTTTCGGGCTCGTCCCAACGGGAATGCTGCGACTTAATGACTTGCAGCTTAGAGTACACATGGGAGTAATTGGAGCTTTTGGACTGTGTGAACGCTATTGTGGTTGTTGGGCACTTTTCTTCTTCTCAAGTATATAGCCCAGATTGATACTCTGTTTACTCGATCATGGTTCGTCAACACAAAATACACACGGGTTGCACGCATGAATAGGTTTACTTGGAGCAATTGTGAATGTCTCGAGTCAAAGCTGTGAATACTTTTGGTTGTAAATATCCTCTTATCAACACACCTTGTTTCTTCTGTCTTTTCTTCACAACCTCATCAAATAAATTGACTACTTCTACCTCTTGTCGTCTAAGGATTGCAAATTTCCGAATATAACAAACCAGAATATTCTTCCAGCTACAAGAAGCACTGACACCAAAACAATCCCTGATGCTAATCATGACCATTATAACAAGTTCCCTGCACACCTGCATCGCCGCCAGCGATATAAAACAGCCAGCTGCCGTCACCTTGCTTGTAAAAATCCACGTTTCCCACGTCGCACATGCCTGAGAGCCGAAAGTACATCGAACCCGTGGTCGAGAGGCCGTGGGGTGTTCGTGGTTGTGGGAGATGAGGGTTGGGCGTTGGGATATAGTCTGTGGTGTTATGCTGATAATGAGAGAATGAGCTTTTGTTTATGTTTATGGCGGGCATTCATCCAAAGGTTCAAAGGAAGTGTCTATAACACTGCGAATATGCATAAATCTCGATTCATGTAAACATTTACTGGAGAATACGGCTCATGACAGACGTGAGCAAGGTCCTCAGCCACCATCTTATACTGTGAATAATCTAATATTATATAGCAATTCCAACATTTCCTTCGCAAGCTACTCAGGAGTTGTATGTTGCAGATTCCTCTGTCATGGTCTCATAAGGGTAGAATCCCACTCGCCCTGATATATATGTATTATACACTTACACGATGCCAGCATCTAGAATAATACTAGAGCTGAAACAAGTGCATCCCAGCGCATTTTAAAATCTGAGGGGTATAGAATGAGACCTAGCCCAATGATTACAAGAACAAACATTGAAGCTTAGAATTATGCTTTAGTAGGAGGCAGAATAGTCCATTTATGTATACCCGCGTAGGTTCCTACATGCGTTGACTTGGCACAACCGATCAACCCGTACAGATCGCATCAACCAACAACATAATTGGGGACTCTCAACCTTGGTACTATACTAAGCTTAAAAGTCGTGCAGCCATATGCTATATTAGACTGGTTTACATCAGTAGGAGCGCCTATATCCGAGTACATCTTGCGTCCAGATGTGTACCTAGCTGGGCTTAATCTCACACCACAACTTTGACAAGGTTGCCAGGAAGGGTTACTTTGTATGTGGACCCAATCCTTTCCTCATCAGTGTGGCTAGTTGACTCTTCAAACAGCAGTGGCAAAATAATGTCGATTGTTAAGTATAATGATTGTAAAATAAATAGACTTGGAATCTCCACAGCTTCGTCGTTCTCCGAGAGTACCACTCGGCCGAGAGGTCGGTGTCCGTTGCCAGATCACACGCTCGTGTATAGCCCCTCTTGGATCAACGACATTAAGGATTGCTTCTGAAGCCGCAACCGAACATCTCGGCATACAGAAGTTGCCCGAAGAATAACGTGCCGTAGAATTAAATGTTCCGTTATACACAAGATACCCATACAGAGCAGCTGTTGTAACACGTGCTTATGGTGTAGCACATAATGTGAGGTTATAGGTAAGGTGTATACTTGGACCGTGAGCCGTGTATAACGCCAATAGTCATCAAATTGGTATAATTTCTTACTTTTACTGTATCATAGTCATCACCTGTAGTAATTATTCTAGGGAATTCCTATCCAGCACCCCAAGTCTGGTATCCAACACCCTAAGGTACTTACAAACACTATGCAAACGCCGCATAAAAGGGAGTACTCAGCGTGCTAACTTAGTAAAAGGACCATAAGTACCACTACTTTACAAGTAAAAACAAAACCTCTGCAAAAGCCCTTTTTTACGGAGGATTTTGTAAAAAAAAAAAAAAGAACGTATATAGATATCTTTTGGAAAAATTATAGGTATAACCTTTTTTTTATTTTGTGTTTCCTTTTTTTCGCTTTATATATATAGTAAGTGTAAATAATATTAAAGTACTACTCTGTATCTCCCACTAAATTTTGGGGTGTTGGATACCAGACTTGGGTGCTGGATAGAAAATCCCTTATTCTACCTAGCCTTACAAGAGCGCCGTTATAAATGCTATAAACTATGCCGTCACTTATAAACGGGATATTGATGGAAAGCGTGCAACTCCTTCATAGTAAACCATTCATCGCCAGCCACCCAGCTTGAAGCCCAACATACGAAACGCTCCTCCGAGTCAGTCATCTCATCCCAAATCGCCGGCTTTATCCAAAATGACGTTTCCCTCCCATAAGCCGAATTCCTCGCCTAGAGACCCTGGGGAAAACGAACCTCGGCCCAGCACGGCAAATCAGCGGGTCAACCCAGTCCGGTCCCTCCCGGCTTTGTCTTAGTAAGATCCGTGCCGGGGTACGTACCATCAAGGTGCAGATTGCGTGGGACCCCGCATTATCACAAGCTCGGCATGTGGTCGGTACGAGGAATAACGTCACTGGCTGGCGGCTTTTTGACATTTGAGATGATCTGAAAGAAAAAGGGAAAACACGCAGCAGATTTTTAACGTACATTGTCATTATTATCATGTGCTTTTCTCGTAGAAAAAAAAAACACAGCCGCGAATCTCAATGACGCCAAATCCCCCTGCTACATGTTCAATGTTTATCGTAAAGTCACACCCCCTGCATCCAATCTTCCGGCCACACGGAGCTCCTCCTCTACAGATCGGAATGGTCACTTCGGTCAGACAAGCCGAAAATCCTCCACCTGTCCGGCTATGTAAAACTTGCCCGTCAAAACACACACACACTTGAGTGACTCCCCCCCTTTCCCCAGCCAATGTGGGGACAAGCCCAGCTGAGAGCGAGCCGCGGGCCAAAGAAAAAAAGAAAAAGAAAAAAAAGCCAAAATACCAGTTGTCGATTCGATTTTCGCGGGGTTGGGAGAGGGCCAGCACCGGCTTAGCTTGGCTTTTGATAGCGTCTTACACTAACAGAAAGAACGACAACCCAGCTTTGCTCAGCCCGGCGGCCCGGCTTGCAACAAGAAAAAGAACAAAAGTACTTTTATAGGAGTAGAACAGCCAAAGTATACCGAGCTGTGGCTCAGGCTGTTTTTGTATCCTGTGACTTTGCGGTCCAATGGCCGTGGCTTATTGGTTTCGCCTCTAGCTCCAACGGGCAAAGGGGGCGTGTGTCCAAGGGAGACGAGATGGAAGCTAGACGCCGGAATCATATGTCAAAACCATGGCTGTTTCTTTAATAGCGATTATCGGCTGTCTGGATGACTCTTGTTTTCTTTCCTCTCCTCTCTTTTTCATCTTTCTAAGCTTATGCTTTTCATTTCACGATTCCTCTCTTCCTTTTCCTCCATACTATTTATCTTGCTTCTTCCTCGTCTTCCATCCCCTTGTTGGTGTGACTCTTGTATCATTCATTCTTCCCTGCCCGGTTTTCCTCGCTTGATTGAATAGCCGTTGCTACTCGCAACCGCAAATCATTAGCTATACCTTCCTAGCTTCATATAAGCTCGGCTCTTCTAGGAAACGCGCAAACATCCTCGGCAGTGACCCACGAGCCTCGCCTGGACGTTTTTTAAATAGGAAAGCTCATCAACGACACCTGAGCAGTGTTCAATTGCTCTGTTCCAGCACAGTTAAGCCTTCAAGATGCCTAGAGACGGCAGTAAACAACCGCCCTCGGCGGCGACAAACCTCATCGGTTCGTCTTGGCCCTCAATTGGATATCACGAGCTTCCAAGTTGTATTTGGCTAACATGATCTCATCGTTGCAGCTGGTGGTGGCGCCGGTATGATGGAAGCTCTCGCCTGCCACCCTCTAGGTACGTCCACCTCGTATAAGCCATTGCCAACTAAGAACAAGATGTTAATCTCGCAACATATAGACACAATCAAAGTGCGAATGCAGCTCTCCCGTCGTGCGCGGATGCCCGGCGCCCCCCGCCGCGGCTTCATCAAAACCGGTGTAGAGGTCGTAAAAAAAGAAACTCCCCTCGCCCTGTATAAAGGTCTCGGTGCCGTCCTGACGGGCATTGTCCCTAAGATGGCCATTCGCTTCACATCATTTGAATGGTACAAGCAGATGCTGGCCGATAAAACCACCGGCACCGTCTCAGGCCGAGGAACATTTCTGGCCGGTCTTGCCGCTGGCGTGACAGAAGCCGTAGCCGTCGTGACACCCATGGAGGTCATCAAGATCCGTCTGCAGGCGCAACATCACTCAATGGCCGATCCACTGGACATTCCAAAATACAGAAACGCCGCTCATGCTCTGTACACCGTCGTCAAGGAGGAAGGCTTCGGAGCGCTATATCGAGGAGTCAGCTTGACAGCATTAAGACAAGGCTCCAACCAGGCCGTCAACTTCACGGCATACTCTTACTTCAAACAGTGGCTCAAGGAATTCCAGCCCGAGTACGCCGACGGTAACTTGCCCAGCTGGCAGACAACCATCATCGGTCTCGTCAGTGGTGCCATGGGTCCTCTCAGCAACGCCCCCATCGACACTATCAAGACTCGTCTGCAAAAGACGCCGGCCGAGTTTGGCACCACCGCTTGGACAAGGATAACCGCCATCACCAGCGACATGTTCAAGTACGTTTCCTCCCTTTCATACCCAAAGCCTGAGATAGGACAAGAGAGCTGACAATTCCCTCCAGGCAAGAAGGTGTCCACGCTTTCTACAAGGGCATCACGCCTCGCATCATGCGCGTTGCACCCGGCCAGGCCGTCACCTTTACCGTCTACGAGTATCTCAAGTCGAAACTGGAAAAGAGTAACTTGGCCTTTGTCGGCGGCAAATATGAGGAGTAAGAAAAAAACGGCAGCACGTCGATGCATTTTGTTCTTGCGATATATACCCTTGCTTTTTTTTGGCCAGAAACGAGAGGAAAAGACATGGTCTGACCTGTAGTCTAGTTCTAGAGCAGAAATGCGACAAGGTCAGCCCCAGCATTCTTAGGGTTTGTGATCGATGACGACGATGGTGTTACGATACGGTGGTGAGCATGATGATGTTTAGAGGTTTTAATGGCAGCCATGGTGGCGTTGGATTTGTGTTCAGCTTCAAAATAGTAGAGTGGATTATATCTTCTTGTATAAAAAAGTATGGACAATGTCTATTCAGGCTAGATCGTTGCGTTCGTGCTGTGTCGTAACTCGTGAGGGCTTCTACCTGCCAGGGCGCTTGGGCCTGCTGAAACCTGATGAAGCCACCTTCTTGGGATGGAGATCGTTCAAAACTTCCTCCTCAGTAATCTCACTGGGGTCTTCCACCTCAAACTTCTTCTCAATGTTGATACCGGCGTCTTGCTCGGCGATGGTGAGAACAGCACGCTTCATCAGGGGGTACAGCATCCTGTTCTTGATGGCCTTGTTTCCAGCCGTTGCAGGGCAAGTGTAGATGAAGAGGATCGGCGTCTGCTCAGCTCCATCGTGGGTATGGGTGAACCGATAAAAGGTGAATCGTGGCTCGGCAGTGGAGATGCTCTTGATGAGCTCGGTGAGGGAGCTGGAGTTTGGGGTTTCGGGTGCCAGCTCTACTCGTTCGGTGGCCGCGTTGATTTTCTATGTGACACGGTGATTAGTTTACAGATTCAGCTGCCAAATCAGAAGAGCCGTGAATCAAACTCACCAGTGTCGTCGCGGCCTTTTGCCCCCCGGCAACCTCCTTCATTGCCGCAATAGCATCCTCGTTGACCGGCATCTTCAAGCTCTGGCTGAGATGGATTTCTCGGATGGCAGTGCCCGATCCAGCTTCCTGCTCCGCCCTCTTGACCTCGCCCAGCGACTTCTCCTCTTCAGTCAGGGGTGCCTCCAGGGCATTGTGCGCATCGTGGGCCTTGAATCCGTCCGCCGTCAATTCCTTGGTCATGGTCATGAAGGGCGTCTCGCGGAAGTGCTCCGTGCCCAGCTCCCGCACCAGCGTCAGCCGCGTCGAGGCGAACAGCATCTTCTGGCGGACTTTGGCAGCATCTGGAACGTATGTCACGGCAACAAACTTGGGCGTGTCGTCGTAACGGCGGAGGATGGCATAGAGGGCGACGTCTGGCTTGACAAACGGCTCCAGCACAGACAGGTTCTGTCCAAAGTCGGAGGATTTTCCCGCAATCGTCTCGACGGGAACCAGGGATTCGCCCTGGATCGTCACCAGCAGGCCAAAGTCGGAGGGCGTCGCGAGCAGCGAGCTGAACGCCTTCTGGAGCTCCTCGGAGGCTGTTTGTCGAGATTCTGCGGTCAGCTCACCGCATCAAGGGAGGGGGGCCAATTGACCTGATCCGGGCATGATGGCGACATCCGTACCTGAGATTCCAGACTGCATCTTGTCTTGGTGTCTTGCACAGCGCGCAGTCTGCGGTTAATTCAGTGGTGAGGCCGGTCCGGTGCCGCGATTCTCAGATGAAGACTCCAAGTTTCGGGGCTTCTCGTCAAGGCCCGACGACGCATGTAAGTCCAAGCCTCTCCTGTTGCCCCGCCATTGTTGCGACAACCAGCAGCCCCTCCACAACGTGGCAATGCAATACGCCCCCCACCAACGGCGGCGTTGCAGATACGCCCGCAGATTCACAGTTACCCTGCACTCAGGGACCTGTATTTGGGGATTACTAGTACTGCGGGTGGCCCAATTGCGGCAATCCGCTCGTAGCAGTAGGTATAATACTGTATAACCCATATTCAAGAATGATTGCGTATTTTCATAGTATTTGATAATGTTTGGGGTCAGACAGCCAACACCCAACGATAGAGATTGAGGGGTCAGCAGTCACAGTGAATACGGAAACGGAGCAGCTCATAGGCAGTTGAATTGAATCAATTAAGTGGCAGCCCCCTTTCTACAATATCTCATGTGTGACCCTGCACTTAACAACCAGTAACTGCACTAGTCGCCAATGAGCGTCCAAAATTTCCTCCAAAAAACAATCCGTTGAGATATCTCACTATTGACCAATGTTGTCGTGACAGCTCGCAAGGCATGTCTCACAAGTCTCTACATAATCATTGCCGCCAATAGGATAAACCCTCCGATGCTTGAAAGAGGAGGGATGACACCGCAAGGTGAATCTGAGGCCGGAACATGAGAAGGAGGGTCGCCTTCCGGTTTCTTGCTTGGAAATGGCCAGAGAGTGCTTTCAGAAACTACGGGAGAAAGAGCTGGACTACCGGCAGGCTGGCAATTATCTGCCGCGGTGTATCCTCCAGGAGTTGCTTCAGAGCCCTGCCCCTCAGAGTAAGAATCTGGTTGAGATGGCTGGCAATCCGACGAATAACCTGGTGGGTTGGAGGCGGGTGTCGCATCGGGAACTTGCTGTTTAGGATCAGAGTACGTCTTGGCCTCTGGAGCGTTGCCGGGAGGTGTCAGAGGTCCTTGCGAAGGTGTGCTTATTCCTGAAATGCTTGGAGTAGCGCATGGAGATTCTTGAGTAGCTTGGGTTACTGGAGAGCCAGAGGTTGGAACAACCGTAGCCGCTGGATTCCCAGACGCAGGGTTTCCGAATGATGGAGCTTCTGGTGCTGGTCCTTCCGGTGTGATACGTTGAGAAGGCTGCTGAGGCTCTTCAACTGATGAGGCATCGGCAGATGAGCACGGGGTCTCTGCTGCAGCAACAGAGGACTGAATGCTTGTTGGTTCCCCATAAGCCGGACCCTGGCTCGGAGTGACTCGTGTGTAGACGTTGGCGACTACAGGTGAGTTCTCTGGGCAAATGCTGCCACACATTCCACGCGTGCTGTCTCCCATGCATGGATAGTCGCACTTTGCCTCGTCGGTTGGATGAACGCCATTTGGATCATCACCACAGCGGCAGCAGCTTGAAAGGCGGTTAGAATGTGATGGTGCTATTGATAACTCCAACGTATACGTGACTCACTCGGGAAGAAGGGCAGCAAACTGGTGGCCTCTGCAGGCGAGTTGGCACGTTTCAGGAGTCAAAGGGCCATTGGGAATTCCGACTGGCTCTCCGAAGCAGGCTGGATCAATAGAAGAGCAGCCTTGATAAGAGAACTCGCCCGTGTTGTGCGTGACTTGGCCGATAACGCGAGCCACGCCAGCAAGAACGAGGAGAAGAATGCCTCTCATCTCTTTTGGATGGGAAGATGCGGCAGGAGGAGTGATTGGAAGTTCAACAATGCCAACAAATGCGGGAGCAGTGAGAGAATGCAGACAAGTCAAAGAGTGACGGATGCAGAGTGGGAAGAGAAGAGAAAGAAAAGAGAGAGGAAGAGAATTGTTGAGAGTTTGGAACAATGCTGGGCGTGGAGGCTCTCACCTTGGAGGAAGGAGCAAGCGCCGCCCAATTTAGGGTAGGAGAATACTCGACGCTCCTTCCCATGACGTCGTGTATACAATTAAAAGGACGAGGCTCGCCGAAATTGATGGCTGAGGCAAACTTATGATTGCGTTATATCCAATAATAATCGCTTGGCTTGCAACAGGTGGGATTTATCGTGACTTCTTGTGCTGGCATCTTGCATGTGGATGATGGAACGTCAGGGTGGTACCGTGTTATGAATAGTATCAGGAGTAGGAAACACCTTGTTTGTACAATCTCATTGGAAGAGTAGACATTGTTTGATATAATGATAGAAGTAAATCGCATTGCATAATATCTTGAAACTTTGAGAACAGAGGGACACCGCAAACCATGTTAGCGCTGCGTTCATTGGCATATCACTGTGATGGGAGAAGAATCGTACAGACACCAACGAGTACATGCTATTAAACATGCATATACAATAGAAGCAATATTGTCTGAAACAAGTTCTTACAGTTACGTGGCCACTCATGTTTGCGATTGGAGATCTCAAAGATCTCAGGAACCCTTTATCAGGATTGGACAGACCAGCGCTCCAGTTTGGCAGACCCACATTATGCCACTAAAGAGGATGTCGACCCACACATAATGGTCGCCTCAGGCAGCAACACCACTAGACCCCTGCAAGCGCACAACCAACGTGAGCAGAGGGCACGAAAACCCCAATTTAGCGAGCTTTTTTTCAACGTGCCGCCAAAGTCAACCAAACGGGCATCTCTGCTTTCGTCGTCACGATCAACTCATCCAACCCTCCCGTTGAGCATCACCAGTCAAGATGAGCGCCATTAACAAGATCGCCGCCAACAGCCCCTCGAGGCAAAACCCCTCCGAGCTTGAGCAGAACATTGCTCAGGCTCTCTTCGATCTCGAGACCAACACTGCCGACCTCAAGGTTGCCCTGCGACCTCTGCAGATCGTCTCTGCCCGTGAGGTGAGAATGCCTTGAAAAAGCAAAACCAGAAAATAAAAAAGACCGAACACCTTCGAGATCCTGTTCCCAAAGATATACAATGGCTTCAAGTGCGATTGGCGTCCCTCTCTGCAGAGAGGGAGTGTGTGTGTAATATACCGATTCGACAGAATGGAATTATTGACACCCTCTCCCTATCTCGAACAAGAAAAAATTATCTCGAGGGACGCGCCGCGCATGGCCGGAGTACTATTGACTTCTGTGGAGCAGGACGGGAAGCGGTCCAAGGCATATGTCCTGGAGCTCGCATGCTGACTTTGGGATCTTGAATAGATCGAAGTTGGCCACGGCAAGAAGGCTATTGTCATCTTTGTCCCCGTCCCTTCCCTGCAGGGCTTCCACCGTGTTCAGCAGCGGTAAGCAATTTCCCCATCTTTTCCAATTCAACTCAATATCACAGCCCGCTAATTCATCTCCCCCCCAACAGCCTGACCCGTGAGCTGGAGAAGAAGTTCTCCGACCGCCACGTCCTCATCCTGGCTTCTCGCCGCATCCTGCCCCGCCCCAAGCGCTCTGCCCGCTCCCGCAACACCCAGAAGCAGAAGCGCCCTCGTTCCCGCACTCTGACTGCCGTCCACGACGCCATCCTGGCTGATCTCACCTACCCCGTTGAGATCGTCGGCAAGCGTATCCGCACCAAGGAGGACGGCAGCAAGACCCTCAAGGTCATCCTCGACGAGAAGGAGCGTGGTGGTGTTGACTACAGACTCGACACCTACTCTGAGGTTTACCGACGATTGACTGGCCGCAACGTCAACTTCGAGTTCCCCCAGACCGGCAACGCCGAGTTCTAGACTAGTTGAAAAGATTTTTTTTTAAACTGGTATTCAAAAAAAATCCTTTCTCTTTTTGGGGGCCTTTGGGAACATAAAAATGCGTTGCTGTCTTTGAAGCATCGGTGGGTTGGTCAACATTTGGGCTTGGCGTCTGATATCAAGGTAGCTTTTGTTTAATGATATAAAGCTGCTGGCATGATTTGATCAATTCATTCTCATGGCTACCTGCCCTGTCGTCTAAATGCTTTTGTATTTTTGTCTCTTTTGATCATCTATCTTGGGTATCTATCGCTGTAAATGTCCCACTATTTCATTCGTGACTGATGCGCCCAACGCCGAGCACGCACCAGTATGCCAGTTCTCGCTTCTCTCTCGTTTCCTTGTCCTTGCTCGGCGGTCCGTCCATGTCGGCCTGTGTCTCAGACTCCCACTCCATGCGAACAAACATGGGAATCTCAAGTAGATCCTCACCCCCCTTGAGTGGACTGGTGTCGATCTTGTCGTTGCCCTTCTGTAATTGATCGATTCGCAAAGATGCCGGTATAACCTCCAGCACGATGCTCACCCAGTTTCGCCCCTTTTCCCAGATCTTGCCCACCTCGGGGCCCTCGTCTGCCTTTCGACTTCGGTCCTTTTCGTCATCCTTGAGAGCGTCATCCCACATGTCAGTGTTGGCGTCGACCTCAAACTGCGGACACAGCACGGTAACTCTGCTGGAAAAGCGACCTGGGGTTTTAGGTGGCGAGGCTAATGTGACCTTGATATTGTCAAAAAGAGGATTCTTAAAGGTGACAACGAAATGATACGCTTGATGCGGCTTGAGTGGTGCTTCTTCCTGGACCATGGGTCGATATGTTATCGGCACAGGCGTAGCTGTGGGATTGAGCGGCCGAATCGTGATTGTTGGTATGTATGACTTGGCAACCAGGCGGATTTTGAATCTCGTAGACACCACTTTCGCCTCTGGTTTGGATATAATGTGGCGACAAGAAGGACAACGTTTTGACCGCTTGCTGCGGAGAAGATATGCAATTGGCCGAAGCTCGTCCTCGAATCGTGCAGGCTCCGTGGGCTGCTGGCTTCGCTGTTCGAGTGACGCAGTGACGCCCCATCCTCCGTCAATGAGCTTCTTTATATCTTTCGACTCGTCCAGATTCGAGATTTTGAGGCCGTCATTGGTGCCGAGTGCCTCGCGCATGATATCTGCCGGCCCTTGCTGCAACCGACCCTGATGACCACGGCCAGTATACAGAGACATGATGCGAGTCAGAGCGGCTGGGGACGAGAAACCCAATCCATCATGCAACGGAAGCCCGCGTATTGACGTGTTGGATTCTGACAACTGTGTCTGATAAAAGGCCTTTAGGTTGGCAAATTGCAAATCTGCATCAACTTGGTCGTCAGGCACAGGCGGTTCGTCCGGGTTGTCTTTCCGCCGATCCTTCACATCTCTCAAGGTGAGCTTGGGTTGGCCTCCGTTGTTCACTTTGGAGAGTTGATTGTATATTCCGCTGGGCCGGTCGAATTCAATACCGATCTCGGTCGAGGTCCAGTTGCAATATTGACAGAAGAGCGCATACGGGCCGCCGGTGGGGTTGGTTTGATACTGTGTCGGGAGAAGATTCGCATCCGTGGTAGGCTGGATAGCCCCAACTTGGAGGGGACCAATACAGACTGGACACTGGTAACAGCTTCTCGTACATCTGGCCCGGCAGCGATTAGACTTGACAATTACAAATCCATGTGATGCGAAAGGGGGGCTCATTACCTGTTGCCCTCGCTGCGTAGGTTACTGCTAGGCACCTCAAACAGGCAATTAGGGCAATAGTATGTCACGGATTCTTCTGTTACGCATCGCGGACAGCGGATCTGCTGACAGTCCTCGCAGTATAGGAGGTATTCGAGAGGGTATAAGCTGTAGTTTGACCGCGGGGCTTTTGGATCGAATGCTTCGTTCTCCTCGGGATCTGAATGCGCACCTCCTGGACCGGAAACAGTCTGATCCGAGCAAGGGCATTGGATGTACGTGTATGGGGTCGAAGGCGACATCTTTCACGTCACATGTCTGTTGGCGCGTGCGTGGTTGGTATGAGTGAAAACACTGGTGGATATCGTCCGCCGGGTTTCATCACGAAGTCTCGGTGAGGAGCTTTCGATTCAAGGTGAGCTCGGTAAGGGAGCTCTACCTTCACGTGATGGCGGCCAGTTATCAGATCGCCCGAGCTTATCAGCTGCTAAGGTGGCTTATGTCATTGGTCTACATTCCCATGTACTCCGTACCTCGTATTTGTTCCCCGCTTTCTCTTTCACAGATGTGCCCCGGATTCTGGATGATCATCCTGGCCAAAGCTCTCACAACGGGCGATCGATATATTGGAATGACGCTTACATGACCAGCAGCAGCTCCCGGCTTGCGGGTGCATGTTGAAGCCCGGCGGTGGCGGATCTGCGGTCTCTTCTCTAAACTATCGAGACGCTACGACGATGAGCTGGCCGTTTTCGTTTGATATTTGCACCGCTTTCAAAAACACGCCAGTTTCACCAGTGCCTTACTATGTGGATTTGTCAACCTTGGAAGCTCTTCAAAGTCTGCCTTATACCTCCACCTCGATATATTGTGATCGCTGCAGCTGAACTCGTCAACTGTCAGCTCTTGACCTTCATCTCGTGTAAGCTGGGCGACAATTTCCGCTAGGCTCAATGGAAATGTCAAACCCCCTTTCCATGTCATCGGCCACGCAAGCACAGTCGGGACTGGACGCAAACACTCCGCCATGTACTCTAATCAATAGCGCTAGTGCTAATGCCCTTTGACAAGCTTGCTACGCAGCTAATGAAGACAGCCCCAGAGCATTGTTTCATACGAAGCCTTTGGGTTCTGAGCTACAATGCGAGATGGCACTAACACTGTGAAGTGCGTTGTCCTCCGAGAGCCATGGTTGGGCGGTTCTACTGGGCTGTGTCTTAACATCTCATACCGCCTGGTTTTGTCTTGTCGGTGAGGTCAATGTGTCCTCACATGTCTCATCTCGCGAACGGATATTCCAAAGTAGCGAGTTGCTCCTCGTTCTCAAACAGAAAGCTCTACGATCTTTCTACTTTTGGCGATGTATGCGGGAGATGCCGGATACTTGTCTCTGGGGGAGTCGTCAGCATTGGTCGCATTACAGTAACACCGCTCTACTTTGGCCAGGTCAGGAACCAAAGAGGAGAAGCACGGGAAGCTAGAAGTAATCAGGAACCGTGGCTCGTATTTAACCTTTTCCTTCGGCCAGCTGAGTGAGCACGCAAAATCGATGTTTACGAGCGTACGTAAGGCTGACAAACGAGATCGGAAAATGGCGATTTCGGAATCTGCACAGTCTTGATTTTACCGAGGAGGCTTGCAGGGAAGTGTCTTTTGTTGAACGCTTAAGCGGCGCGATGCTACAGACTGTGGATACTCGAGATGAAAAGAGAATTCAAGCAAGTCGCAAAAAGAAAAAGCAAAACAAGGGCTAATTACTAGCAGATTGCGACAAAGTCTCATATGCTGTGAAACCATCTGGGGAGAAGGGAGGAGGGGAACAAAGCATTATTTTTCTCTCGTCGGCACACATCGCATCATGCCATGCTGGTTTCGGCCAACAGTCTGCAAGGGAGTTGCGCTCGTTTTTGGCCCAAATCTTGGGGGCTAGATGCAGGTAACGTAATAATGGAAGTCAATGATGTCCGCACGACGTCGGGCGAGCTTTGGCGCATCGGATCTGAGATGGCCGCGCAGCCCACAGTCCGTCAGTGCCGCCGAAGTGGAGTGAACATCGCGGATCCTTGCTCGATTACCAGGCTTGAGGGCAGAGCCCGGATGGCATGATAATACTCGTCACATTTTTCGGTCCACTCCCGGGCGCCTCTTGACGGGAGACGGAAGGAGATTTCGCCATGCTTCGCTTCGCCGAAGGAAGGGAAAAAAAACGAGGCAGGATAAAATAGTTGACGACACGATGCAGACCTGGAACACACCGCATGAATGTGGGCTAATACTAATACTACTACTCGGGGCTCTGCATTTGAAGAGGAAACGAGACATGTAACAAGCAGAGCTCGGCAAGCCCGCGGACTTTTGCGCCTCTGCGATTGGATCTGGAGCTGTCGACAAGAAAGCTCAGCTTGGCAATAGTCTATGCGAGAGGGAGTGACGTGGATGCATCTTCTCCGTTGACTTGTGAAAGCCCAGCTCACAGCAGGATCCTGGTTCAGCCATCTCTCTGCGTCGCCGGGTCTTGACTGGCCGGACTCTCTGCCACAGTATGCACCGAGTGAGCACTGCGTGGCGGGACCCAGACCAAGGCAGGCAGACGGATATCTTGGTTTCTCGTGGTCAGACTGGCCGGTCGCGGCCTTGATATGCATCCGGAGCTTGGCCTCAGCAGCCAAGACGAGAGCAGAAAGCGATTCCAGCATGTGCCGAAGACTTGCGTGCTGTAATGTAGCACTACCCAAGTCTACGGGCCTTTTTTTTTCCTATTTTTTTTTCTTCACGGCTGATGCTGATGAGGTGGAGCGAATCATGCAAACAAGGATCGGATGCTGGGACTCGACTCTGTGCCAGCTCACCACCGCCTCGTGCTTGCTGCAGAGCCAGTGAGCGGTTGGCACACCCCTGCAAGCGATGAACGCTTGGATGAGACATGGTTGGCCATTTGCCCAAAGCAGCGTGTGTGCTGGTGAAGACGATGTCATCCCTGCTTCTGCTTCTGCTTCTGCTGCTGCTGCTGCTTCTGCTTCTGCATACATGTGCATATTCCGTGGTACCCAGCCCTTGGGTATGCTCCGTGCTTCCGTGCTACGGGCTGTACTTGTACGAGTACGCTGCTGCTTGTCCTCGAAATTTGTCGAGATACGATACGAGTGCTGATGGATGCCGTGGTCACGATGAGACAGACCAGCATCAAATGGCGATAGCTCCCGTGGATGTATGTACCATTTCGCGGCGCCTGCTGCAGTGGGGGTACATGCTGCCGCGGATGGGACTTTGGAGTCGCATGTTGGGTGCTGGTGCCTTGATTGATGCAATCGCTGGCCTGGTGCCGCGCTAAACTGCTAGTGCCTGGAGCAGCTAGCACCATCTCTTCTCGGGGCTAGAATACAGAATACAGGGGCCGCATCCCTGCACAATGGCCACTGGCCAAGGCCTTTGCGGCGTGCTGCTAGGGGAAAAGGAAAATTGCGCTGCGCCAGCTGGGGGGAGCTAGGCCAAGCTGAGAGCTGCTAAGCAATTGCCTTTTCGGCACCCGACGCAAGAGCAGAGCAGCGACACGGAAACGTCGTCTCTCCTTGTTCTCCCTTTCCTGTTATCTTTTTTGTTCCAAGTTACATGCTTTATACTTTGCGTTCTCGCCGTCCCTCTCCACTCGTCTCGTCTCGGTTCGTATGAGAGGCCAGCCCTGCAACATGGTGGCTGTCGAGTGATTCATCTCATGGCTGCATTCGACTGCCAATCCTCGTGATACCGCCATCGACTCGGCGGGCGTTGAGCAAGCTTCACAAGCTCCAAGCCTTGCAGGAACCACACGCCAAGTTGCACGGCCGGGGAACACGAGAGCGGGCTCACCATCACTAGCCTGTGACGTCTCGGGCAGCCCTTTTTTTTTTTGCCTCTGGGTGCTGGAGATCGACTCGACGTGCCTGTGATTTGCCTTTGACCTGCCCGACGACTGGAGCTGGGGGATGGTGTGAGGGAGTGGGAAAGAGGTTTAGACTTTTTTTTTTATTTTTTTTTTAATCTGTGGATGCTTCAGCCTGCATGCTGATATACATATTCCTATACCCAAAGGTATAAACTCACACCATATATAACAACTTGGGGGCCTGTCTCGTCCACAAACCCGCACACCAACATCCGTCCGTCTTTTGCGGGCAGCATCAACTCCACCCCTCCGTATCGTCCTTTCCCGCCTCTGATGGCCGGCCCGAGAGCACGGTCAAGCAGCGTCCGCAGGGCTCGCGGCCTTTCGATTGGAGAGGATGGCAAGCCGGTGCCGCTCAAGCGTTGGGATGGTGCCAGCAAAACGTGCAGGGACTGGGACGAGCTACGAAGAGTGAGTCGCATTGACCCAATGGAAACGCCTGTCCCTGCGCCAATGGCGTGTCAACAGCAGTCTAACCGGTGTGGCATTGCATTGCTATAGGATCCCGAGATTTGGGAGCGCAACGGCAACTGCCTCGTCCACCTTTATGCCAAGGGTGATTCGAAGCGCGGGCCGTCTTTCAAGCTGCCCTTTGCGGCTCTGCTGTTAGCCGGCTGCCTTCCGCTCCTCGAGAGATTCCTGGTACTGGAGGGTCTTGCGTCTAGGACGGCAGAGGAGATTGAGAGGTGGGATCAGCTGCATCCTAGGTCGACGGCTGAGCTGTATATTCCGGCCCCCCTCCATGCCACCGAAAAGCAGGCACAGCGCTATCATCTGTCTTTCCGAAATCTCTTTGCGTGGGTTCTAGGGAGGCCAATCGTCGGCGAGAATCTGGGAAGCGCACTCGTCACACTCTTCCAATCCATGCGCGAGTTCAGATCCTCTCCGGAAAGCAATGTGGATGATTTGCTCAAGTATATGCGCCACGCGCACTACCTCAACATGGCCGAAATGCCTGTCCACGCCACCGCGGCCCTTTACCTGGCAGAAACATTTCAGCTGAATGATTTGTATAGACAGGCCTTTGCTCATTGCGTTGGCATGCATGACCGCCTGTTTTCCACTTCAGAGTACCAGGTAGGGAACAATCCCGTCGCTTTTTATTTTCTTTCCGATGCATTTTATCTCTCTCTTGCCAACTATGGACTGATTTTGTCTCATGTGACAGCTTATCAGCGCGGTATCGCGAACACTCGTCCGCAGGGCACGCTTGGAAATGAACGCAATGTTGCAGCAGACATCCAATAGACTGAGGAGCTTCCTCGACGAAGAATTATCGGAAACGAATCTAGGAATTCCAGCCGGGACCCGCGCCCACCTCGACAGGTTCCGAAGCTTTCTGCTGTCTTTTTACTCAGCCAAGTTCGGCTACTATCCTCCCAAGTCATATAGCGCAGATGTACTCAGCATAATGGCGGAGGATTTTGATGCCCTATACGAGCTTCTCGTGGATAACAGCTACACCGCATCGGACATGATACCATCAACGGCGGTCGGCGGCATCTGTACTGAGCAGCTAGTCCAGACATTCAACGAGAACAACAACTTCGAACCCTTGCCGCATCCGCTACCTCAGCTGCCTCAGCTCGAGGCTCCTAGTGATGGGCTCCGCCGCCTCGCAAAGTTTCCATTTGTTGAAAAGGTCGTCCCCGGACAGCGGTTGGTAACGATTACGGCTCTAGTCACGGCATCCAACTGGACAGAAAGGTGTTTCAAGAACAACCTCGTACAGGCATACCGCAGATTTGAAGAGGATGCCATTCTTTCCCCCAGCAAGGTCGACAAGAACGAGAAGATTTCTCTGCTCGAGGCTCGCAAGGTGCGATGGATCCTGGTTTATGCAGTCCACCAAGTTCTGCGCAGTGCAACACGAAAACCGGCAGAGGTGCGGGGCGAGGAGACGTCTTACCACCTCACGGTCTCGATGAATGGCACCCCTCCGTGGTCATCAGCATCTCACGAGACGAAGAAGCCCCTGCGGATCCAAACAGACATTGTGGCCGATGACGGCCTCGTGACCAGGCGGGCCATCAAGATACAGGAAACTCCAGTGGAAAGGCTAGAGATCAAGCCTGACATTGACTACTTCGCATTGACGCACAGCAAGAGCCGCAATCCATCCATGTCGACTCTGTCGGACAGCTCGTCTCCTGCGACTCTTTCTCGGTCAAGCTCTCTTTCCAACTGCCTGAGGCGCAATTCAACCATCCGCAGGTCGCTGAGGAAATTCAGGAGGAGCTCCATGTCGGCATCGCAGCCGTCGACGCCGCCGGCGCCGGCGAAACCATTGTACCACGAGATTGTCGTACAAGGCTATGGAAACGGGACACAAGCAGTCACGGTAGAGCCGGAGGATGAGGGGCTGATGATGAAGGGCGCACTGGCGGGCCGGAGCGATTCGACGGCGTCGTCTCAATCGAACTCGAGCTCGAGCACCACTGCCTCGTCAGTGCCCGAGAGCATGAGCAGCACGATTGACACGCTTTCCACGAGCGCGCTGTCCAGTCCCACGACGCCCACGACGGATGCCGCTCTGGAGCTGGAGACGATGCTCGCCCGCTGGGGCCCACAAGACAAGGCGCCGGTAAGACTGGATCTGCCGCGTTCGGCATCAGCCAGCGCCATTTCCGGCAAACTGGGGAGCTTAGCGGCGGGGCTCCACAGCCACGCCGGAGCGGTTGATAGGAAAGAAGACGTCAAGAGAAAACGAAGAAGTCTTGAGCCCGCGCGGTCGGCGCCGGCGCCAGCCGCTCTGCAGCGACGCTACACGATGCTTGGAGACCTTCGACGGAAGAATTTTGGGTTTGAAGCCAAGAACATCTCGGTCCGGATCCGTGAAAACAGCATCAGCGAGGAAACGTGGACTCCCAGCCGGAGGGATTCCGATGATTGGTCCATCATGCTAGCCTTTATGGATGGGACTGAGACAGAGGCTCAAGCTAATACGAACGACGCCTGGGCACAATATTCTGATTTAGGAGGACTCACTGATATGAGTTAGCCCACATACATGCATCTATATGGTTGGGCATAATGAGATGTGTGGTTTGGGCAGGAGGAGAGAGAAAAGAAGCAGGAAATGATTTCTTCAATGGGTGAAAAGCAACTTTTGGTATTTATTCTCTCTTTTGCTTCTCTTTTTGTTGTTCTTTTTTATGTTTGTTGCATATTTTGGTTGATACCCAGTGTCGGCTGACACGTTTACGATACCATTTTCTCTGGCTGTCATTCATTTTGTATTGGACATTCCCTTTTTCTGTTTGCAAGTCCTGGGATATGGTACAAAACCGGGCCACAAAAGAGCGCGCATTGCCTCTTAGACTTGAAGTTTTTCTTTCTTAACTACGAGGGTTAATTGAAGTGTCGATGCAAGCCGAGGTCATTTCTTCGTATTCGTCGCATTGCGGGGGCATACATACAGACTCATATATATACATATACATACACGTCCCTCTGCTCCTAACCATGTCCCCCCTTAATAACCGTGTTACAAGACCGAGAGCACATGCCATGCCATGCCGTGTCATGGCTAAGATGTTTTGAAAGAGTGTTTTTAATACATGCATTTACTCGCTCTTTGAGCGTGAGGCGGGGTCGAGGCCGCTGACCAGGTCGCTGCCGATGGACCAGATCATGTAGGTCGGGCCAACGAGCCAAGCACCGCTTTTTTGAACGAGTTAGTGGGTTTCACGAATGAATTGGTGAGTTTGAACGTACTTGGGGATGATCCAGAGCAGGATGAGATCCTGAAGGGGGTTGTGGCCAATGTTGTCAAAACCACTGTAGTACTCGTTTGCCCCTGTCTGCCGTCAGTTTGATTCACGCCATTTTGAGTTTTTGCGTTTTGTTTTCCATTGAGAGATGACTCGAAAATACTCACAATATAGAACCGTCTTGCTAAGCGTCATGATGGCGGCGCTGAAGCCAATGAGAGTGGCCCTGGCACCAGCCCTCCCGCTCAAGACCTTGACTCCAGCAGAGGAGCGCTTGCCGGAGAAGAACCAGGCGGCAAAGTACCAGAGGTAGAGCAGGGTCTCGACGGCATTGAGGAGGCCCTGGGCGCTGGTGAAGCCGTTTCCGGCGTTGAAGGCCTTGAAGCCGTAGATGTGGTCGACCTCGCCGTAGAGCTTGTAGGGCGCCCAGACGGGCCAGTGGAGGGAGCCGCCCGGCATGGACAGCGGGCGGAGCAGGACGTAGCCCGTGTCCCAGATGACGAGGGGCAGGGAGATGGCGAGCCAGGCGAGGGTGGCGGCTGTGGGAGCGTGGGCGAAGGAGGATGATTTGGAGGAGGAGGAGGACTTTGTGGCGGATGATTTGGAGGAGCGTTTGGCGGAGGGGGTTGCGGGGACGAAGGAGGTGGGTTCGACGCTGGCGGCGCGAGAGGAGGCGGCGCGTGTGGTGACCATTTTTGGGGTTTGTTTCGTGGTGGTTTGTTATGTTTGTTTATGTGTGAGTGATCATGAGTTTTTACGAGGATGAGATTGGAAAGGAATTGCGGGTGGGAATTTGTGAGGGGGAGGGGCAAAATAAGCGGCTGGGTATTCTTCCCGAGATTTAGCGTGGGGGATAATGCCCAATTGAAGATGAACCAAAACAAAAAAACACGACAATAAAGCCCAAAAACGCGAGAAGGAAAAGAGACAAGGATTCGGGAAATTCGGGGGTGTTTTTTTGTGCGTTGAGGTCTTACAAGGTGTGAGAAAGAGGACAGCGATGCAACAAGGGGGGGCTACGCTGGGGCGAATCACAGCGAGCCGTGCTAAAGAAGATTGGGATGGAATCGATTTGGCGTTTGGTCGTTGGGCAGATTGAAGCTAGAGCCTTATTGGGGTTCTCTCCCAGATCAGTGACGGCTGGGTGCCGAGGTTTTAAAGATGGAATGGAATGATGGGGAGGGAAAATTGCCCGATTTTTCTTCTTCAGCGGCGAATGTTGCTCCGGAGGCCATGGTGGCGCGTCGGGGCAATTCTTTTGGGGGGGGCTGATGGTGATGGGCGGGAGAGGCTGAGCTATACGCTGTGGGCGGTGCAAATGTGTGATTGGTGATGAGTTTTGAGATTGAGATGAGATGAGATGAGATGAACGGATTTGAATTGAGTTTTTCTTTTTTAAAATATTACAATGCAATACGCAATACGCTGACACGAGGATCTAGTGCGTATAGTTGAGATTCTGTCCGAGAACATTGTACGAGTCCGGAGCATGTACACGTCCCGAACTTATACACGATATCATGTCATCATCATCATCATCCCATGTCCAAATCTTCAATCACCCTCCGAACGTGTCTCCCCCATTCTCCAGATAGTCGCGCTCCTCGCCCGTCGTCTCCCGCCCCAGGACCCGGTTCCGGTGCGGGTACCGTCCAAACCGCTTGATGATGGCCCAGTGCCTCTTCTCAAAGGTCAGGTTTAGCTGGCCGTAGTCCTTGGCCGCCTCGGGGTTCGCCTGCATCACCCGCTGCGCCGCGATGCGGTACTCGTGAGCGACGTCGGACTCGTCGCCGTTGGCGTTGGCGTTGGCGTCGTCTTCGGGAAGCAGCAGGCTCTCGACGTCGCGGGCAAAGGCCCGGTACTTTTGCACCGCCAGCTCGTGCAGGTCGACGTCCTCGGAGTGCATCAGCGGCACGTAGAACCAGCCGCGGCAGGCGAAGCGCCAGCGAATCTCGGGCCACTCGTCGGGGACGCCGCGCTGAAGGGCTTCCAGCGCGACGTCGCGGGCCATGGCGTCGAAGTAGGCGAAGACGATGGCCGAGCTCTCGCCGCGGTAGCAGTTGCGCGGGATCTGGTCTAGGAGGAGCACCAGGCTGAGCCAGTCGTGGGCGTCTCTGGGCTGCAGGGCGTAGATGATGTCGTGGCCTGATTTGATGCCCTCCTTGCGGATGGCTTCTAGAGTAGGGGCGAAGCGCTCACTTTATGGGAAGACGACGAGTATCAAAGTCAGCTTGATATAGAAAGAAGACTCGGGCGATGACTTACACGCATAGCTTGTCAAACTCTGATCCGCCAAAGAACCATCTCTTGTTCTCTTCTGCGCTGGGCATGACGAGGCTATCTGGGCCCGCCAGGTGCTCGAACCAAAACTCTCGAACGCTTAGAAGCACGTCCGGCGTCAGGATGAGTGAGACGCAAGACATGGCGTCTTTTGATGGAGTTTGCCCTGTAGTAGCAGTGGTCGAGAGGTGGCGACTACAGCCTGTGAAGGCTCCTGAGCTCAACCGCCGCCTATAAGACCCCAGAGCCGGCTGAGGTCGATTCGACACGGCTCGGCTGGGTTGCAGTCCTTTTGAGTATGTATGCACAGCAACTAATACATGGTTTCCTCTTAGAGCCAGCCCCATGACGTCCAGTTTGCGATGAAGGGGGCATTCATTCACCCACCTCGGCTGCGGGAGAGCGGCCCGGAGAGGCGACAACCGGACAGCGAAACCAGCGACGCTTTCATCAATGATATTTCCCGGTTGAGATGGTTCAAACTAGCAGGTTCGCAAGATGCACGACATGGGAGGAGGGAAAAGAACGGCAAAAGAAATATGTGAAGCTACGGTATCAACATCTCGGTTTCGGGGTTCAGTCAAAGAGCTAGCTCCAGAGTTGGGTTTGGATTGAGCAGCGCCGGTCGCTCTCGGCAAAGGCCGAAAGGCCGAATTGGAACCAAAACTAATATTATTCATCATCTCAAGCCGCTTACAAAGGGATCAATCATCGTATAGCCAAAGTCCATGCAGCCCCCCGATTTGCTCAAGAATAAAGAAGGCATGCAGAGTCAGAAAGAAAAAAAAAAAAGGCCATCCAGAACCCAGGCGGGCCAATCACACGTCGTCATCTGACGATTTATCATCATGGCGATACGCCAGCACACTAATCGGCGTGCGTCGTGCATTAAACACTTTTGTCGATTGCCCGATTAGCTCACGATGCACATGTTTTGAGGTTTCTTAGTCGGGGGTTGTTGTAGGTTTTGGAAAAACTCACAAGTGTCCATTTCCTCCAGAGACAGGCCCTTTGTCTCCTTGATGAAGAACCAGGTGTACAGCACCAGCGCCCAGTTGAAGCAGCAAAACATGAGAAAGGCCTTCCATCGGAGATTGTTGACGGCGGCGGGCGTCACTTGGGACAGCGTGAAGCCAAAGAGCCATTGGGTGGCTGCGCCGACGGCGATGCCTCCTTCGCGGACTCTTGTCGGGAAGATTTCGCTCATATACAGCTTTGCGTGTTTTGATTAGCGAGTGGGAAATCTGACCGAAGGCGGGGGGTTTTGGAGGAGATCGATATTCCAAGACTTACCCATGGGATGGGACCCCACGATGTGTTGAATGTCACTGTGCATTGCGTTGTCCATGTTAGCAACTCGCGTGCTCTGACTATCGACTTTTACGCAGCCATCATCTCACAACATCCTACATGGCATCATTTCACAGCATCCCAAATCATGCATATCATATAAACAAGGACCAAGGAAAAGTCACTCACTCGCTTCTAGGAAAATCATCGAAATCGAGGCTATGGCCGGCGGCGTCAACGTCCCGTTGCCCATGGGCGGATACCGCTGCGTGAGCACGCTGATGATGAACATGTACATGCCCATGAGGAACGAGCCGGCCAGCAGGGACCAGCGGCGGCCGATGCGCTCGACGAGGAAGAGCAGGAAGAAGGCGCAGCTGACGACCTTGCACACGCCGAAGAAGCCGCTGAGGAGCAGGGCGTTTTGGCCGGCGCCGACGGCTTGGAAGACTTGAGGGGAGACTGTGTGTGGATGAGAGATGAGAGACGATATCAGAAGAGGTTTGGGGGGCTCGTTCGTACAGTATGCTAGGGAAGTGTTTCCCGTTATCTGGGCGCCTACTCTCCAGGGTCAGCATGATTGATGGAACATGTATCAACGCAAACCTCACACAGCAAAGCAGAGCAAGACACTCACCAATCTGGAGAGTCACGGCCAGGAAGATGCGATATCGGTTCGCCGGCAGCCAATACTCCCTCCACGTCACGCCGGCCGTCTGCCTCTCCTCCTCCTCGATGCCCGCCACAATCTCATGAAACTCCATGCGCACCTCGACGCTGTCGCCGCCTCGCACCCAGACGAGCGACTGCAGCGCCTCCTCGTGCCGGTCGTGCTGGGCCAGCCACCGCGTGCTCTCCTTGGTCAGGAGCATGCCCAGCCCCAGGATGCCGCCGGGCACCAGCTGCAGGGCGACGGGGATGCGCCACTGCGCCGTCGACGGCCGCATGTGCTGGGCGGCGCCGTAGTCGACCCAGTAGCTGACGGCAACGCCCAGGGTGAAGAAGAACTGGAAGAGGCTGCCGAGCTGGCCGCGGATTTCCTTGGGGGCCATTTCGGCCGAGTACATGGGGATGACGACGGTTGCGACGCCTATCATCGGGGAGATTGTACATGTATTCAGTCAGTATTTAGCCTCGAGAGGTGGTTGTGATCGGCCATGTAAGTGTGTATATATAGGTAGATTGTATATGGGTTGTTATGTACCTGCGCCAATGCCGGAGATGGTACGCCCGGCATACCAGGTCGCGATGCCTTGCTGATAGAAGAGCTGCAGCACGGCGCCAATGTTGAAGATGAGCGATGCCACGGCCAGAGCCCATCTTCGGCCGTAGTGGGCGGTAAACGGCCAGACGAACAGGCACGAGAAGAAGGCTGCAAGATGAAATCTCAGTTAGAACCCAGAACTCTCGTATCAATTAGATTCGGCTTCGGATTCAATACATGTATATACACATATGTGATATAGACATACCTCCCGCCTGCAGCAGACTGGCCGACAGCGAGGCGACATTCTCCTGCTCGCCGTCGCTGAAGCCCATGTCCCGCTGGAAAGACTGCAGCGTCAGGACGCCGCCCACGATGCCCGTGTCGTAGGCGAAGAGAAAGGAGCCGACACATGACAGGGCGACGAGGTAGGTGGCCCTCCATGTGCCGAGGCGCGTCATGATGGGCTGCTGGACGCGAGTGTTTGCATAGAGATTTTTTTTTTTTTGTTAATCGACGGGAAAGGGATGGTTGAGGGGATTGATTCCAGGCGAACGAGGACGTATGTGTTCAAACAGAAACGAGAAACAATGAGAGTAACAAGAGAGGTATGCGGAATAAAGAATAAAAAACCCTCAACACTACGATGGAAAAAGAAAAAGAAAAAAAAGTCGTGAGATTCACGTCTCCAGGTGAGGCGACTGCAAGTTTTGACGTAATCCGGGGCTGAGCTGCATTTACATACATACATACAGCGCCAACTCATCCGAGCAAGTCAAGACCTGAGCTATACGCGCATGGCCCAATGCAAACAAACAGGCTAATGTTTCCCCCATCCCGAGATTTCCTATTACTATGACTATGTATGTACTTGTGCCTATCTATGGTGTGACCCCGGGGGTTAAGTGTGGTCGCATGCACGTTACTCGTACACGCAGCTTATCATTTGATGGAGAATGAATGAATGCTGCGGGGAAAAGAAAAATGAATGGATCAAATGGTTTCTTGTCGTTTATCCTTGGCTTAGCTCGGTGCGGAGAGGAAACCTGGGGGTGGGTTTATTTGCCCGGATTCTTGGATTTTTTGTGTCTTTTTAAATGACTCCCCGTTGCGGGTGTTTTGGGGGGGTGGCTGATTCAGCGTTGCTGTCAATTATTCTCTCATGTGATGGCCATTGAAGTTATTCCGTTCGACGTGAGGAGGTTGTGGCTTGTGGGGGCGGAGAGCAGCCGTTTGGTTTCCGTTGAGGAGGGTCGGCTATGGGAGGGCTATTGATTGAGGCGTTTGGTTGTTTTTGGGAAGTGAATTGATTTTTTTTATTTTTTTTTATTTTTTAAAATGCTGCTTTAAGGCGTTTGGATGGGGCTGATGAAGCTGATTCACATTTATATGCATGGCGGGTGGGAGCGAGCATGGAGGGCATTAACATTGACAAACAGGCCATGGACAAGTAAAGACACCACTTGGTGACATGACTCTATGTGAATTGATTATATTGACAGAATGTAGGTCAATCTGGATATATCGGATCCTAACAATACCGGTATTTCCGATATCACGAATTCGGTGAATCGTGCAGAAACCATATGATGCCTTGTCTATGCCGCTGGTCTGCATATAAGTGGCCGCCGTTTTCGCCAACCCGCAATACCATCGGCATCATCTGCAGGCTGCCCTTTGGCCATGAAGGCATCATAGCTTCACTTGAGCAATGGAGCAAAGAAAAAGGTTTCCTTTGCACAATTGTTGAATTGGCCTTGGCAGATAAGTCACAGAGAATCAGGTATCGCCATGAGGGCGCGGCGTATATATCAAGACGATGGCAGTCGGTAAATCTCACAGACATGATTCTTAACTCGATATCTTTGTTATCTTTGAGCTTCATCAATTCTTCACTTCTCGTTCCGTGAATCTATCTCTTCTTTAGCAACTGCTCAAGTCCAACATTTCGCTACACACCGAGGATTCAATCATGGGGCGCGAACATTCATCCAGCCGACGCTCCAAGAGTCACAGCTCGAAACGCAAGACTTGCAAAGTCGACCACTGCAGCCGAGAGCGCAAGTCTACGACGCACAATGGCGAAACGATCACGTACAAATATTGCGAGAAGCGTAATGAGTTTTCCTTCTTCCCTCCTTGTTCCTTTCTTTTGATATGCTGCGAACCTTGTTTCTAACACAAGAATAGATTGGGATCGGGCAAACTCCAGCAATCAAAGTAGGTATAAGTCAGAGATATCGTCTTCAAGTACCTCCTCGGACATCTGTTCCAACAAGGATGCGCTGCTTTCTCCGGTTTCAGTTTCCCTTTCCCTTTTCTAGAAAGCTAATGTAATAACAGGCTCGGGGTGCAGGACGCCTCCCCATGCAAGATGCTGTGAACAACCGTCATTCACGCCCATGTACCCCAACCGTAAGTCTCTGCTGCAATTCACCATACAGCTTCCTCTCCGTTAATTCTTTCAATTCCACAGAGAAATGCAACTTCCAAGATTGCAATTGTGCCATCAATCTTCCATCCAACTACTTCTTCTGCCCGAAACATGAACGAGTGATTTGGTACAACTCGTACAACTCTCGTGTCAATCACTCGCATCCTTCTATGCAACACGGCGCTCCCCCGTCTCCTCCGCCCTCGCCCCCGCAAGTAGCTGTGGACGGCACTATACCACCTGAAGATACCACCACTTCATATGCGACAGACGGACGTCGTAATTCTACCCAGAGCAGTGCTTCTGGCCAAACAGCACCCTCTCCTATCGCCACCACCGTCGCAGCTCCAGCCGAACCAACAGTGGAGTCAAAGGTCGAAGTTGTCAGTTACGTGGCTGATCAAGAGAAGCATCAAATGTGCGATGATGACGATCGTTTACCGACCTTTTGGTCTGGCGTTGGCGTTGGACTTTGTATCCTGTTGCAGATCATCCATGTCCTTATGCGGCTGTTGCTAGAACTAGCCCAAGGAGTTGGAAAACGAGGAATGTGGTGAGCAAGTGGAAAACTGGGCAGTCAACTTGGAGGATATCACGGGGGAAAAAGAGACGGAAGGGTAAAGCAAAAACATTCCGGAATGTCTATTAATAACGAGTGTGTCTATGGCTTTCAACAAGCTAGTCAAACAAATCTCTGCAACCAAGCAATACAAACCAAAACCTGACCAAATCAAACCCCAAACAAAACTCATATTCGCCCATCTTGGCCAGCAAGAATGCAAATGATGGCTTTATTCTCGCTTCTAAATAGTGAGAAACGGTGGCCATCATAATCACTGATCAGACTCACGCGAGGGATACAGCGACGCGCGCATCTCCTCGAGCATGTGCCTCACAGTCTCCCACCGTCGTCCATCACCAATGCTGCCCTGATACCTGTCGAGATCTCGAATCTCAATGGCGAATGCGGCATCGGCCAGCTCTCCGGTGATTCTTCCGTCAGGAGCAAAGGCCATGGAGAGACGCAGACCTTCTCCGGGCGATTGGGTGGCGTCATAGGGTCGAGTGATCATGCCTGGTCGGACGAATCGAGGAGGCAACACCAGAATGATTCCGAGTTCTGCCACCAAGTCGACGCTCAGAGCGCTTGGAACGGATTCGCGGTTAACAATCGTGAAGAGATTGGTAAACTCCTCTGGAAAGCCTGGAAGAAATGGGAAATCTCCCAGGAGGGCAGCATTGTCGATGCTTTGTCCGTTGGTTGTCTCCGAATCAGCGACAGAGTTGGTTTCACTGAGATAGCGGCTGCTGGGGCCGCTGCTGGGGCCGCTGTTTGAGCCAGCAAGGCCCAAATTGTGGATGGTGAGGTCGTGGGTGCTGGAGTGATCGCCAGCATAGTCGTCATTGCGAGAGTCATCACTTGCGTAGTCGCTGGAGTCGTCGCTGATGGAGTCGTCATTGCCGTAGACGCTGGAAGTGGCAGATGCTACACCCCGTCTGAAGGTGTTGAGGTTATCGAACTCCTCGTGCCAGTCCTCAGAGACGAAGGGGGTGTTGTTTTCAGCCATTTTGAGTGACAGAGGTGCTGTGAAGTCGATTTGAGACGAACTTGGTTCTTGTGATCACGTAGTTAGGTTGAGAGTGGTTGAGATGAAAAAGGTCCTTGTAATTAGGATGTCGAGTGTAGGAACTTGAGAGTGCTTGAGTTGAATGTGGTTCTTGTGATGGTCGGGTGTAGAAATGTAGAAGCTTGAGAGTTGTTGAGCTGGATTGAAACGAGGCTCATCCATGACAATTTATAGTTGTGAGCATCCATGCTGGCATCATGATCATTGAGTCTTGTTCATAGGATGTGTATCTACAAACTAGTTGAGTTCATTTATTTGGCTTTGTACCGTCATCTGGTCTTTGTAAGTGTGCAGAGGAATGGCTCAAATACAATGCAATTGTTCATAGATGATGTCAAGATAATTGAATCTTTATTGTTGCAGCTTGTGATGGCAATGAGAGAAACAATAGATCGTAGCGTCCGTGTATAAAGCACTCTCAAAATAGAAGTTGGAGAAACAAGAGGCCGTTTTGTCTGTGGAAGTATTCTAGAAATAGAAGACTCATCTGTCTTTGTCAGGAGAATTGAATCTTTATTGTTCTAGCTTGTAACGACATTTGGAGAAACAACAGATCGAACTGTCCGTACATGAAGCACTCTCAAAATAGAAGATCGAGAAGCAAAACGTCGTTGTGTCCGTGCATAAGTCACTCCCGAAATAGAATACTCATCTGTCTTTGTTAGACAATATAACGGTTCATTCGCTCAGCCTTATGAATAGGTCAATGCACTTACAAGCATTAGAGAAACACAAAGAAAACATGGCCGTCTGCAGTATTCAACTGCTTTGTTATCTTGCTCAGCCTTGTCTTTTTTTCTATAATTAATCTATCTAGCGGTCAAGCTATGGGCATTACAGAATCCTTTTCACTTATAGCCGTACAAAGGTTGACGAGCAAAACCATTGTTATCTTGACGGCAGTTGATTGCCGGCTTCCTAAAATAACATCAACAACGGGACGATCGAGAACAGTCAAAGCTCCCTTGCCTGTAACAAGAAGAGTTCAACAGCATTTGCTCCTTCGACCAGCAACATTTCTCGGAGCGTCTACCGATTCGCCCACTTTGAACATGAAACATTTCCTAGACTCCATAGCATTGTAAGGGCTTGGCACCCAGGACCTGCATACCCAATTAAGTCATTGACGAATTGAATCACTAACACATCAGCAGCAAATGCAGTAGCTGACTGTTGTCTTTCGGCCAATCAGTGTAGATTTCTTTACACATCTCAAATTGTCGCCGATGGCGTAGTATGCCATTATAGTGGCCACCATCAACCACCATTCGAGGATAGCATATCGACAAAATAAGAAGACACACGGTTCGGATAACTCTCCGAGGTGAGCTCCAGCCCAGCTCCATTCCACTTAGAGCTTCACGGCCGTCAAACTCAATTCCCAAAGCCGTCTCTTGACTTGGCAACTAGTCCACGAGCGGAAGATTCAACGAGGCGTCAACTCTTCAAGCTACCAAAACTATGCCCATTCCGCGAGTCAAGCTTGCTTCCAGGCATCAAAGTCCGTTCAACCAACGTAATAACAGTTCCACATCAGTCCATACTATGACGTCTAGGGTAGAGCAATGGCGAGGCACGGCCTATATTTAGACGTCAGCCGACGACGGGGCGATCCTGCTTGTGCTTTTGCATATACGCCTACTCCGCAATCCGTATATGGCGACTCCTCGCTGCTTCACCGAGGTGTGATATCACATGAATCAGGCGTGCACGCATCCCGCTCAAGGCTCGGCCATTCTTTGGGCGCAAATGCAGTGGCATGGGCCGTCGGTCTCGGCTCCCATGGCAACATGCAAGCTTCCACGACCTCCATCTTGGCAACGGGGGCTGGGGCAGGCGTCCTTGAGCTCTCGGGAGCTGGTTTGTTTGTTTTGCTCTGCTTTTGCCATTTGTAGACGGACGTGCATGATAAAAGACTGCATTTATCGTGGGATGGCTGTGCTGGTGGTAACACGGCATCGCAGTGGCGCAAAGGGCGCGGCAATGCCGACGAGGTTGAACCAAACACGAAGAAAGACGAGACATTCTTGCTTGAATCGTATCCACCGAGGAATCACCACAGACGGTGCTTTGACTCTACAAGCATCAAACAACCACGTTACCCGTAATGCTCAAGGCAAGGGATCAGGATCAGCAGCATCACGTTATGTCTCAGTCCCCTAGCAGAGACGGTGATGTCAAGCTCCGATCCACACGATGACGCCTCCGCGGGGCCATCAGAAGACCAAAGCTCGCTCGCCTTTTCATGTAAAACACCGCCTTTGAACACGGAGCACAAAGCGGACAAGACTTGATGAAAAAGGGCACCCGTATTAGATCGATCGACTCATAGCCATAGCAAATCGCCACCGAGGCGTCCGAGAGAGCTGCGGAAAGCGGCAACGCGGGACCAAAAAGGCGAGGGTCCGGCTTCCAGCGGAGCAACAAGGCAGCTCGCTTGGCCCAACCTCGTTATTTTTCTTTAGTTTTAGGGGACAAGAGAATGATCGGTGGTGCTCTTTGGACTCGAACTCTATCTGTCAACTGGCGGCAAACAGAACGAAAAGAGGAGCCAGAGCCAGCAGAACCTTGTGAGTTTTTAGGTCACGCGGGCCGCGCACTGTGGCTCCAGTTTGGGGGGATGAGGGGGGACATGGACATGGTGTCGTTGGCTTCCATCATAGGGGATGTGAAGGCGAAGGTGTAGAATCTGTGTATGATGGAGAAGCTCCGTTGGATACACAGTGCGTGGGTCGAGCTGAGCCAGAGCGAGAGACACATCGTATTCCGGGAGGAACACTGCAGCTGTAGCTCCACTGCACTATTTCGGATGCCGTGGTTGCATTTCGTGTCGCTCCGCCGTGGTTTTCGTCAGAGATGGGCCTTGGTCTTGGTCTGGCCGAGGATCAGAGTCTAGATGGGCCTTGGTCGAGTCCGGAGGGGTATAAAGAGTCGAGCTGAGAAGCATCTAGACTCGAGTTTAAGCTCTCATCAAACAGAAGCAAATCAACTGACTGACTTACACAACTACCTTATTATAAGCTTTCCAACCAACCCCTCACCTGTCGCCTCATTCTCATACGACTCATCATCCTCTTCCCTCTTCAACTCTTCCAATCCGATTTCACAACTCTTCTCAGTCAAGATGCAACTCTTCGCCGTCTTCGCTGCTGCCACTACCCTCATTGCCGGCTCCAACGCCCTCTTCATCCCCCGCAACATCCACGTCGCAGACTTCCGCCTCTACAGCGCCGAGGGCTGCCACGACGGCAACCTCGGCGTCTGGACCGTCATTGATGACGACTTCAAGAATGGCGAATGCAAGGGCCTCAACGACAGTGAGCCCAAGTCTCTGAGCCTGACAGACATTAACAAGGGCTGCACATGTAAGGAACCCCCCACGAGCGCTGGAATCCCCCAATCTTTAAGACATTTGTCTTATACTAACCCGCAAACCTTGCAGTCACGGCTTACACCGACGACAAGTGCACCAAGGGCAAGAAGGATTTCACAAAGGGACACTGCTTCGACGACAAGGCCGGGTGGAAAGCCTGGAGCATCAAGTGCGATTACAAGGACTAAACAGGGTCCTCTCCCTACATTCTTTTTTTTTTCCCTTCACCGCAACTTTGCCAGCACCATTGATTTACATCACCTTTTTTTTCCCATTCCTTACATCATGGTGGAGTTTCACGTTTTTTTTTTTTTTTTTTAAAAAAAATCAGGATTACACTGGACTGATTGTGGGAACGGAACCGGGACATGGGCACAACAAAGCATATTGATTGACACGGAACGCATTATGGGGTTATCGGGCTGGTCATTTTCCAGGATCACGGCTTTTGGGGTAATAATGGGTAACGGTTGTTATGACACGGTCCTTTTTATGACGATGCATTACATGTACACATACATTATACAAATACTGATGGCGGATCCCATCAATGATAATTAGTTAATGAGATAATAACAGCGCCAGCGAGGCAAAAAACACATATTGAACAACGATTGCTTTCGTCATTTCCCAACACACAACGGTGATCGCCTCTGAATCATGACGCTTTCCATCACTAAAGTAACATGACTGCTCCGAAGTCGGTGCAAAACATGTCCAGCTATAACACAGCTGCAGCTGCCTCATGCTGTACGCCCACTCTCGGCGCTCACTGATGATGATGATAAAAAACATGCACACAATGCTGGCTACGCATGTTGTGTCTAGTCCATGCGCTTATGCAATGGGGCACATTTATGAATGGTCAGATGACATGAGTTGGATTCGTTCTGGAATCAGAAGAGCTGGCAACAACTGTGAATGAAGATGGTAAAGATCGAGGCATGGCCATCCTGTCGTGTTCAGTTTACGGGGGCAAAGGCAAACAAGCTGACAAGACACTAGCACTCTGTCCCATGTTATGATGAAAGAGTGGCAAAGATTGCAAACCGCAGCGTTGAATTACATGGTTGATTATGATCATTTCAAGTTTCTTTTCATAGAGCTCAGTTCTGTGCAACCAACTTGTTCAAGTAGCTTGACGAGCACAGCATGTCCAATTCCCAACACGATGGGTCTAGGTCGCTCGCCTACGTGATACTCCATCCTCAACAAACACTCAACAAATTATCAAAGTGTATCGATATCGTTCAAATTCATTCGTTATTCTTTATTCATTAGACTCAGGCTGGAAAAGCAGTCGTTTTAGTTAATCGTAACAGCAACCTTGGCAAAGTGCTTGCCCGACCACTGGTACTCATACGCCTCCTTCAGCTGCTCCAACTTAAACACCTTCTCATCAACCACCGGCCTCAGCGTCTCAGGGTGAGCCTCGATCGCCTCAACCAACTCCTCCAGCTGCACACGGCTACCCACAAGAATACCACGAGCAGTGAACAAGCTGGACAAGCATCGCAGGAAGCTAGGCTCCTTCTCGTCTCCGCCTCCAGCGAGGAAGCCGATGATGTCGATGGCACCGCACATCTTGACGGCCGCAATGCTCTGCTCCATCTCCTTGGCGCCGGCAACCTGCACGACGTGGTCGACGCCGCGGCCGCCCGTCAGCTTCTTGGCCGTCTCGCCCCAGCTGGGATCCTCCTTGTAGTTGAGGACGTGGTCGGCACCGAGCTTCTTCAGCTGCGCCGCCTTGGCGGGAGATCCCGTGGTGGCAATGACCCTGGCGCCGACGGCCTTTGCAAACTGCAGGGCGAAGATGCTGACGCCGCCGCTGCCCTGGACGAGAACCCAGTGGCCGGCCTTGACGGCGTGGTCGGCAGACCCGAACAGAGCGTTCCAGGCAGTCAGACCAGCGCAGGGGAGGGTAGAGGCCTCGAGGGCAGTCAAGTTGGAGGGGCTGCGCACAAGAGCGTTCTCGTTGAAGGCGCCATAGGTGCGGAGGGTACCGTCTAGGACGCCCCCGGTTCCGGTGGCGATGGTCTTGGGGGTCAGGTTTCCGCCCAGGTGAGCCTGGTTGAAGAGAGTGATGACTTTGTCGCCGGGCTGGAAGAGGGTGACGCTCTTGCCGACGGAGACGACGGTGCCGGCGCCATCAGATCCGGGGACGACGTTTGGGGCCATGCCGAAGGGATACTCACCCCTGGCGATGATGAGATCGCGGTACTGTTGTAGTGATAGTTAGTAAATAGGAGCGTATGTACGTAACACAACGCAATAGGGAGCAGATTGCGGGTCAACTAACGTTGAGAGAGGCAGCCTCGACTATAGCATGATGAATGTTAGCACTGAATAGTTTTATTGGACGTGTTCCTCTCCTCCTTTTCATAGGTATTATTGTTATATAGTTGGGTGATGTGTTAAGGGGTTGCTCAGTACTGACGCTTAACCAAAACTTCGTTGTCACCAACTGCAGGGAGGGGCTGCTCAGAGAACTTGAGTCCCTCAAAGCCATTGTATTCGGCAACATTCCATTGCTTGACGGTCTGGGGAATTGTAAAGGAACTCATTGTGAAGTTCTTGAGCTGTCCGAGATTGATGCGAATATAGTTGGAGATGAAGATGTTTGGTTTTTGTCTTTTGCGGTGACCAGCAACAGTGTACTCAGGTTGCCTAGTTGAAAAGAGAAGAAAAGACTATTGCAATTGATAGATGTCTCATGTGGTTCGATCGATGGGGCATTATGGAGATTGTGGCCCAATATATCTCTTTTTCAAACTTGTATATACCGCAGTTCCCACTTTGTCATGGGAAACAGGCCCATTTCTAATGCACCGAATTGGATTTGTAAGTTGATCCATTCAAGAGCTCGTGTATGCGATCCAAACGAGTATACACAACCCGCGAGAGCACTATCGCCACGATACAATGGTACCATCACCACGATACAATGATACTGTCGACAGACTGCCCAGCCAAGAGTGACATTTCCACAACGTCATGCAGCCACCACCGGACAACGTCTAGAATCCTTCGATGAGTAACAGACGCTCAACCGCGGCGAAGAATCGGCAATAACCGCTACTAGCATCGCATCAGCGGGCGTTGTCATCTGCGGCTTGCGATTGAGCATATTCCCAATCGAGGCAAGGCGCGAAGCCTAACCCCCAAGAGAGAGGCGACAATTTGCCCGGGTCAGGTTGACAAGGGCTATAATAGTTCCCTTGAAAGAGAGTTGCGACTCAGAACAACTCGAGTTGTAGTTTTTGACTTGAAGCGTATATGCAACTCTATTTTACGAATGGCATTATAAATCACAAGGAAGGTATTGTCGAATCATGAAGGCCAGACATGACTCTAGTTGCAGAAATTTTGTTAGCCGAGGGGGACCAACAACGGCGCCGATGGAGTTTCGGTCATGGTGACGAGTGCGATGAATGATTCATTACCGCTCTATCTACAGCAAATTGTTAAGCGAACGAGGCATTTTGTTTAAAACTTGATCATTTCGCTGAATCTTGCGCACAAAGTCTCTCTTTTCGCTCTGGTACAAAGTTCAACCATGGAAGCCAAGCCGGAGAAGTGCAATTTGATGCGATTAAGCGAGCATCTCTATCACGGGGCAAACTCTCTAACCAACAGCCTCAAAACGTCAAGCGTCATAAGCCCTTGCCCACGCCCTCTGATGAAACTTGACTGTATCCAGGGAAGCTCGCGGCTGTGCAGCCTCGAGTTGATTAAACCCTCCCGTATAAGCCTCTCAAAGACGACGCCTTTTTGTTACTCTCAAACTTGTCATCATCATCATCATCACCAGTAGATGACACGTATGAGAGAGCGTCGGGCTGTGACTCTCAACAGGACACTTGTCCATGAGTGAGAGACCGTATTTAAGAGGAACAGAACTGAATGAGCGATGAGAATCCCAAGCCGCTGAGGTGGAATCGTAAGAATAAGCATCACTCGCTACGTGCTCTTCTTCTCACTCACACTCTCTCAACACTCGTAATCGCAAACATCACATCACTCATATACATACATACCAAACGGCAACAAAACTCCACAAACCCCATCTCGTGCACATCTCACTCGTCACGCCTTACCTGATTCATCCATCTCACACCCAATCATGGCCCAAATCCCAGTCCACGACGCTCTCCAGCTTCCCCAGCCGGCAGTGGGACCCTCCTCGCGGCCGCCGCTGTCCCGGCTCTCGTCGAGTCCCGGCCCCGGCGCCGCGGCCAAGACGGGCATCGTCGTCTTCTCGGGCGGAAGCGCGGCCAACAGCCTGGTGGACGTGTTTGAGGGCGTACGGGTGGCCAACGCGGCGACGCTGAGCTACGTGATTCCCATCTCGGACAATGGCGGCAGCACGAGCGAGATTATCCGCGTGTTTGGAGGCCCAGGTACTGAATCTTCAACTTGCACATAGAGAATCACGTCTTTCTAACATGGATCATGTGTAAGGCATCGGAGACGTCCGGTCTCGCCTCGTCCGCCTCATCCCCAACGACAACAAGCGCGAAACAACCGCCATCAAGCTCCTCTTCAACCACCGCCTGCCCCCCGTCTACGACGGAGCCCGCGCCGAGTGGTTCGACATCGTCGAGGGCACGCACCCGCTGTGGCTCGACATCTCGTCGCCCAAGCGCGAGCTGATGCGGTCCTTGTTCAACAGCTTCAACCTCGAGGTCGTGAAGCGCATGCGGCCCAGCAGCCGCTTCGACTTCTCCGGGTCCAGCATCGGCAACCTGTTCCTCACGGGCGCCAGGCTCTTCACCGGCAGCTTCGAGGCCGCCATTTGCCTGCTGAGCTCCATCTGCGCCGTGCCCGACACCGTGGCCGTGCTGCCGGCGCTCAACACCAACTTCGCCCATCACATTGCCGCGGGCCTCGTCGACGGCGCCGTCATCACCGGCCAGAACGACATTTCGCATCCGAGTGCTCCAACGGCCGCCGTGCCGCTGCCGGGTCCGGCTCCGACCTCGGGATCGCGCACGCCGGCGCTGTCGACGAACCATGATCTGGATGAGCACGACATTGAAGACGCAAACCTGCCTGGCAGCTTGCCTGCTCTGCGCCGGCCCGCCATTGCCATCTCCAAGCAGGACGAGGAGGATCTGCCCTGCCGCATCGACCGCATCTGGTACATCAACCCGTACGGCCAGGAGATGCGCATCCCGGCCAACCCGCGCGTGCTCGAGGCCATCCGCGGCGCGCACTCGGTCATCTACAGCATCGGCTCGCTCTTCACGTCGCTGGTGCCCAGCCTGGTGCTCAAGGGCGTGGGCGAGGCCGTCGCCAGCCCGCACATCCGAAACAAGATCCTGGTCCTCAACGGCACCACCGATCGCGAAACCGGCCCGTCGAGCGACCCCTTTTCCGGGCTGGACTTTGTCGCCACCATTGCCAACGCCTGCGCGGACTCGAGGGGCTTGCCGAGGCCGGCTGCGGACGAGTATTCGCTGTACGTGACGCACGTCATTTACATCGAGGCGCCCACGAGTCCCGCCGTGGACAAGCGGCTGTTTGCCCAGCTGGGCATCGACACGACGAGGCTGTACGGACCGAAAGATGGACAGGGCAAGGGAGGGCGATATGACGCAAAGGCGCTGGCGCAGACGCTGGAGAGCATCATCGGGCGCAAGGACACGCGCTCTGACAGGAGCCGGCGTAACACTCTGGTGGGATAGACTTGATTTGTTGTTTTTGTTGTTTTGTAATATAATACAATTGTACCATTTATTATTTGTCTTCTTCAGCTTTAAAAAGAAACACGTAAAGAAACATCTGCCAGCCAACGGCACGGTATCAAACCAATACCACATCTTGCACCCCATGGATATCCCTTTGCACCACCAACAAACCACCGCCCTGTAATGCGTTTCGTCTCCCCTCTCTTCGCTCACAACTCTGATTTCCCTTCCCCCGTCCTACTCATCAATCATCACGACTTGGCCATGGCGAGATACACCACCACAGCCGGCCACGCCGCCGACATGACCAGCGCCATCATCACTCTTCCTCCTCCAACCCGTATCCTATCCTGAGGGCCCTTCCATCGGTCCACCAGCGCGCAGGTCGTCCAGATCATGACCATGGCGTAAATCACGAGCAGCCAGGTGACGCCGAGGATGATGTCGGCGGTGCGGTCCGAGGGGCTGAGGACGTCCTTGGACGTGTCGGGGACAAAAGTAGAAGAAAGATTGTTGCCCATTTTTTGCGGTATAGGGTTGTGTTGTTTTTCTTGTGTAGGTTGTTGAAGGATGTCTTGTGGTAAGAGCGTGCTTTGCGGCGAAAAGAAATTGTGATGCTTTGGTCGTAAATAAAAAAAACGTCGTCGCCAAGAAGAGATGAAGATTGCGAGAGAAACAAAGGTATATCGACTCGCGATATTAACCCAGAAAGTAGAACTGATTAAAAAAGAGAAACCTTCTCGCCCAGCGAGTTTACAGCGAAAGAAAAAAGAGCGAAAAACGAAAATCACACACAGCCGATAAGAAAAAATTATCCCACCAGAGAAGAAATGAATGAAGAAGAGAAAGAAAGAAAGAAGAGAGAAGAGAGAGAGGCCGCGCTGAAAAGGAAACGCGGAACAGCCCCCAAGCTTAGTAGGTAAAATCCCCCAAAAAGAACCTGTCGAAACATATTAGCCTCTCCGGGGGTGTGTTCCCAAGCTCAACCCCCCGAATTCAATCTTGATACATACGGGGATGCAAATCTCAGCCAAGATTAAAGAAATCAAAACAGGGCAGATCAAAGCTCAACGGCTGCTAACCCAGCCGAAAAAAACGAAAGCGCAAGGACAAGAACAATTGTGTTTGAACGTATGAACAAGGCGCAAAGGTGGGACGCTCGTCATACGTTTGGCGTCTCAAAGTGCGGATTCGTCGAAACACGGAGTCGAATCAGAATCAGGGCCCGGTCCAAGATTGAAACGGTAATGACGTTTGTGCTTGTGCGTTTCTCAGCATGCAACTCGTATGTAAGTATGTACCTATGTATGTACAATCAAGAAAAGAAGAGGAGGAGAAAAGAAGAAATAAGGGCATCACCAAGTAGTAATAGCTAGGTCGTCTTCTTGTTCCCGCCCAGCTTCCCATTCAACCTACCCATCTCATCCCTCACCACTCACTCACCAATAAATCACAGGCCAGGCCGGGACAGGCCGCCAGGGGAGACCCACGGAAATATCAAATCACAGCAAAACAGGACATGGGTCAAGCCCTTCTCGTCCAATCAAACAACACCTTTTCCAAAAATATCGTCGCCCTCGGACCACTTCTGCTGTTTTAAGCGCCCGGGCTTGTTCGAAGCGTCACGCAGATGCAGCAGCGGTGAGATATCATTCGTCCATTCCATCTGTGGCTTCTTGTTTTTTTTTTTTTTTTACTCCGTACTCTTCATTTTTATCGATATGGCCTTTTATCCAGTATCTCACTCCAAGGTCGTTTTCTTGCCATGGCACTAGAGAGCTTTCGTCGAGATGCAGCATTAAAGCTACTTGACTGTACAACATCCAATCAACTCCTCTCCGTGCCAAGTAAGCATCATCATGTAGATGTTGCAACAAGGACCAAACTTGTCAATTGAACAAGATTTCAGCCCATCAAACACCCAAGTCGACGAGGGAGTAGATAAGAGGTTCAACAAACTAATGCTGGTGGTGCTCTATTTTATGCATGACCAGGAGACATTTACGCGCGCGCGCACACACACACACACATCACAAAGAGACAAGATTGGTATCATGTGTTCATTAATCCGAATTAACACTATCTGCTATGTATACAATAAAAACATTCAAATCATAACTTTGCCCTCGCCGCCGCTCATGGCAGGCGCGCGCTGAGGGGCAGGTCGCGGGAAGAGCTGCCCACGTAGACAGTCTTGGGGAACTTGGTGACAACCCACTGCTGGGTCTTGGTGTCCCAGTTGGAAATGTCACGGCGAGTCAGGTCAGCCTTGAAGGTGACGCTCTGGCCGGGCGCAATGCGCTCGATACGGTCAAAGCCACGCAGGACCCGCACGGGCTCGTTGGGGCCACCGTGGCTCAGGTACAGCTGGGGAACGGCATCGTCCATGACCTTGCCCGTGTTGGTGATGGTGGCGGTGACGGTGTAGATGATGTCGTACAGCTGGCGGTTGCCGCCGGGCTCACCAGAAGAGGGAGAGCGGTGCTGGGGGCTGCCGTCGTTGGCTCCGGCGGGGAGGAACTGCTTGGCAGTCTGGCCGTAGTGGGCGTCGCCAGAAGCGGCCTGGCCAGAGCTGGTGCTGCTCAGGTATGGGTAGATGAACTCGCGGATGCGGCGAATGCCCTTGGGGAAACCATAGTCCTTGATGTTCTTGCTAAAGGTGCCCAGGACGGGAGCGGCAATGGTCTTGCCGGTAGTCGGGTTCAGCGGGCCGGCGTTGTTCTTCTGGATCTGGATGTTGGAGAACTTAAAGGTCGACCACGATAGTCCGAAGCCGAACTCGTACGTGGGAGCCTTGTCGGAGCTGCGAGGCTGGCCGGGAGCCACCTTGTCAAAGTAGCGGTAGTCAATAAAGGCGCCCTCGGTGAAGTCATCCTGAGGAGCGCCGTTGCCGTTGTTGGGAGTCGTCATGACCTGAACGCCGTAGCTCTCCAGAGAAGGACCCCAGGTGAAGGGAGTGCGTCCGGGGCTCTGCTTGCCGTACAAAATGTCGACAAGAGAGTTACCAGACTCCTGACCAGGAGTACCAGCCCACACAATGGCGGAGATGTTGGGGTGCACGGCGTAGTCCTTCAGTATGACGGGACCAGTCGAGTGGATGACAACAATGGTCTTGGCGTTGTTGGCAGCAACAGTCTTGATAAGGTCGTCACCGTTCTTCCACAGGGTAATGTTCTTGCGGTCACCCTCGTTACCATCGGGGTGAAGGTAGCCCTCACCACTGTCGGAGTTAGCAAAGACAATGGCGATGGCCTCGGGCTGGGTGACGAGAGACTTGATTGCAGAAGTGGCGTAGTTGTTCAGGATGCTCTCGTAGCGAGAGCCATCCTGGAGAGCCTGGTTCTGGATCGCCGCGTCGGGGGTAACGAGGTAGGGGAAGTTGGTGGTGCCAGAACCCCACTCCATGGCAAGAGTGCCATCATCGCAGCCGCGGTCACCGCAGCCGTTGGGACCGGCGGGGTTAGAGCCGGCATCCTCGCCGATGACGGTAAGGAACTTGGGCTTGTTGAGGGGCAGGATGCCGTTGTTCTTGAGGATAACGGTTCCCTTGGCACCAGCCTCACGAATGTGGTTGGCGTGGTTGGCACGGACATCGACACCGTAGTTGACCTTCTCCCAGTTCTCATTGACGGCAGCCTGAACGTAGCCAAACTCGCCATCGGTCCAAGAATCAAAGTTGGTGTCGACGAGGTTGGAAATCGACTTGCCCACCTTGAAGAAGGAGGCCATGATACGCATGACCATGTCGTCGATACGCCACTCGGGAACAGTGCCGTTGAGGACGGCAAGGGTCAGGTTGCTTCCGAAGTAAGACGCGCCGGTGTTGAAAAGAGTATCACCAGGCATGGTCATGTCAAGACCGGCGGCAGCGGTCGAGACACCGGCATGCTGAGCCTGCCAATCGCTCATGACGAAACCTTGGAAACCGTACTCCTCCTTGAGCAATCCGTTGAGGAGCTTGGAGTTCTGGCAAGCGTACGAGTTGTTGACCTGGTTGTACGAGCACATGATGGAGCCAACACCGGCCTTGACGGCATCCTGGAAAGGCCAGCCGTAGACTTCGTGGATGGTCTTGTCGTCAACGTTGGACGACAGGGCCTCGCTGATGGGGTATCCGTAGCCGTTGGCCTCTCCAACTTGGCGGAAATGCTCCTGTTCGTTGAGGAGGAAGTGCTTGGCGCAGGCCACGGTACCGGCATCCTGGATACCAGTGACGGTATCGGCAAGAGCCACACCAGCCAGGTAAGGGTCGTTTCCGAAGCCCTCGACGTTACGGCCTCCGTTGGGATTGCGGCCCAGAGGACCAGCAACAGGTCCAAGAAGAACATCAACACCCTTGTTCTTTGCCTCAGAGCCCAGGGCAGTGCCACGGTCAACCCAAAGGTGTCTGCTCCAACTGGCGGCGGCAGTCAAGCCAGTAGCGAAAGCACTATTGTACCTGTTGAATCGGAGACCAAGGGGGCCATCCTGCATGCAGAGAGATCGCAGGCCCAGGCGAGGGACGGTACCAACGTTTCCAACACACTTCTCACCCATCCAACTGGAGCAAAAGTTAGAAACAACTCGGCTGGCAAAGCAAGGCAGAACCAAATGAGCTTACCCAACACCGGTGGTGAGGTTGACCTTCTCTAGGAGAGTCAGGCCCGAAACAAACTCCTTAGCCTGAGCATAGGCTTGCTCCCAGCCCGGAGCATTGGGGTCCATCCATGGGGAGGGATAGAAAGGAGGCGAGTACGCCTCGTTGGAGTGAGGAGGAGGGTAGGGCTGTGCGTTTGGAAGAGCGTTAGCAGCTGCAAAGTCCAAAACCGTCGCCGTAGAGGCGGCCAAAAGAATGGATGTCTTCATAGTGAAAAGAGTGATGACTGGGTGCCCCTTGAGCAGCAGAGAGGGGTGGAGAGAAGAGGAAGAAAACGAGAGGCGATCCCGTTGATAAAGAGATGTAGCAGCAGCAGTGAACAAGGTAGAAGCAGAAACAGGCAGTGCCAGTTGACAACCAATGCCAATGCTGCTTTCTAGTTCGACTACGCTGAATCTTGCTCATCGAGGGAAGGTGAAAATGATTGAAGGGGACTCGTTGAGAAATAGGGGCAGTGAGAACCAAGACCTCGCGACTTGACGTGTTTATGCAGGCGCATTGGCACGAAGAAGTCAATGGACTGCTCAGTCAAGCAATCCCAGGTCCATCAAGGGAAGTTGTGCATATACAATGGGAAGGGTAAAAAAGGGAGAGAGAGAGCCAATGTCTCAGCGCAATTGGCATGCAAAAAAAAAAAAAAAAAAGGCAACGTACATTGGCATCTGCCACTGCCGCCAAAAGGGCGGCAGCAAACACGGACAGCGGCTTAACCATTGTGACGGATTTCCGCGACCAAGGTATTCAGGATCGGCGGTTGGCGATGAGGATCTCGCTTGAGGAACCGGAGCAGCTGTCGAGGAGAGGGCGAGGGAAGCCCAGCATATATAGTCCGGGGCAGAGTGGCATCGTCAGTCAGCTCATCCACGCCGACGGACCACCTTTCGACTCTCGCCCATTATTTTGATCTTTTCGTCATCCCTACACTATGCTCGTGAGCTAATGCCCATTCTCGGCCTTTGTCCTGTAGCTCAACGTCTCTCCGCCTCTTGCCCCTGCTCGCGAGCTAAGGCCCTTGGACCCTGGCCCTGGACGACTTGGCCATCCACGGGGAAGCAGAAGTGGAGGGAGCAAGCAAGCAATCTCTCGTCGCCAGCTTTCGGCCCCACCGCGCCAAGGCCTGCGATGGCGACCCGGCAGGGATCTGGACAGAGCTTGAGAGCTCCATGATGAGTACAGAATACTCGTACTGGTGCTGGTGCAGGTAGCATGTCGTGGTAAGCCCTGGTGAAAAGGATGGCGGGCGCCGGTGTCTTCTGTACGAGCACTCGTACTCCGTACCCCGTCAAAAGGTGTGCGACGGCATGGCATAAAGGAGTCCGATGCTGGGCAATGCAATGCTACTCCGTACTGTACGTGTAGGTAGGCACCCTGTTGGGGTCTGTTGCGTCGATCGCGATGACATTCCGGAAAGCAAAGTTGATGTGCTAATGTATGGAATCCCTCACCTCTATAATGACATACTGCTAGGACTACAAAGATTCCGGGTAGAGCATTACTGGGTACAGAGATATGACAGAGATGGACAGTCATCGGAAGACGGATTATATCGATCGCGGCTCATACAAGGTAAGTATTTACGGTTAAATGGTTACGAGAGTGCTCCTAGAGGAGGCGCTCTTAGCCCCAGGTACTCTGCATTGTACAGCCCATAGCGCCGCGGCTACCTACAAGTACACGTACCGCAAGCCGCTATGCCGCTCGCACCATTAGTGCCTGTGCCGGTGTTCAGCGCCTTCAAGTCAGCTTCCAGCGCACGCCACATCCAATCGGACAATGAACTGCCCTCCTTGTATCTGTACACAGCATCAACTAGGAGGAAATGCTCTCTACCTTGAGCCCCTGTGGCTGAACGCCAGGCCAATGGCATTTGCTGCTCCTCCACGGCAGCTCATTTCAATGTCTCTCTTTCATATCACGACAACCTCCTTGATGCTCGTACTCTGCCAACACTCAGCTCAATCCGAACATTACACAGCATAGGCTTCTGTCGCGCACCTCGTACACCCCGTGCTAGCCAAAGCGGTGGACGGACCTACTGTACCATGGCTGGCGTATTCGGAGAAAGGCGAGAGAAGACGCTACTGTACTCTTCATGGCATGTCCCTGACCGAACACACCACCAAGCACTGCTAGGGTGACAACCCGAGAGTGCCAGAACGCTTTCGAGATTCTAGAGACCGAGGAGGGTTGCATCGCCCAGGCACTGGGCGAGGCTCCGCTATACAGCCTGCGGGGGGAGTCCCGGAGCAGTTGGACAAGAACAATGGCTAACAGCATTGGGCCTCGTCCCGCGCAGCCAAGCTGTGGCAACTGGCAGAGTCGGAGAGAAGGGCCGATGAGCCATGCAATTTTCTCTCTCTCTCACTCCCTCTCACTCAGCGCCATCATCTAGGCTCTCCTCCAAGGCTCAACTCATGATGGCCCCTCGGCTGCAAACCGACATCCCATCATGGCCACACTTGCATGCACGGAGCATCTTTCCGCCTGCGGGGCGTCTTCCTGGGTCCACGGTCACGAGGAACTATTGCGTCTGCTCCATTGACGCCTTCCAGACCCATCGAGCAACAAGTCTTGATATTTCCGATCTACGATGGATCGTTTCATTGCTTTAGAGCTGTGGCATTGGTTCCTGCGCACCAATATCGGCGACGAGGGCGGCCGTGATGGGGCCTTTTTTTCCAGCTCGGCGGAAGAGGACTGGCCAAGCGAGAGATGCTACTTTGTAGTCAGCGGGCCAATACTGGCACTGGCGCTCTTGGATTGGACGGACGGCTTGTAGGCCGCTTTCTATGCCGTGTCATGGCAGATGGCATCGGGAATAACAGAGCCGCAAGAGGATGTGGACGGGTAAGGTAATTTCAGCGGTTCAACGTCGCGGCTGTGCAAATATTCCGGACTTTCACAAGCAAAAGCAATACCGTTGCCATGGTTGAGCATTCGTGCTGATGTTACAACAGGCACAGGCACAGGCACAGGCACAGGCACAAGACGAGGCGAGGTAGCATACATGCTCTAATGCAACGGTGGCGAGGCGACAGCAACAGGCCATGAGCCCACGGTATCACGCTAGAATGGAACGCTGTCAACAAGACAAATTTTGCTACGGTATGCTCCCCCCTCATGCTAGGTTGGCTAGTACGTAAAGTTGTCCGTAACCTTGACGTGTTTGTACCAGACCAAGCAACCAGGCCGTCAAGCGACTTTGAGGCCCGCCGATGAGCATCTTGGGGTGGTATTTTTGCATGGACCCGCTGCGGAGCGTCATCATCGTGGGGATCAACTCCATATTCCATCCCATCTTAGTGGCAAGCCCCCGGCCACCGGCTTTGGGGCCTCTCCCGAGCGCCACTCAGGCACCAAGTCCCGGCCTCGTCTGTTAGTCAGGCTTTGGGGAAACTCCCGAAGCTCATTTAAACACCATCCTAGCTGGAGCGGCACATGGCCAACATGTTTCATGTGGCTACTGACAATACGAAGGGAGACGTGCACCCTCACGTGGTACATCGAGACAAGCTGCGATGCCGTGCTTCCCATTCTGCAGAGGGTTCGACTTGCTTTCTTTGAATCTGCGTCTCCAAGGCTAGTTCCTCGTGAGAAAAACTCGAACAAGCGAAACAGCAGCAAACGAATGCCGATCAAGGCGTCGACTCCGCTCCCGCATCGTCTCCCCGCATTTACCCCGATGCCCCGACTACCAAAATGCCTGGGGACTCCCCTTCTTTGACTCCCTGTTTAGCGCCCCTGTTGTTCGGGCCGTTTTGCTGTGCACGCAAAAAGACCATCGGGGAGTTTCGCCAAATCCCCTTTGCTCTATTCTCGAATGGGTATCTGACAACTTTTCCACCAATCCGGGTGACTGCTGAGGCTTCACTACCCCAAAACTTGCCTGCTATCCCTCTAACAGGTGTTATGCAGATTGGATTGGAGGAACTATCAAGTGCAAACTTGCTCAGGCATTCTCCAATTGCAACCGTAATGCTAGCAGATCTTGGATCACCATATTCAGCACGCTGTCTCGTTGTATCGTTGCATCGCTTCACAGGGGGCTGACAGCCAACACGTGCGAAGCGGAGAGCTCCCCTAACCACCATTGACCCAAAGGGTGGTGACCAAAACCAGCAACTGTAATGCTCTGCTCGGTGCATGGCCCATACCGGGCAAAGACTCAGGTCTGGCAGCTCCCAGTACCGGTGTACGAGTACATCTCGCAACACCATCTCCGGGACCCCGTTCCGCCGGGCCCGGGGAAATTCTGGTAGCCTTGACAAGACAATGTCTCTTACCAGTCTAGGTTAACTGGGATAAGCAGTGACGAGGGGCAGCGTGGTGATGCCGCGCTTGGGAATTATTCGGTCATCTGGGCTGGCGTTCCTCAGCCTTGGGACGAGTTCGGCCCGTCTCGTTTGTCTAGAGGTATGCATGTATATGCTTATACTACTACGCATATTACGCCCATGCCTCTAATTTTTTTCAGCTTCCTTCAAACCGGCCGCACGGGATACTCGAATTCAACTAGCCCCTTCGCTCATTACTGTAACCAACCTTGGTCTTTCACCGGGGACGGGGACGGAGCTCTTTCTGCGCCCATTGCGACATCCTAGCTCGTTCCACGGAGCGCAAAAGGTGGTCGGCCAACTGCATTGACATGTCTATTCAGGATTACAATTACATCTAGACTATTGCTATTCTACTCTACCATTTGACAAGAAACGCCGAAAGGCTTCCGCGGGTGGCTGCAGACGCCACGGCGCCACTGACAGCCCGTTGCATTTTCCACTTTGCAAACCAATATCCAACCTGCACCTCTATCCAAATCAGCGTCTCTTCGTTGCTTCGGTGGTTCTCTCGGCAAAGAGGAGCAGCAAGATCCTTTTCATTTGAGCTAGAGGTTCAGCTGGCCATCAATCGCCGCCTAGTATATGCCAGGAATGATCCTCCATCGTACAATCTTCTTGTACTTGTTCCAATCCTCGCCATACTTACGGTAGCACTTGAGGTCATCCCGTCCATCACGGTGGATCAGGAGGACGCCAAAGTACACGATATAGAAGTAGGTGATGAACATGCCCCAGCCCTTGGCTTCACCTTGAACCACTTGTCGGCCATCGGCCATGACAAAGGCCCCCTCGGCCGACGACGCGCCAGTAGAAAGGATCTGGTACCCGGCGAGACCTGTAGGCAGGCAGTATGGCCATGCCTGGATCCAATCGCCAAAGTAATTGATGTGGCGGGCGATACCCCACCAACCCGTGGTGAGAAGCTTGCTGCCGGTCTTGGTCTCGATGTATTTGAGATGAGCAACGCTTGGATCGCTGGGGTTGGTGCGGAAGACGTTCTTCTGGCTGTTGGCGGATCGGAAGATGAAGAAACCAAGACCGATGAGCGAACCGGAGACGAGGAGCCCAACGGGGCCGAGCGAGCGAGGATAGACAGACAAGTACCGGGTCTGAAGGGAGTAGACGAACGGGACCCAGACAAGGTCTCCGAATGACAGCATCATGCCAAAGCCATCAGTGGTGATGTCCATGGTCGTCAAGATGGCTGCCTCGTTCACCCACGAATCAATAATGTACAGGGCTTGCACAATGGTAATGCAGACAACACTGTCTGTGACGTAACCATAGTTGCGGTACTGCTGAGCGCACCAAGAGCAGTTCAAGATGATCCACCCCATCATGCCGGGTCGAAGCTCGCACCACTCCTTCAGATCGACCTCTCCAATAAGGGGGATCGTGACGCGAGGGTTCAGCTCGCGTCCAATGTACCAATCGTACAGGATGTTTCCCGTGCGTCCTCCAGCGGCCAGCTCGCGGTTGTCCTTGTTGCCAGCCTTTACGCTGAAGCTTCGGACATAGACAAAGGTGGCCATGCCGTACGAGAGCAGAATGCTCGCGGTGAGGAGCTGGACGTAGTTGTCGCTGATGAAGGTCCAGACGGGGAACTCTGCACCCTGGGCGATGGTTCCGGCGGCAAGCGCAAAAAGAGTCGCCATGTTGGAGTACATGGCTGTGATGAGGTTAGCATGACAGCCCGTATATGCGTATCACATGTGATTTTTCTTTTTGTATGACGTACTGTTGAACCTGTATTTGAGGCGCCCGCCAGATTTCAGAACTGTGCCCTCCACCTCGGCGGCAGGGAGAATCGCGTATAGAATCAGGTTGAGAAGGTAGTATGCCGCCAAAGCGCCAGATGCCTTCCAGCTAGCCAATCCCCAGATGCCATCCTCGGGCCAGCCAACCTCGAGCTTCAGCTGGTCGATGGAGAGAGTTTTGGGGCTCAGGAACGAGGGCGCGGGACAGCCCGAGACGTCGTTGCAGGAAAAGGTGAAGAGGTAGACGAGAACGGGGAGGCCGAAGGAGATGCCAAAAGCACCAAGCCTGTGAAACACGTTAGAATCTCGCGACTTCTTTCTTTCATCTTTTCTCTCCTGCTGCTAAGAGATTGTGACTTACGGTCCACCGAATTCATAACCGTGAGGCTGCTCCTCGGCAGCTGGCGATGCTTTGCCCATTATGACACGTCGATGCGAAGCTAAAAAGGGCTGCTCCAGCACTTGTTTCTCCTGCGACGATACGGTGCCTTTTAACACAATCTCTCCAAGGAGGCTTAGACACACAAACAAAAGAAAATGCGTGACACTGCCTCAAGCCATTGGGCAAGTATGACGAATTTCCACAAGTTGGTGTCGTATCGGGAGCATACGCTTCCGAGTCGTGTCTTGTGAGTACAAGTAGAGCATATACGAGTACGCCCTGGATTTGGATTTCTCCCGACTCAGGGTAAGCTTTGGCTCGCGGTTCCTGGTGGCTAGACCGAAACGGACAAACACATTACCCGATCGGCGCGTAGTTGGTGACTGATCGACGTCATCCAGGAACCCGCCAACCAGAGGGCGAGACGCAAATCAAGATCCCGTGACTTGACGACAACTTGCTTTGCCCAGGTATCGTTGGCGCCTTGAGGCTGGCGGGCTGCGAGGCTGAGACCATTTACATCACCCAAAACTTCCATTCCTTTTGAAGTACCACGTCGCGGAGATTCCTGCTGAAAGCTACAAGGATCAGGCTGCGAACTTGCTCCCGCGTTGCGACAGCCATCGGCCTTTGCTCAAGACATTGTCGCTCGTTTTTGTCTCTCCGTGTCTCACATCAAGCCGCCCCCCCCGTATTACGCGGCAATTGATGATCGCGCAAGCATCGCAAACTTGACAGCCCCTCGAGGCCACTCTCTTCCATTACTACCCACTATTTCCAAAGAACTCTATTCAGCATGATCCCTTCAGTCTCTCGGTTCGCGTTGCTTCTGGCGACGGCCGCTGCCGCTGTCAACGCAGCCGCCGACACTCCCACGGCGACGGCGCCTCCGCCGGCGTGTACGGCAACCTCGTCCACCACTGGTGGCTTCTTCGACCTGCGGCCAGATACCGCGGTGTTGCCGCCGGATAATGGGAAGACGCACAAGTCGGGCATTTACAAGGACTATCACGCTCGAGGCTGGGACTATGGCAAGAACTTTACGCTCAACATCTGCGGCGCTGTGGTCGACCCCGTGGGCGATGTCGTCGGATTGAAGGAGAGCCAGTGGGCCAATGTTAGCGCTTACTACACCACTCACAACAGCGTCTACTCGATTGGGTTTGTTTGAAGCTTTTGCATTGCATCGCAGTCGGTTCCGCGCGCTAATCGTTGATGCAGATCTCTATCGCTGGACTTGCATAGCCGGGGGAGAAAGCTGGTCCTGCAGTACACGGGCGGATCGCCGTGTGGGGAGGGCAAGTCAAGCCCGGATAACGATGATGACGATTATGATTACGACAAGCGGGGTGCGAAACGCTACGACGAGGGCCTCTCATCGCCTGGCCACGCCCATGCGGTCGAGACGATTGATCGCGACGGCAGCACGTCCAAGATTAGACGAAAGTCGGCTACAATTTCTTTCCTGTGCGATCGGGATCCCGGGCAGACCACCGCGGTCTCATTTGTCGGTGTCGATCCCGATGAGTGCTCCTACTTCTTTGAAGCCCGATCCATGTACGCCTGCGCCCACGCTGAGCCGCACAAGCCCGGCAGCGTGGGGCCCGGCAGCGTGTTCGGGCTGATTCTCGTCATTGCCGTGCTCGTGTACGTCCTCGGCGGTGTCTTTTACAACCGCACAGTGGCGCACGCGCGAGGATGGCGGCAGCTACCCAACTACAGTCTGTGGGCCGGCATTGGGGGCTTTTTCAACGTGCGTCCTTCCCGGCCCAAGGCGGGGCTGCCTTATCACTAATGTAAGCGTGTAGGATATGTTCATTATCTTGTTGTCATCCTGTGGACGCCTCGTGCCGAGCAGGAGAGGCTACCAGCATCTTGGCTCCAGCCGTAATAACGAAGCGGAAAACCGATTGATAGACCAGCTAGACGAGGAGTGGGACGACTAGTCAGAGTTGGCATTTGCAGGCTCTCTCTCTCTCTCTCTCTCTCTCTCTCTCTCTCTCTCTTTTTTTCTTCTTGTTCAGCTTTTTGTCTGGCGTTTTTATTTATGCCGGATTCTTTACTCTTCGTAGGGAAGTGCTGTTCCCATTTGGATGTACATATATACGTATCTCCTTTTTGTTCTTCTTCTCCCTTTCCGCTTTTTACTTTTAAACTTTGACACCTTTGCACGGCATTCACGGCGTTTTATGTTTATTGGAGCCGGTTGGATGTGCCAAAGTGCGTGGACCGAACCTTTTGGCTTTGACCCGGAGGAATATGGAATAATAAGGTATGCAGGGTTACGATTTTGGATACCTGCTTTGCGGTACGAGACTGTCACGGGATATGAGGGAAAATGGGATTTTAGTTCAATGATGGAACAATAAAGGCAGGCACTTTTTTGTTTTCTTCCCTTTTTCGATCCATATCCGCTTGACTGTTAGAAGGCTATCCAAAGGATAACCAACGTTGAGCTACCAGCTTGACGGAGAGTGTGCTCCAAGTCACATCTCGCCCATGGGAGTTGGAAATTCCCGAATGGGGAAGAGTGAAATTGGATCGTCTTGGGTCCCGGGAAAGGCGATCCCGAATGTGATGGACCAAATGCACGCCTGTGCTCCAGAGGGCCGTCGGTTTTCTGGGAATATGCGGGTGGCCGGAGGTGGCGATGGGGTGGAAGAGGGCATGTTTGCGCAAAAGATGGAAGCTTTGGGGGATGTTGAGAGAGAATTCTAGGTGATGATGCGTGGTGATGAAGAAGACTGTGTTCAATGGTCTGTATCAGATACTGTGGGCTTTGGATTACTCTATTTCCAGGTGTACTCTTTCAGATGATGGTATAGCTGGGATCTAATATCATCAACACGTCCCGTGCAAACAGAAGATGCTCCCTCTTGGATAACCTCACCGCTCCGCATCCCGATGCGCTTCCCGCGGATCATCTCGGTCCGCGGCTGATATAGAATCATACCTAATTAAAGAATGTGTCATAACACAAGCTACTGGCTTCCCTAAAAGTTCCATGCTTCCATCTTCTATCAGTGTTAAACTGCATGATGGAGTTTCGTTGCACGCACACAACGGAGTAGGCGATATGTTGTACGCTTTATCATGACACAATATGCATGATAGACAAATATTTTGCGTCCTGCTGTGCTATTTTCTGCATTTTCGGAGTTTGTGCTTGTTGGTTGGGAACATGTCGTGCGACCTGCGTGGGCTCGGCTACCCGGGCTAAGGCCCTCTCTGTAGAACACGATTCAGCTGATGAATGGGGCGAGCTGGATGGAGATACGGAGAAAAAGAATGACGGTAAAAAGGAAAGGGTTGGGGTATATGATGAAAGTAAGCTTTGGCTGCGGGTTTCCTTTGTGCTGTCTCTGGGGATGATGGGCTTGGTCTGAGCATACAAGGAGAAGCTCAGACTCAATGGACTTGAACGGTCTGTAATAGACGTCTTTGAAAGATTGCAATACGAGTTGTAACAAAGATCGAAGTAATAGCTATTGCAGTGCGTATGACTGACTCTTTGTTTGTAGCTGTCCACTTTCTACCAGACCCTTTGCAGATACACATCGTACAGTAGGCGACATGTTCTAGAAGATCACCAACGTTCTATGCAGAAACATGCACAGGGGATAAACGCATGCCAGCTTCTGCCATCATGCTTCTGGACTCAGGAAACCCACATCCTCTGCCTCTCGAATATTCTCTACTTCAACACCACTCCCCGCTCCTGCATGTCCCTCCACGCCTTGCATGCAGTGTTCCGACAAAAGCTCCAGTCTCTTCCCGCTTGTTCAAACACTTTCGTTTGAACCATCAGGGTTAGGCCGCGTCGGCAATCCCAGGGACTCCAGCCGGGACGAATATGAATGTGGAGAGGCCGCGAGAATAACAACGGGCAGATCCAGAACCCCCGGTCTTTCGGGAAGAAGCGTTGACGGGGACTAAGCCTGAATCGTTGAGGACAATCTTGGTGTTGACAGTTGAGGCTTGACGTTGCCGTTCCCAGGATGAGGTCTGAGCACCTTGGGCGATGCGATGTTGTGTTGCATTTCTCCAGATTTCTTCTGCGGCTAGAATATGCGGCCCTTTCCCCCTTTCTTTCAACTCTGTGTCGGATTGCTTGCTTTGGAAGCTTTGTCGTATTACAAGGAGGAAATCTTCTGGCGTACAATGTCGAGTTCGCCTCTTTACATTTGGTGGCGCTGGGACTGAACGTTGACCTTGACGCTTGGAGTTTCAGGGGTATGGAGGAAGATGAGTGGCTCTTTTGAGATGGTTGAACGAGTTTTGGCATGCCGGTTTTGGAATGACTTGCATCTTGTTTAATCAAAGCTGTTATTGTCTGCATTTCCGGTAGCGGGAAGCAATGACCACTGGATCTCGCGCTATCGAGATTGACTGGAGGTGGATGGCGGGAAGATGTGCAGGATAGAAAGGGGCAAAGCAGAAGATTGAAGTGGGTTTGTAATATCTCGCAATGCTGTGCATCTAACTCTCTTGTCATGGCATATAGCATATAGACCATAGGCGGTCGATTTTCAAGTTGGTTTTATATCATGTGGCGGATCGAAGCTCGACAAGGCGTGTGCACCTCGGACACTTGTATTGCCAAGTGACAGCAGCTCGAGGAGTCTGTTTTTGTCGTTCGAAACTTGCTGCCAGCTGTCAGGGCTTTGGCAGAACACTACTATTTATTTTTCTCAAACTTCTCCCACGAGGAAGAAAGATATTTCCTCCTCCTCCTCCTCCTCCTCCTTCTCCTCACGAGATTCACCACGCCTTCTTTGCACACAACTGTTCCATCATCATTCATCGTTGTGTTCAAGGTGGACGGAATCTATTCTATCTGTTGTTTTATTCTCCTTTTCAAGAAAGGAAATCATCTTCGACCTTCGCCTTTTCGACTCTTGTCCCCCCCAAGCATCGCGTTTCGTTCGAGCAAGATTTGTTTTGTTTTGTCTCCTTCGTGACGCAAAGAGTCACATCATCGTCAACAACTGCCATCAAGACTTTCATCTCATCAGAATAGTATGCCCATACCCTTTCATCTCTTCCCACCCCCAGCTTCCCCCATCCCCACCTCTCATCTTCAGCACGGGAAACCACATCATCACCGTGCATGGCAGATCCATCAACTAACCATCATCACAGACCATGGATAACCAGGCGGCGGGTAGTGACGGTCAGTTGAGCTGGCTGGTCTTTTTCAGGCGGGAACAGACGGACTTACTTGTAAAAACAGCAGCAGGCATCCCAGCAGCCGGGAACGAGGCCTTCCCGGGAGGCCAAAGCTTTGATGCAGCCGTGCCTGGCTTTGACAACGGTGACGGTACCGGTCCTCTGTACCATCACAGTTTCGACCTAAACTGTGAAGGATGCAGACGACAAGCCTATGTCAGGCTTCAGGAAGAGCAGTATCTTGCGGCGCCCCAGCAGTGGGAGTCTATGGATGCAAACGCGCAGTTCTATGAACTACGTCGGTTGACCATGACCGAAGAAGAGTATTTTCAGTCCTTGTCCGACTTCGAGGTACGTCTTGTCGACTCTTCTACGCCGGGTCTACCTTGGTGTGTGGTGAATGCTGTACTGACTTTGAACAACTTCAGGACGTAAATTATTTCAACCAGCCATACCTCGCCCAGTTCGAGGAACATGGAGAGCAAGGGCCCATGTATCATCACCAACAGCCCTTCGCGCCTTTGCTCCCAGTTACTGAGGAGACTCAACCTGTTTTCGGGATGCAGAACATCCCTGATGAGGTCATCGAGCCTCTTCTCTTCCAGCAGATGGCAACTGGTGAGGCCTTTGTGCCTACAACTTTTCAGCCAACGGCATCTGAGCCCATGACTGTGCAGCCTGGAGCCTATGGCCCGGCCACCATGCAGCCAACTATGTATGCGCCGACGTTTGTGCCTTCGGGCGTTGAGGCTCCCAGCTTTGAGCCTGCAGAATTCAACTTCAATACTTTGCCCCATGGACCTGTGCAGCAGCCGATTCAGGGCGAGCCCTGGGCCATGACCCACGACGGCGGTCTCTTTGAGCCAACTTCTGAGGATGGCGTCGAGCGTGAAGCATCTGGCGAGGAACGCAATGTGTTGTTTTCGTCTGCCGCACAGCAAATGACTGAGGCTACCACCGGCGTGATGAGCATGCAGAACCCAGTTCAGTATGAACCACTCGTTCCCGGTCAAGCTTCAGTCCGACCTCCTCGAAGACTCCTTCCCTCCAATGGTCAGCGCGAGCCGCCTGTCCACCGCCAGCCTGAAGGCCGAGCCAGACGCTTGCCTGCCGTTCAGCTTACATCTGAAGAGAGCTTGGAGAGGGCTGAGAAAGACCTTTTCCTTATTGAGTCACGACGACAGAATATCTCTTACAAGGATATCAAGCGCCTTGGAAATTTCGCAGAGGCGGAGTCGACCCTGCGTGGCAGATACCGCACTTTGACGAAGGAGAAAAAGGATCGAGTGAGGGATCCCAAGTGGACGGACATTGATGTAAGTGTATTCGGCACTGGTAGTCTTATTGTGTCGTGCTCTAACGTTGCTGCCAGGTTGACCTCTTGAAAGAGGCTGTCCGCGTGTTGGCTCACGGCCTCCATCCTGATCGCGCGAAGCTCTCGTGGATGGCGGTGTCTCGATATATCACCAACCATGGCGGAAGCTATGAGTTTGGATTTTCGACCTGTCACCGTCGCTGGGTGCAGCTGGAAGAAGATGGTCAACTGGGTGATACCGGTTACGATGATAGCTGGCGCGATGAAGATGAAGAAGCGGAGACGCTGGCCGATCCCGAAGAGGAACGCAGTGAACTTGAAGAGGACGAAGAGGACGAGGACAGTCTCATGGTCGACGAGGACGACCAAGAGAGTGAGGAGGAGGAGAAAGAGGACGTGGTGGAAGAAAACGAGAATGAAAGTTCGAGCGACAACGACGACGAGGATGCGGGCGTTCCGATCAAGACGGAAGTCAAGACGGAAGAATGAAGAAGACTCGAGAACGCTCTTCAAGAGCACGACGGCACAAAGAAGTGGCCGTTTCTTTTCCTTTGTCTCATTTGGCAGTTTGGGATTTTCTTTTTCTAGGTTTTTTTTTTTTTTTCATTTGTTGCATTCAGCACGCCATTCATCACGAGAACAAAGTCTCGCACAAAGGGAGTTTTACGGAACAAAGGGTTTAGGGAATAAGGGATGCGGAAATTTGCTCGCTTTTTCATTTTTTTTTTTTTTTCATTTTTTTTTTCATTGTGTTATTTCTTTGTCGTCCTTTTTTTTTCATTCTACATTGCGCGTGGCATATTTTGCTGTTTAGGCTTTGCCTTTCAGATTTTGCGGTTTAGGCTTCGCCTTTCAGACTGCATCTCAGTCTTTGCATTTCAGACTTTGCAGTTTAGGCTTTGCCTTTGAGACTGCATCTCACATCAGACTTTGCATTTCGCATTAGCCAGAGACGCATGGGGTAGCAATGTCACGGATACGGATGGATACGGATACGGATAAACAGGGATACGGACAGGGTCAGGCAAACAAGCAGAGAGGAACGGAACTTCATGTTAGAGTACACATTTCATCTCTTCTAGGCACTTCTAATACATGGCTCTTGAAGTCACTTTGTCTACTTGCGGCTATAGTTTAACCTGCTCATCTATGACTTCTTCCCGTGGGACACCGATGCTCTTCAGTACAGCAAGCAATCCGCCTGGACTCTTCTTCAAGGCGTCCCACTCTGCCTCACTCTTCACGAGTGCCGTCCCTGCGAGGAGAGTGCCGTTTAGTGCGAGGGATCCAATCGGCGAGGATGTTTCGCTGCTTTTGATCTCGGAGCCTTCGCTTAGGCGGGGGCATATGACTATCGAGTCTTTTGTCATGGCCATGTTGTAGCTGATTCTAGCTTCTCCAGTGGTGGGAATCTCATCTGAGGCTGAACTTGTGGCTCCTGAATGCTGGGCGACTGCTTGACACGCCTTTTTGTAGAGTCGGAGATAGGCGGCGTGGAGACTTGCGGGGGAAGTTTCGGTGCTGATGGGTTCTGAAAATACAACAAAAGGCGTCTTGTCTAGTTTATCTGCCTGTTGAGCGAGCACATCCCATGACGAGCCAGTGTCCAGGCCGTCTTTCATCCGGGATACGGGCAAGAGCTGGATGTGTCTATGAGGTTGGCTTGCTCCAGAGTGCTGGCCGCCATTGAAGAAGGCGAAGAGTCCATCATCCTTTGATTCCTTTGGAGATGAAGATGCTCCATCCTGCTTCGCCTGTTCATAGGCGTCGATGCAGGCGAGCGTGGCTTCGAGGTCGGATTCCTCTAATAGATGAGTCTGCAGCTTGTACTCTTTTGTCGCGAGGATGAAGTGCTCTGGCACAACGGCGAATTTGTTCAAGACTAGGAAATGAGATGGACCCAGGTCTGTGACGAAGAGCGAAGCTGGAGGACTGGCAAAGGGATCGAATGGCTTTCGCGGCTGTGAGGGATCTGGAGGGGGGCCTTTGGGTTTGTTTGCTAGAGAGGGGGAGAATCGTAGTTGGAACTTGTGGCGTGTTGGATGTCAATTGATTTTTGCTTCTTTATACTATATCATGGATGTAGTATATATGGAGAGAGATGGAAACGTACGGGAATGGAATTGACTTGGAGGATTGTGACTTGAGTGGGGAAGTAGTGAAGCTCGTTTGTGGAGAGAGCTTTGGAAAAGGTTGCCTTGACGAGTTCATGGAGGTTTGCGGGTGCCTTCAATCGCGACATTGTGAAGATTTGAAATGTATAATTGGTAAGCTGATGGCGTTTGTGAGGTTGAGAGATAGATGTATAAGAGAGATGATTGCCTCTATTGTATGAAGCAAGATGGATTGCCTCGGAGAAAATGGTCCGTGCGAGGTTGGACAAATCCCCCTCCAGAGCTATAGCAAATCGGGACTCAGAACGAAAGCTCCAGAATAAGCAACAGACTTGATGTTTCGTTTGTCTCTTTTATGTTCAGACACTTCAAGGATGAGGGTATCATTTATTAAATGAAGAATTCAATATGACTATCCTATATCTTCTCAACTCGAATTTATACAGTCAGTTCACGCCCGCACTTGTATCTATATCCCTGGCAAGCCAACCACTCCTCGAACAGCCGGCACAAATCTAGGCACATAATAGATGGTGTATATCCCCAAGATGGCGGTCAAAAGCCCAGTAAGCTGTGAAACGAGTTGTCAGCTTTATTTCTCTTTGAATTTGAAGAATCTTACATCAAGCGACTCACCTTTTCAAACCACGTGTGAAAGTATATAGCCGTCATCAGCAGCATCCACAGGTTCAGTGACATGACGCCTATAGCCGTCTTTCCTGAAATGTTGAACACGGGCTCTCCTTTGCCCTCTCCTATAGCCGTTTCCGACTCTACGCTGGCGCTCTGAACAGTTCCGTCAGAAACGACTATGCTTCTCTCCTCAGCTAGCCATCCGCTGAATCTGAGAGCAGACCAGCCAACTTCCTGCATCAAAAACGCAGTGCCCAGCACCAAAAGAAAAACGTGTCCCGAGATGTCGTGGCCACCCTTCCACTTGCCCCCGGCCGCCTTGCATGCCACGGCCGTCAGCATCTCCTTCACGGAGCCGTCTCCCATGGCAACCTCTCGCTGGGCCAGCTCGCATTTGCCGCCGGTCCACCGAAAGCTGCGGTCAATAATGGGCGGGCCAAAGAACCACTGCGTGACGAAGAACCACCAGCCGGTGACGGCCACCCACCGCAGCCCCGCGCGGATCCTCCTCATCAAGACGACTGCGGGCGGCGTCTTGCCGGTGGGCTGGACGAGGAGGGAAAAGACAAAGGCAAAGGTGATCCATCCCCAGCCTCGCTTGACGTAAAAGACGTTGAAGACGTTGTTCTTGCGGGCAAAGTAGCCGGGCGACTTGCTCGGGTCTTGGTGGTGCGACTGCGACACGTGGTCATATTCAGCGGCGCGGATGTCGGGCGAGACGATGGAGAAGATGGTGCCGAAGACGAGGATCGCGGGGAAGATGCCGAGGGCTATTCGCTCGAGGGGCGTTGGGAGATACGGCGGGTTGTGTCTTGAGGCTTGGCTCTTGTCTTGGTCTTGATCGTGGCTCGTAGGGGCGGCCATGTCGCTGGAGCTGGAATTGTTGGGATCGGATTTGGATGCGCGGCGTCGAGATGCCATTTGACTGGACGGAAGAAGGAAAAGCGAAAAGAGTGAAGGAGAATCTAGATACTCGCAAAGAGACGAGAAATCAACGAGTTGCGATCATGAAGAATGGCGAGTGAGTGTGTTGAGGGTTATGCGATGTAGCTTGGAAAAGTACGTGTAGCTGTCACTGCAAGGCTGAGAACTTGGGCTGTTGAAGTGTATGACGTCGCCGAGGCACTAGAAGTTGGAAGAGTCTGGGTTGTCTGTGGAGATGGGTTAGTGGCGATTATTCTAAGGCACACGTCTTGATGATATCAATATGCTTTGTTATCTATCGATATGGGTTGATTTTACCCTGAATACTGTATTGCTTGCTGAAACGTGTATTGTTGGTAACAATCGAGCTCTCTAGATTGATGCAGGCATGTAGTGACCAAGACATGTGATAATGACAAGTGCTGTAAGCGTCAGAGTTTGGACATCATCAGTGAGCACCTCTACAGCATATAAGAGTGGCTTCAGTTGCTCAACAAATTCAAAGCATTTTTCTTTGAATTTTCCATTTCCATTTCCGTTCCATCCTCGTTCTAGATTCTTTTGATATATCAAACGCCATCTTCTCCAGCATCATCAAAATCCCAACGGTTTTTCTTGTGATAATCTACAGGGTAACCAAACATGAGGGCGGTGGATACTGGTCCCTGCCCCACTATTCTAGCCTCGCGGCAGGAAATTCTCTGATCCAAAAAGTTTAGCCGCCGCATCTCGACATTTCTCTTGCACCTCGAATCTCGAGATTTCAGGCCGCGGGATTCTTCAGCATCTCCAATGCCAACATGGCGGCCGCTGACGAGGCTCCTGTCGCTAGTGGCGCGCCCGCGACCGAGCGCAACGATGCAAAGCCTTCAGGCGACCAGGATAAGAAGCCTGACAACGGCCGTGGGAACAAGGGAAAGAAGGGCGACAAAGGCCGCGGAGAATGGAGGTGGGTTTATATCTCTTGATTTTGTTACAATTGGTGGGCTGGCCGCAGCATTTACCAACGGCGCTGATCAGACTGTAGCCGCACCAAGACAGACAAGCGGAAGCGCAATGACGAGTATCGCGAGTACAAGCGCCGCAAGATTGCCGACATTGACAACCCCAAGGCGAATCCCTTTTCCAAGGAAGAGATTGAGGCCGAGAGCCGGCGGCCAAAGCGCAAGGTTGCCGTCATGATTGGCTATGCCGGCACGGGCTACAAGGGCATGCAGCTCAATGGCGACGAGGAGACGATTGAGCGTGACCTCTTCCAGGCTTTTATCAAGGCCGGCGCCATCTCAAAGGCCAACGCAGACGACCCGCGAAAGTCGAGTCTGGCTCGTTGCGCTCGCACGGACAAGGGCGTGCACGCCGCAGGCAACGTCATCAGTCTGAAGCTGATTATCGAGGAAGACGACATTGTCGACAAGATCAACGAGGCGCTCCCGGCTCAGATCCGAGTCTGGGGTATCCAGCGAACCAACAACAGCTACAACTGCTACCAGTACTGCGACTCGCGGTGGTACGAGTATCTCATGCCTAGCTATTGCCTTCTCCCCCCGCACCCGCAGAGCTTTCTGGGCAAGAAGCTGGTGGAGATCAACAAGGAGTACGGCGCCGAAGAGGAAACCAACGCACGACTGGCCGATGTCAAGAATTTCTGGGAGGAGGTGGATGAGAAGGAGATTAAGCCCATCTTGGCCCGACTAGACCCGGAGACCAGAGCCGCTGTTTTGGAGAGCCTGCATTCCGAACAAGCCTCAGGAGAGGCAGAGGCAGACGATGCCAAAAAGGCTGACAACGAAGAGTCCGCTGAGCCCGCTGCCGCTCAGCAGCAAGAGACGGCCAAGGAAGAGGAAGACTATGTCATGGTCGACAAGGATCAGCCGTCTGCAGAAAACGCCGAGCCTGCTGCTATTAGCGAAGATGCCGCCGCCCAGAAGCCGACAGTCGTTCTCGAGACGGTTCAGCCCAAGCGCCGCGAGTTGGGACCCGTGGACTTTGCCCTGCGCGACATCAAGGCGGCGTACATTGGCGCTAAGCGTGCGTATCGCGTGTCGCCTGAGCGCATCCAGAGACTGCAGGAGGCCCTCAACAAGTACGAGGGAACCAACAACTTCCACAACTACACCGTCCAGAAGTCGCATGGCGACCCGTCGTCAAAGCGACACATCCGGTCGTTTGTTGTGAACCCCAAGCCCATCATCATCGGCGACACCGAGTGGCTCTCGCTCAAGGTCCACGGCCAGAGCTTCATGATGCACCAGATCCGCAAGATGGTTGGACTGGTGACTCTGATGGTGCGGTGCGGAACCTCGCTGGACCGCATCACGGAGAGCTATGGTCCTAAGAAGATGGCCATTCCTAAGATGCCCGGCCTGGGTCTGCTGCTGGAGCGGCCCGTGTTTGAAAACTACAACAAGAGGGCAAAGGAGACGCTGGGGCGGGAGGACATTGACTTTGACAGGTACAATGAGAAGCTCGAGGCGTTTAAGCAGGAGCAGATTTACTCGCGCATATTTGGCGTCGAGGAAAAGGAGAATTCGTAAGTCTGCTTTTTTATTTGTGCTCATATCATGGGAGAAGACACGTCTGACATTATCGGAATAGATTCCACAGCTTCTTCACGCAGATTGATCAATTCAGATCGAACCACTTCCTGTGGCTGACTGCCGGAGGCATGAAGGTGGCGACAATTGACAAGTCGGGTGGAAAGGACGTGGACAAGCAGCTGGGCGACGAGGATGAGGAGGATCCTGAAGGCGGAGAGGGTTAAAAAGAAAACAATGTAGCTATATATTTCTAGACTCTTGTATCTATGATTCTCATGTCCTTGAAGGGCTCTTTGGCGTTTTATCAATTGGATATCCTTTTCTTTCATTGTTTTTGTGTTGGGTCGAGTGGTATCTGTCTACACCTGTATGAACGTGAAAACCCAACTCCGAAATGCAACCCCAACGCCTAGTAAACCCAGCACGCAAGTTTCTCCCTTTCAATCACCGAGCGTCAACTCATCATCGTCCAGCACCAGCTGATGCAGCCGCAGCCGCAGCAGCAGCCGCCGCCGCAATGGTGCTCTCCATCTCCTCCCTGACGAGCGGCTGCCACGTCCCGCCGTTGCTCTCCGCCAGGGTCTTCATCTTGGAAGCCTCCATCTGGTTGAGCAGCTCCGACACGCGGTTGACGTCCTGATCGAGCTGCTCTTCTTTTTCTTTGCGATCGCTGTCTTCGGTGCCGAGGGGGCCAAAGATCCAGAGCTCTTTGATTTTGCGGGAGAGGGTGAGGAATTCCTTGATGGAGGTGTACTGTTTTTTTTTGTGTGTGAGAAGGTGAGCAATTTGGTGGGTGTGATATTAGGAAGGTGAGTTTTGTGTCAAGTGAAGAAGGGGGGAGAGAATGGGTGAACGTACGAGTCCGTCGAATTCCATTTTGAGGGAGATGCCGGTGACGGCCATGGCTTCGGGGTTGGCGTTGTTGCGGTCTTGTTCGGCTTGGACGGTGGCGAGCATCATGAGGGTGCGGTAGCGGGTGAGGATGTCGGCGACGAGGCGGTTGTGGTTGTCTGTGAGGGGGGTATGAGATGAGATGAGATGAGATGAGAATGTGAGGGTATATAGGTACATGGGTGAATGTGTGAAGGTTGATACGAGGATGAGAGATGAATGTGTCATATGAAGATGGGCAGAATTTGAAGAGGATGGGCTGACTGTGAGTAGAGTATACGGCGATTTAAGACGGGCAATGAATATGGACAAGATGGAGATGATGCTACAAGATCATGGGCAAGTGAAGCATCGTGAGAGGTGATGCCATATGGACGGGACGGCTTACCCATCAAATTGGACGAGGCTGGCTGTGAGCGCTCCATGTTGATCGAGGCTGCTTAGTGCAAGACCACGCAAGAGGAAAGGCTGACGATGATGAGTAATGCTTCGTTATCAGAGATCAATGACGGATTGAATGCGGTTCCGGTTCCGTGCTAGGCTTCGATGCCTGTCCTGTCGTCTGTCGACGTTGTTTTGGCCTGGATGGAGCTCGAATTGATGGTTTGTCGCGATGAAAGCCAAGCGAGGCTAGCGAAGGCTGAGGCCGGCAGGATTGAAGGTTGGCGGGGCTGGCGGCTAAGCACTGAAATTGTAGCGCCTTTGGGGGGGGGGCCGTTGGGGGGGGGGGCTGTCCACCTACAGTAGCCGTTTAGGTTCATGCTCAGTACATGTACAGGGTCATGGATCAGTCCTACAGTACATACAGGTATGTATGTACATACTAATGTAGCACGTTGTAATTCTCAGCACTAGAGCGCACATAGTCAGGGATCATGACCGTTGAGGTGTTGTGACTGTTACAACAAACACCTATCGAAAAGCCTAATGGAAAACAACTTGATGAATAAAATTCAAATAATATGGAATACTTGCAAAGACACTAGGAAATGAATTAATCCTCAGAGTTCAACACAACTGGACTAGGTATCTGTCACACCAGTTGCGTTCGAGACAACCAAGAGCGCTTAACAGCCCAGTCACGCAACTCGTCGACAATGGAACTGAGCCTTACCGCAAGCCCGGTAGCTGCATGTGCCAACAGAACAGTGTATCCCTGCCCCTGTGCCTCGTTCATGGATGCGGATCCTTCTGGTTGATCCATCCAGCAAATGTTGCACCCCCTGCAGCAGCTACTGCTGGTCGGAGCATCTTGTCCCCCATGCTCTCTTGTTTCCCCTCTTCAATATGGCTGATGCTGCCAAAAGAAAAGAAAAAGAAGGCCATGTGGCGGTGTTGCTGCATCTGCAAGGCCGGGACTTCGAGGCATATTCAGTCCGCATCTTACATGGTTGGTCTATTTCGAATACCGGCTGTCACTATTAGCCGCCTACTAAGGAAGTGGAACCATCTAAAGACAATAGTCAACTCTTGAGAATAAGACAACACAAATAGAAACAGTCGAAGAAAGTGTCACTCTAGAGAAGAAAGTCACAGATCGGTTCCAAAAAAAAAAAAAAAAAAAAAACCAAAACACAACTCAAACGACCCAAGGAGAGAAAAACTTGAAATCTGACTCCCCCCCAACAGGCTGGGACAAAACCACCACAATCCTCCGCATCTCACTCCCTGCTGCAACTTTTCGCTATTCAATTCGATTCGCCGAAGCCCCGCAGCCTCTCCTCAGCCCCATTGGCCTGTCGCAAAGTTGAAAGCCCGTGCCGTCGCTTGTGTGGGCTTTATTTCGAGGCCTGGAGGTCGATCCTTCGCTTGGGAGTGAACAGCCGCCCCAGCCAGGATTTATGTGAGTGGCTGGCCCGGCTGCTTGTCTGTATGCACGCTGATGTCGTTTCCAGGAGAGGAGGAGAACAGGGAATTGGTTTTTTTTTTTTTTTTGCCAAGTGACAAATTGTACGGGGGGTTGCTGTACTTTACTATACGTGGTGTCTCGCGTGTTGTTGAGTGTACATGTAAGGCAAGGTTGAATACATGGTAGCGTGATGGGATGGGATGGGATGGGAGGGGCCTAGGATTTGGGACCATGTATGTCTGGCGTTTCATCTGCGAGAACTCGGCTTTCTTTTCCTCTTTTTCTTTTCCTCTTCTATTCCTCCTCTTTAGCTAATTTCTCTTTCTTTCTTTTTGCCATGTGTCATGTATGCGTGTAGTTGATCCATTTTGCGTTTGGCGGTTACATCCAGCAAGCTTCCCCTCCTAGCCCACGTTGATACCAGCATTAGCCATAGCACGCGCCTCGAAGCGTTGCATTGCTTCTGCTTCTGCTTCTGCTTCTGCTTCCTTCTTTATTTCTCCTCTCACTCTCGCCAAAGAAGCTTCATTCTTTGCCAATGGCTGGAATAGACTCAACAGCCACTCAGGCCCCGACTAAACCGGCCGTCCCCGTCGTCACCTCGTTCCCCTTCAACCCCCTAACGACAACTTTTACCCGTCCCTCGGACTGCGATGGCATCTTTGCATCCAGCTTCCTCTCTGGCATTGACTTCTCAACGACCTGCCTGCCCAAAGGCTTCCACACTGACGAGATATCGTACTTCTCGCCCGGCCTGGTGTGCCCTACGGGCTACTACTCTGCTTGCCACGATAACATCGGCGCGAAGAGCATCACGACGGTAACATGCTGTCCGACATTTGGAACCGACCTTTCACTTTCGTGTGTCACGGCTAGCACGCTGGCGAGTGTTTGGTCCACGCTGTTTTGTACATGGGTTGCAGGCGATGTTACTTCGCTCCCCATGACGGTGAGCGACAACGGCATCACGAGCACGGTGACGAGATCTTTCTCAGGACGTGAAGGACTCAATGCTTTTGGCGTTCGAATGGTCTACCAAAAGACTGACACTCAGAGGACAACAATGGCAACGACAACCAAGCACACGGCAACCGAGTACACACCAACATCCTGGACATGGTCTGGGTGGCCGGCATACCCAACGGGCCCTGAGTCTAGCGACTCATCCGGTGGCCTCTCCTCAGGAGCAAAGGCTGCGATAGGAGTAGGAATTGCCGTGCCCATAGTCGTCGTCGGTCTGGCCGTCGGCTTGTTTGTTTGGTGGTGGAGGAGACGGAAGCAGTACAACAAAGTGCTGATGGGCCAGCAGACACAGCCCACAGAGCTTCACAACCAATCGACGCCTAGCGAGTTGGTGGGAACGATGGGCAAGCCTATGCATGCTGCCGAGGTGCCTGCGCATGAACCTCCCGCGACTGAACTGCCGGCGTCATGGCGGTAGCGACGGATCTTTTGGAGACACTGTATGATTCGGAGGCGTTTCGAAACGATACCCTACGAAATAATGGATTGGAGTTTTTTCCTTTCTTTCTTTGATGAGATGGATGTTAGCGGAAGCTTTGGAGGCCTGGGAGGAATGGATGAAGGGACGACATTTGTGAGAGGCTGATTGTTTGCTGCATTTTTGAGGGGGCATGATGCTTTGAGGAGAAGTGAAACCTAATGTTTGGCGAGAGCGCTGTAGCAATACGCGATGATTGTATTTGACCCTAGAGATATCCGATTTATTTGTTGTTCACTGAGCTTTGATATAAAGACGAAGAAGATGTGATGCGTGTTTAGCACCGGTGACTCATGGAGCGATATGATGACACGCTGGGGAGCTGTTGAGATATACCATGTATTCGGCAACACGATGAATAGAACACGGAAGAAAGGTGTTATAAGCGCGAACAAGTGCGACACCGGTGCTCACTGTGAGCGTTATATACCTCTACAGGCACCTTGTGGTAAAGCATTTCATCTATGGAGAGCTTGATATAGCATAAGGTACGTCGTTTGACTCGCATCCTGCGGGTTGTTTGCGAAACCTTCCGTAGCATATCCAGTGTTTCCATTTGACAACGATCGTCGCCGCCAGCCTCTAGGTGATCTACATCTAGCTTGCGAGGTGAAAGAGATTGAGTAGATGGAAATAGATGTGCGGAATACATACGGTTATAAATGTCGGGCGCAGTTTAGGAATGTTCGGTCTGTAACGGTCCTCATCTGTCTCTTCAAGTTCCTTTTATGCCAAGGCCTTTAGTTTAATTGCTTTTTGTTTGCAATGTTGACCAAGAGTATTTGATTCTTGGCTTCAAGTCATGTGTCCCCTGCATTAATCTCCAAAAGACGTATTTCTCTTGTTTCTATGTGTTTCGAAATGAGGTCAGCTGTTATCAGAAGACAAAGGAGGGTGATTGTTCGCCAACGTGCTGTTTCACAACACAAAGCATCGACTTGACTGAACGAAACATTACGAACACAACTGAATCATTGTTTTTTTGGCTTGTCGATCGCTCGCGTGTTCATCATAGCTGCAATTCCTGATCAGATACAAAAGGGAATACGAGATCAAGAGCTGTCTCTCAAACGATCCTTCTTCGTCGACCTCTATCAACTCGGAAAAACATACCAAGTCACAACCATCACAAATAAAGTCCCCCAAATCACGAAATTATTCATCATGAAGTGGTTCATCAGCATCGTTGCCCTCTACGGAGCCCTGGCAACTGCTTTGCCCAGCAACATCAATGCCCACAATTTACCAGACATTCAAAATGTAGCGGGCGTCGGCTTAGCAGAAGCCCATAAAGAAGGAGGCGACATGCCTAAACGTGGCATTTGCACTGATGATGACCTGGATTGCTGCTGCCAGTGTGCTGGATCTAAGGCTTTCCCGTGTATTGGATGTTTTGGGGTAAGTGATTCTGAAGAACTAGATAACGTGTGACTTTGACTAACGATGATGGATCATAGCTCAAGAATTGCCCACACGAGAAAGTGCGTTTTGTGAATAAGGAGAAGTACTATAACTACTATACGCATAATCCACACGAGTCAAGAGGGGATGATGTTAGAGATGAAACTGCTATCCCCAGCAACACCAAAGCCATCAATTTCTTGGAGGTTCAAGATGCAGTGGAAAACGATTTAGCAGACATCCACAAAGAGAGAAGCGACAATGCTAAACGCGGCATATGCACTGATAATGACCCGGATTGCTGCTGCCAGTGTGCTGAATCTCAGGCTTTCCCGTGTATTGGATGTAAAGGGGTAAGTAGTTCTAAAGGATTAGCCAATGTGTGGCTTTGGCTAACGATGTATTATAGGAAAAGCAGTGCATAAACCTAGGCCGTGTGTCTTTTGATGTAAAGCCGTCAATAAAAATTGTAGGCTATAACTAAGGGACAAGAGATGATGATGTTAGATATGATGGTGTTGAGAGGGATTTTTTGAAATAACTTGGATGGTTAGTTGAGTGGCAGGATTCCTGGAAGAACATCAGCCTATCTGTCTTCACAATCCTCTTGCCCGAGAGCTATTCTCGTGTAGACTATAATTCAATCATTTGCTTCTAGATACATACTAAAGTATTGATATATACACACTTGCAACTCCTTTTCGTTCCTTCACTCCGCATCGCGTATGACAGACCGCCTGGGCCGTATTAGTCGCAACTTACTGGTCATTGTTCACCAAGACATATCGGTACTTTGCCTTTCCAAGATCCATATCGACAATGGCACGGTTAGCTTCGCTCATCGGCCACTGCTCAACCCACGGCTTGATCCCCTTGTCGGCAGCAAGCTGCAGCATCTCACGGATCTCGTGAGGTGAACCCATGAAGCTTCCAGTCAATGATCGGCGACCCGCGCAAATCGTTCCAGCACCAACTTTGAATTGTCCGTCATCCGGAAGACCGAGCTGGCAGAAGATACCCTCGCGCTTAAGCAGGCCAATATACTCGGTCAGGGGCATGTTGGAGCTCGAGATGGAGCAGATGATGAGGTTGAGCGTTCGGGCGTGCTTCTTTGCCCATCCTTCTTCTTCGGCCGTGGCGATGTATTCGTCTGCCCCTAGAGCCAGAGCGTCCGCTCGCTTGTCCGAGCGACGAGACACGGCCACGATTTTATCAGCGCCCATGGCCTTGGCGAACAGGATGCCAAAGTGACCCAATCCGCCAACCCCGAGAACGCCAACCGACATGCCCTTGAGACGCTGGTCAAGAGGCCCCTCGCCACGGTTTCCAAAGTGCGCGAGCGGCGAAAAGGTCGTCACGCCGGCACACATCATCGGCGCGGCATGCTCGCTCGCGAGGTTGTCGGGGATCTTGAAGGCGAACTTGGCCGGGCATCGATGGAACCGAGCATAGCCGCCCATGCTCTTCCCGCCAGCAGCGGTGAGGTACTTGGCACCGTACGTCGTTGTCGACCGCGGGCAGTAAACCTCGTTGCCGGAAGCGCAGGCCTCGCAGTCGGAGTGATCCTCGACCGTCTGCGGCGGCTTGCGGCACTGACACGAGTCGTTTTGCGCTCCCACGCCGACCCGGTCGCCGACTTTGATGCCGGTCTGGGCGGCGGCCTCCTTGCCGACTCGCACGGCCGTGCCGACAATCTCATGGCCGACGACGACGGGATACGCAGTCGGACCCTGGACAATACGCGTCTTAGCCTCAGTTTGTTGTTGGGGGGGGGGTTCCGTTATATGAGAGATTTGCTTACCCAGCCAGATCGGAGCTTATGCAGATCTGTGCCACAGATGCCGCAGTGTGAGATTTTAATGTCAATGTCCGTCTCTTCCCAGGGCTTGACTTCGTACTCTTGCCAGACCATCTTGCCCTCGGCAGAGTCTTTGTCTAAGGCAACCCATCCTTCAAACTTATTCTCGTTGGAAGCCATATTTGTGACGGAATTTCAAGTTGCAATTGAAAGAAGACAGTCCTCCTGCTTTACACTGTCACTTTCTCTCTCTCTTCTTTTCAGCTCACAACAACTCGCGCGAAAGAGTCCTTATATCCATTTCCAAGACCCTCTCCTCATTACATCATTAACTCGAAAGGGCAATTTAGGAACAGCCAAACGGACAGCTCGGGCGGATGGCTTCCAGATAGTGCCCCCGGCTTCTGGCCAATTACCAAGGAACCGCGTTGCCGATGCCGAGCCCTCGACTGCCGGCAAGCGACATCATCGGCGTTAAAATCGATAGTTCTTCGGACCTAGCCGGGCGTTTTCTGGGGCCAAAAGAGAGTTCCCTGCCCTCTTTGGCGTTTGAGGATACGCCGCCGAGTTAATGACAGAATTTGCCTCGGCTTATGTGAACAAGTATAGGTAGATTAGGATCTTGATTGGATTGGCTTTAATCAGAGGTGGTGTGCTTTTTTTTCAAACGCCGATCGGAGCATCTTTTTTCCCTGTTCTTTGCATGAGTAAGCGGGATTAATAACCCGTTTTTGACTTGGGAAGGGCGTTCTTTGTCATTGATGCGACACGAGCGGTGAAACAAAACTCAAAGCTCGAATCTCCACTCTATCGTCTTGTTTATTAAACTTGAGGGATTATTGCTATTATTGTTGTATATGTATATAAGAACCGTCGATTTGTTCTACCGTACTGTCTGTTTTGAAGACTAAACGCCAGCTGCAAAACACCTTCGAAGCCCCTCGTCTTGTCTCATGGACTACTCAGACGAACCACCCTAGACTTTCGCTATCAAACGATTCCGTGCAGAATTTTATGAGATACCCTAAACATATCTCTCAATAATACACAATAACCGGACTTGACAATACTAATTCCATCGAAACGTGAGACGATCCAGCAAAATACAATGATTCCACACTCTTATCTTTTCTGAAGGTATCGACTTGGAACAAAAGCATCAGCGATCATGTTAAAACGGCAGATGCCACGGCAAAACTTATTCTTTTGCTTATAAAGTCTCATTTCAAGTGCTAAATCCCTGTTTCCGCTCTTTGAATCTTCAAATCACTTGTCATTGCGGAGGAATGTGGAGGGGCATCACGGGAAGTTCCGAGATCCGACTTACAAATTTATTTCTATTTCGATCAAGCCCACCAGCCCGACGATATTCCGTGCGAGTTTCTTGTGTAACCATTACTTTATCAAGCGGAGAGTTCCTCTGTTGCCTGGACTACTTCAAGGTCGTTCGGAGTTGAGAGGAGATGATGATTTCAAATACGGCTTCACAGGCCGCGGATTCCACTCATGGAATTTTCACCTGTGAAATAAGATTCTGATACTTTATAAAGGTGTAATATTTAAGTTTTCGAGACCTTTCATTATATATATGGCCACAATTACTTTGATTCAATCCTCTTATTTGCAATCCTGCGGAAAGCATCAATGAAAATAGCCAGAAAAAGAACCAGCTGGAAAAGGATCCCGTCAGAAAGAATCCCACCATGAGGGATCCTATCAGAAAGAAGCCATAAAGGAGCCAATCACAAAAGAAACAACCAGGCCATGTTAATCACTACAAACTGAGCAAAATGTTGAAAGTCTTTGTCCTAATCAACCATCTCGTTTCCCAATCCTACGGAAAACGCCAAAACAAGAGCCAGAAAAGTTACGCCTGTCAGGCCATGCTGCTTACCGACAAGCTGACAAGCTGCAGGCGCAAAATTGTCTGTGTTTTTGCCATGCTAAAAAGATCGACGAGAGAGGGAAAAGCCAGCTGCAAGCAGCAACCAACAAAAAGCGGGCTGGACCAAGGAGAGTGGTCGCACAGATCCACGTGGCAAGTCAACACTTGTTAAGAGTTGAACAAGACTATATAAAAGTGCTTATCCTGTTTACCAATTGGAATTGGCAAATACAGTCGAGTTGGTATGCAGAGATGATGATTCCATGCTGGATAACGACAGTTGAACGTCTTTTGGTCTACATCGCTCTTCACTATCTCTTCGGTATCGAGTTTGGCAAGACCTCTGCATTCAGGGTTGGTGACACTCCCAAGTAAAGGCATTGAATTTGTGGTGATCAGGATATAAGACCACCGCTCGAGATTGGAAGAATACCAACCAAGCTCCGTCTGCGTACATCTCACGGATTCATCAGGACAAAATGAACGCACACCATCATTTCATTTAATAGCGGCCAAATGTCTGTCTACTTAACCCTGATTCCCACCAAGTCATCATAAAGTGTAGTCAGTAAACTACATCATACCGCTCAGTTGAGCCATGTGCTCAGACCTCGTATTCGAACATTTAATATCGAGGTAATCACAAGAGTCACACCGAGAAACAAGAAAAAAAAGGGGAAAGAGAAATAGGTGATTAGTTGCGAGATAATACATGGTGCAATCATATTTGAGACACGGCAACTATTAATAGAGGGTTGCGTTAGCAGATGACCTCCGCCAAGTCGGGAACCAAGGTAGGTAGTGCCCGAAATTAACCTTTGTAGTTGATGTGCTCATAGGAGTTGATGTGCTCATAGGATTTGATGTGCTCATAGGAGTTGATGTGCTCATAGGAATTGATGTGCTCAGCTAATATTTCCCATTCAGGGGGATGACTACAGCTGCTATTGGCTGTATCCTACAATAAACACAGCAGGCAAAACAGCTTGTCAAGTCCAACGATGTCATGGCCACCCTGGTTGATGATGACCGAAGAATATAATTTGGCTATTGACAAGCGAGGCTAGTTAGTACAGATGTCGTGGCCTATTTTCAACTCAATCTGCCTGGCCTATTTCCTTAGTTGCGTTGCTAGCCCTATCCCAAGTCCCTAAATGAAAGAAAAGTCCATTCTAGGGAACATGGCCTGGTCGTCTTACATGCAGAGATAGCGCACAGGTTTTAAAACTGACACGACGAGAGGCGAGACTTCTCAAAATATTTGCCAAGGGGCGGCTGCGATACTACGCGAGCATTGCATCTTCTTTGCCCTTGTTTGTCACCATGGAAAGTTGGCTTGTTTGTTGTTGGTGGCCAGCGCACATGAGTCGAATGATGTGTGTTGGTGAAAATTGAACCCTTGCGAAAGATCGTCGGAGTGTAATCAGTGCTCTTCTCAACGGAAGCTGTACGACTTCAACGTTGCCACACTTTATCAAATTGATAAATCGTGTCTGTACTCGAGTTCACAAGTGCTCTTACCGTAACAGTTGACATGCAAACCCTTGGATCGACTTCACAACCGCAGGCAATGTTGACGGCGAGAACAGCCACCCCAGTTCTCCGGTCGAGATTGCGCTGACCCATGCCTGTCTGCATCCACCTCCCAGCCATAGCTTAAGTATTTTTAGAACAACTTTGTTCTGTAGTGGGACGGCGATTCCTACCAAATGCCCCCAATTTTGGGCCTGGCCAGGTCCATCCTCTGCAGCTAAAAAAACAGGAAAACCGCGCTTCGCCACGATGCTAACTCGGGATCAGCATTGTCACAGAATGAAACTCACATTTTGAGAAAACGGGCCGTGGCGAAGGCGGCTGGTTACACTGGTTGAGTGGGCAAGCCTCGGCATTGGGTGCCTTTTGCTTTTGCGTAGAAGGATAACTTTGATCAGACAACAAAGACGGTGGTGTGCTGATGTTCCTGGCCAGCCAGCCACCTGCGGCCTGAAAGGGATGGGCAACATGCTGGCTCAATGAGGCTCTGAGGATCGAGTCTTACGATTCGATGCGGAGCAAATCGCGATCATATAAGCACCAGTCGAATACGGAGCAACAAAGATTTTTCGGCCCCCTTACTCGAGACCATCCCATGCACGCAAATCCTTGGATGGGCCTGGTGCGTGCATGCGTGCCCTATGCGCACCTGGACTGTTGCAAAGACGCCATCACTTGTTTGTAGCTGGTCGCGAAAGGGTTCGCCGCTTACCGTGTTGCATTTCCGCAGTTCCATTAGGTAACGAACAGGCGCTCATGAGCCGGGGGTGAGGGCTGGGCCGCGGTTGGTGCTTGCTTAATTGCACTTGGCATTGGCCTTTAAAGCTTGTTGTCGCGAGGAGCTACCTCAATACGGAGCACGGCTGTCATGAATTTCTTTCTTTTTCCGGGGCTAGGAAATTGACGACTGGGACACGCCTCCCAGGTTGCTGCTCGCTCTGACGCGGCCTCTCCTGGCCCACCAGTCCCTTGTACGGATAACTAATAGTTGCATTTTAGGCACTGTAGGATTAGAATTCATTTGCTTGATCGAGTACACCGTCTTCTGTCTGGTGTGCTGAGAATAGCGGTTAAGCGTACAAGCGTAGTAGACGCTGACGCTAAGCACTTGACTTGTCGACGTGCAAGCACGAGAGAGGCCAACAGAGACAAGGAAGCTGGGAGGAGCGGCTACAAGTGCCGGAAGACACAGGCGAAAAGCCTGATCATGGCACGCCCTAAACAAGAGCTAAGATGGTGGAAAGGGGCCCCGTTCGGGAGGCATTGCGGCTGATGGAACGGCTCCGTTGGTTGGACCTGACGGTGACCTCGTATTGGCCGTGTCCGGGACGGCTAAAGAAATTGCAACGACGGACTGCCTCAAAACAAAAGAGCCTCCACTGCGGCTTGGTACAGTAGCCTCTGCCAAGTGGTTTGACGGATAGATGGTGGTGGTTGCTGCAGCCGTCTCAGTTGACTGCGCATCTCAGACTTGCGTGACGTTGATCGAGTTTGAAAGTGGCCCTCGAGATGCGTTCGTCTGCATCCCAACAACGGCTGTCCGAGACACCACGCCTTGTCTTGTCGAAACTCATGTCTGTTTCGGGCCTCCCTGTCCGTTGTGGGTGGCGCTGCATGGCTTGCATGGCATGGGAGGGTCGTCGATATGATGAGACTGAGGCTACCCAGTCATGCATTGGCTGCATGTCAGCGACTTCACATGCTTCCCCTGCCGCGTATCTGTTTCTCAGAAATGCACGGTGACTGTACCTCTCGGCTGGTGCATACGGAGTACCTGTTGGACAAAGATGCACATGTAAGCAACCTCCTTGGAAGCCACCTGTTTCAGACGGCGGGTCTGCATGGAACCCACCGTCTCGGCCAGCGAATTACACGGTCAGTAAGCAGCGCTATGGAGACGCCGACTTGCATGCGTTTGCAGAGGAAGAAACAGGGGTGCAGGGGTGGTGCAGCAAGGAGCAAAGAGAATGAGGCTCAAAGAGGGAAGAAAGCACGGGAGAGGAAGAGACGGGGAGAAGGAGAAAGTGGGAGGTGAAAGTGGTGAAGAAAGAAGGAGAGGATGTATGTTGGCAAAGTGGAAGAAAGAGATTGAAGCCTGAGGAAGAAACAATGGAAGTCTCCATACAAAGTACTCGTACCTACCTCTTGTCAACCATGATGGAAGTTGGCTTACCTAACTAAAAATAAAACAATGGCCCGGACCTGGGAAAAAAAAGAACTGGAAAGCTCAAAGCCAACCGGCGTCTAATCTAAAGCACTAAGGTAGGTTAGCTGGAGAGCTTGAGTTGACAGCACCAGCAGAGCAGCGCCAACTTAGGCCGGACCTCGCCAACTTTCAGGGGATTGGGGCACCAACTGCGCCCTACGGCCTGGCCAGCCAGTGCCTGAATCGATCCCCGCGCCTCGTGGAGTTCCTTGGAGCTGCACCTAGAGCGGAGCTAGAACAAACTGGAGCGCATGGACCCATGCTTGATGTGTTGATATTTTCAGCAGTCGATGACTTTTCCGGTTCCTTTTGCCTCCTTTCCATGTTCCCTTTCTTTCATATATCTTCCATGCTTTTCCTTGCTCTGTTTTCCCCTTGCCCTTCCCCGTTCCATTCAATTCTTTAATTACTTGCCTCTTGCCCGGGTGTGTTGCAGCAGCGGTGTGACTTGCATTGTTTTCTGCTTGCTGCTTCCCTCAGTCACTGCCGGCTTGCTTGTTGCGCTTTTTTCGGCCTCCTTTCACTCTTTCTTCACTTTTCCTCTAGACAGCAACTCGACATCAATTCCCCCGATTCAATAGACAAAAACTCCAAAAAACTCCAAAAAGCACCTGAAGCTTAGCATCACTGACATTTGCCTGCCCCCATCGATCAAGAAAAGAAAACAAGCCCAAACAAACCAAGCATCCCGGCGTCATCCAGATCGACCGAAACCATGTCGGACGGCGACGCCTATGTCCCCACGGACGTGACTGTCGTGGATCAACAACAGCCAGCCCAGAACAATGACAAGCACCGCGCCACCAGCACCGAGATTCCCCTCGAGGAGCAGCAGACCAATGTTCCCGGCGCCAGGATGGCGGCCTCAATCCCCCTCCAGAGGCGTCACACGCTGAATCTCGAAGACTACTTTGCCGGCCCGCGAAACATGGACAAGCACTCCAAGTGGCCCCTGTTCCTGCAGATGCACGGCAGCATCTTGCCCAAGATGATTGTGCCTCTCATCTGGATGTCCGCCTGGAGTGCTTGCGTCACCTGCATCTATGAAATAGCAAAGAAGAACATCGCCGTCAACTCCATCCTGCTGACAGTCTTGGGTTTCGTCGTCTCCACCGGTCTCAGCTTCCGCGGTTCCACAGCATACGAGCGTTACGCTGAAGGTCGCCGTTTCTTCGCGGCTCTGGTTACCTCATCACAGGCTCTTGGACGAATCTTCTGGATCCACGCCAAGGTGCTCCCCAACGTGGACGTCCGCAAGCAGATGCTCTACAAGATCAGCGCCATGAACCTGGTTGTCGCCTACGCCATTTCCCTCAAGCACAGCTTGCGCTTCGAGCCTTACACCGCATACCAGGATATAGAGCATCTGGTCGGCCATCTCGACACGTTTGCCAAGTCTGCCACCACCACCATGCCCCTCAACGGCGGCGTCGGAAGGAAGAATTTCTTCAAGTCCATTGGAGACTACCTCGGCCTCTCCTTTGCCGCTAGCAACCCTCGAAAGCAGCTCAAGAAGGCAGAGAAGCCTCTTGGAAACCTGCCCCTCGAAATCCTCAACCACCTTGCTGTTACCATTGACGACCTGATTAGCAGAGGCCAGCTCCCTGTCCCCATGCATCAGACCTTGGCTTTCAACAACCTTGCCGCCCTCAACGACGCATTCACCGGCTGCCAGCGTGTTTTGAACACCCCTCTCCCCATCGCTTACGGCATTCTGTTCCAGCAGATTACATGGCTCTACGTCGTCTTACTGCCCTTCCAGATGGTCGCTGTGCTCCACTGGATTACCATTCCCGCCACCACCGTTGCGTCTTACATCATTCTCGGCCTGCTCTTCATTGGCCAGGAGATTGAGAATCCCTTTGGCCACGACGTCAACGATCTTCCCCTCGACAGCTACTGCGAGCAGATTGCTCTTGACATGGACATCATCGCCTCGCACTCCAACTACAAGCCCGAGGACTTCTTCTTTAGCTCCGAAAACGTTCCCCTGTGGCCTGTCAGCGATGCCCCCGCCGACACCTGGCTTCAGCGAAGCGAGTCTAAGCTGGCAGAGGCCATCAGGACCAAGCCCTCCAAGACGTTTGAGTGGCGACGCTGGAGGGGCGAGAAGCTTGGTGACGAGGAGTCTGCCAAGAACGATTAAGAAGAGGGCATGTACGACGATGTTGAGAGATGTGTTGTATGACATGTGAAGATGAAGATGCAGACGTGGACAGGATCAGGGGTGGCTCGATTTTGTTTTATCTCGAAGAAAGATGTTGATACTCGCTCTGTCGCGCTACAACACTCACCTCACAAGACAAAACGACAAAAGAACAAAAAAAAAGAGACTGGCTTTGGGATTCCTATTGTTTTCTATTTTTTTCTATTTCATTTTGATGTCCAGGCATTTGCATTACAGGTCTTTTAAAAGGAAAATATCACGGTAGCACGGCGTCCTACGCAATTTTTACGTTCAGGCCCGACGGAACGGTGGTATTCAGGGAGGGGGAGAACAGGACTTTCTACACTCTCCCCGCCGCTACGGAGGTCATAATCGGTTTTCTTTTCATATCATGTACACAGATATACATATACAATTTTTCTCCTTCTTGTCGTCAATTATTTATAATCATGTGCTACTAAGTTGTTTATGCCTGTGATTCGTGAGACTGGGTGGAGGAATATGTTTGATTTGTTTGTTTCAATATGCTTTCTTTCATGTTGTTTGCTTGATGTTTTATGTTATTTAGAATTAGTTTCCATTGTAATTGAGACACGAATACACTCTGGATTTACCGCGAGAATCAGTTGGATTTTGGATTTACTGCGATGGTGAGCAAGTGTTTTTGGTCTCATTCATTGATTTCAATATGGGGTTCTATATACAAGTAATGAAATGGACGAAAAAAAAAAGAGAAAGACTCTTGAATCCTTCCATGTAAATGCGATGTGTGTCTTTTGGAGCACTCGTGCTCCCTCAACGTATATGTTTGTTCCCTTCACTTTTACTTTCTCTCTCGAGCCATTTTTTTATATCATAAAAGAAGACACGCTCTTCATCGTTTTTTTTATATCTACTCTTCGTCTTCCTCCTGCTCCCGGGCAAGCTTGTGGGATTGCTTGTCCTCGGGAAGCCATCTGACGAAAATCATGAGCGACATGGCAATGGGGATGAGTATTGCCCACACGAGGTGTCCCCAGAGGATCTGGTTCCGCACGCCAATGGCGAAAATCACCGTCGACACGCCCGGGACAAAGGACCGGACGGCACTAGCGGCGGTCATGGCCAAGGCGTTGAGCGTGCCCATGACGTGAGGGTTGGGCGACACGTCGTTGAGGGCGAGCTGGACTGCGGTAAAGGCCATGGACACGCCGGGCCCGACGACGGCGACGACGGGGGCGACGACCCAGAAGGCGGCGGTGGTGGATTCGGTGTCGGCCCTGAGGAGGAAGTTCATGAGGACGTAGCCGGCGAAGAAGAAGGGGTAGGCGGCGACGCAGGCGGCCATGGAGCCCTTGGTGCCGATGCGGCGCTGCAGGAAGGGGAAGGCGATGACGAGCCAGGCGGCCTGGCTGGCGCCCTGGAAGGCCATCCAGAGGGAGATTTGGAAGGCGGAGAATCCGACGCCGCCGAGCTTGACGGGCGTGTAGAGCAGCACGGGGAGGATGGCGGTGAAGGCAAAGGCGAGCAACATGACGTGGTTGTAGACCCAGATGACGGTGGCGACGCCGGGGGCCTTGAGGAGCTCCCGGGTGGACAATCGGTGAGGTCGAGCTACTGGGCCGGCGGTCGACGAGGAAGTAGTCTCGGTAGTTTCGGGCTCCAGAGTTTCTTCGAGGTAGACCATGCATAAGACGATGCTGACAATGTTGATCACGGTAAGTATGACGCCGGCTAGGAGATACGGATAGTCTTCAAGGAGCTGGATTCCCCCAAACAGGCCCGGGAACTGCTCCACCGGGTCTGCGAGCACACCGCCAATGATCGGTCCCAGGAAGATGCCCATGTTGTTGGCAAACGCAAACCAGCTAAACGCCACGGCCTGCGTCTCCGAGGTCGTGTGGTCCGAGAGCATCGTTCGGATCACCAAGCCTGAACCGCTGAAGACACCGGCGATGCATCGAAACAGGATCATCTGCGGGATGGTGGTCGAAACGGTGAAGAAGAAGGTGGCCACGGTCATGCCGATAAGCGTCCACAACAGGACGGGTTTCCTGCCAATGGTGTCGGCGAGATGGCCCCAAAAGTAGAGCACCATCATCTGGGTGGCGGAGAAGAGCGACTCGATGAGGCCGCTGTAGAAGCCGACGTCTGAATAGGGGAGGTTGCCGTTGCGCCGGATCATCTCAGCGATGAAGGGGAAGATGGCGAAGAAGGCGATTGGCTCCATGAGCTTCGCGAAGCAGAGCAGGAAGATTTGCATCTTGGGCAAGGGCTTGCCGGGCTTGTGGTGCGCGCCATTCTCGGCCTCGTCTGTGGATTTGCCGGCGATGAGGGGCGTGGATTCTGAGGGCATGGGCTCGGGGTCCATGAGGGTGAGATCCGAGGATGACGATGATATCGGGTCGGGCGGAGGAGTCATTGTGACGGATGTGCGAGGCGATACTCTGTGGAAATAAAAAAAAAATAAAAAAGTTGGAGTTGAGGAGAGGAACGAAATAGAGGTGATCAAAGAGGCCGAGTGAGATCAGGGGGCAGTGCAAGAGATTAGATCAACTCGGTCCACTGCTGGCCATGAAGAGCTGCCAGTTTCAAAAAACAACACAGCTCTCGAGTGAAAACAAAATGCAAACAAAAAAGGCAAAAGAAAGAAAAAAGACGAATGGAAAACGAAATTGGGAGGCAAATAAGCAAAATCCTCCCAAGAAATATGGACGAGTCACAAGAAGAAATAGGAGGGCGAGTCAGTTGAGATAAGCACCGGACTTGTCATATAACTTTTTTTTTTTTTCGCCGTCTAATGACGCAAGGTGTATCGATCTAGGTATGGCTAAGCTGGAGGTCAGGTATGTAAGATTCTGTCTCGCCTATCCGTACTCGCTATCCCGACACCGCTGGATCGCTATTAGTCAACGCTCGAGGCGCTTGCGACCCCAAGAGACCCCCGGAAACCCCCCGCTAACCGCGACATTACAGCGCACTGCAGCGGGCCAGCGGGGCAACACCGAAGTGCCCCCTTTCGGCCGCTGTGCATGCACTAGGGCACGATTGTGTGCTTGTGCTGGTCGGTAGCAAAGCCGACAGGGCGCAACCTCAGCCGCTCACCTACGCCCCGTGATGCGCTGCATCTTTGGTGAGGCACATCGAAGGGTCATGAGAACAGCAATTTCGACTCCGATACCAGGACCGCTTATCTGCGTGATGGTGATTGTTATTCCCGCAACAAGGGACGGTGTAGCCCGCATCGACCAGAGCTCCATGCATGTAGTAGCGCTGCTACAGTATTCTTCCGTATTATGCGGGGGGACGAGACACGATGCCCCTCAACCGCTTCCCCCCTACCGTCACATTTGCTGGCCAATGTGATAGGCAGCGTTGCGTCCCGGCTTCCGCTTTTCGGGAGGATCGATTGTGTGTGTGTGTCTATATCATGCAAGGGAGCCACCTCAGTGTGCTTGCAACCTCAACAAGCGGTATGGCAAGAGGTGGTACTGCACTGTGGCACGGGTTGGGGTAATTTGTCGAGCCCTGTCAAAGCCTGCTAATTTGAGACTTGACAGCTTCGCCTAGTTGACGCCGTGTCCTGCTGTGTCATGAGATCGGCAAAGTTTCGTGCTCTCGTCACCTCCAGCCGCGTAGCCGGCCGATGGCGGACTGTAAGGGTTTTTTTTTCTTTCTTGGTTTCGAAACCATCACGTTGACACACATCGACGGCATTCCATCTTCATGTTGCCTACATGTATCTTGGCCCCTCGGGCAAGCTGCTGCCGGCAATGTTGCACTGACGAAAGAGGCGCACCTCGTCCTCCGCAAACGCCCCGACGACTGAGTGAATCAGGCTTCTGTTGTGGAAGATGACGAAATCGCCCTCCTCCCAGTCGTGCGCATACACATGGCCAGGCGCGATACCGGGCCGCTGTAGTCGGTGAACAATCTCCCGCACCTCCTTCAGGTCGTCGATAACCTCGCCGTTGCCCAGATGTAGCTTCCGAACCGCGGACGGGTGAATCTGCAGCGCTAGCCTGTCGTCTTGGGGGTTGCGCCAGCACATGGGCAGGATTTGGATCTTGTCTTGCTCAATCTCTGGCAGGCTGTCGAGCGGCACCTCTTTGCCCTCCGAGATAAGGCCCAGGCCGTCCGAGCGAGACTTGGCACCGCTCATCCACACATAGGGATGCGGGGCGTATTCGACCTTTGTCGACATGGCGAACTGCTGGTCCTGCGGCGATAAGAGGTCATACATGGTGTAGCCAGAGACGAACGCCGTCGTCCCCAGAGGAACGGTCAGCTCCTCGCCCGTGTCTTCATATCGGATCGTCTGCGTGCGGCCGCCGGGGACCTGGGCCGCGAAGAGGGTTGTGGCCACCGGAGGGGCGAGCCCATACAGCGCGGCATCAATGTGCCATCTGTAGAACCGGGTAAAGTCCAAGTCGTCCTCGTCCGGTATAACGGTGGCGTGGAAGGTCTTGTGGTGGGGGTGCCGCAGCTGGATATTCTTCAGCCCTTCGTACTCCTTGACGAAGCCGTTCCCAATCACTTGGACCTGTGGCTGGCGTGGGATCGTCTTGAGGTCTGGATGCAAGATGGACCGTTTGGCGTCGAGCGTCTTTCCGTGGCCGTAGGAAGCTGACGCCTCGGGATCGAATCGTTGGGTGATTTCGTATTGCGCCTTGGAAGAGGCGTCATGCTGCGCTTTGAAAACAAGGACTTGGTGTCTGTACAGAGCGCCCTTGATCATGTCGAAGTCGGCGTCTGATGTTTGAAACCATTAGCTGTTGTGTCAATGTGAAACAGGAAGGGCGGTGGCACAGCAGCCAAGGCTCCTTACCTGATATCTTGTTGACGTTGACGCCCTGCACGACCGCTCCGAACCGAACCCCCGATCCGGGCGGATGCGCAATTGGCTGGATCGAAGCTCTGGACGCAACTGTGGCGTATGATGCCAACTGACGGCCGGCTCTTCCAATCCTTGGCAGAGACATTGTGTGTTGCTTGCTTTCTATTTCTCGCCGTTGTGTCTCACCAAGATTGAATTTCGATGCAAGTCTGAAGATGACGAAATAATGGGGGGGGGGGATATTGGACTCTTATGCTTGGTCGTTGGTTCAAGTTGGCTGAGAGGAGGCCGAAGCTCGATAGTCAGCCCGGTGGGTCGCGTAAATAAGCTTCCTATCTCTGTCACTTTCGTATATTGTACAGTAGATGCTCCTATTCCGTGTTATCCATGGATGCTCAACCGACGTGTCTCTAGGCGCATTCCATTCAGAAGAAACTGGCGGATGTCGCCGGACTGCGCGCCTTTTGCGTCGAGCGAATTGCAACAGATTCGTCGGCGGGGATCCACCAGCTGATAAGACGTGGACGAACCTTCATCGATAGCGCCAATGAAGGAGCTCGGAGAAACGATATTCGTACGTGGCCAACACGAAGTGCTTGGTTCTCATGCTTACTTGATAGGAAATTGAGTTATTAGCACACGTTGAATGTAATAAGCTGATATCGGCTGACAGCCTCCTGCAAAGTGCGATGTCGGACTGAAGTCGTCTCTCTCTTCGCACATGTTGCGATTCGGTTGGATATTCGGATTATCGAAGGCGAGTCTCCGTATGCACCGTCTAATTCAATGGCTCTATTACCTCCGTCAACGTCAAACACACACGGAGTATTGGTGGTCCGGACATACTGTGTTTTGGATCGGTGCGCGACGGATCAGGCGCTCGCTTTGTAAGAAACCTTGACAACACTTGCGGTGCTCTCACTTGGCTTCTTTGCTTTCTTTTGTTGTTCACAAGGTCTCGAAGAGCAGGCATGGGATCATCTAGCCGTCTCTGGTTGGGCGCGGGCCGTTGTATCGGCATCTGTTCTTTCGAAAACTGCTTATGCATCTTGCTCTTCTCTCTGTAGACATGAGATTTCGACAAGACCCATTTGGCAACCAACATGTCGTATTCTTTGTCATTGACACACGCGGGGAGGACGACGTCCCTTATGATTGACAACTAAGAAAAACAATGGGTACTGGTCATCCAAAAGGCCAGCTCCTGCGCGAGGCTACATTAGCCTTATATGCCTTCCCTCGTGGTTCTTTTGAATGCTGCATCGTCCCTTGCCTGCAGCTCGAGGCGGCCAATCCAATCCCTCGCTGTGGTGAAGAGTGTGGGCGGTCAGAATCTGGCATTGAACATGAGCGGCCCCGCTAAACCATCACATAATACTGTAGTATTAGATGCTTGCATCCGAAGGTTAATTAACCTCAGATACTCGCTTTTTCCTAAGCTTCAAAATTATAAATGTTGTAATAATGATGACAAATTTGAGCACAGATGAAGAGTCATAAGGCTGCACGTACGTCCATGTCGCTGCCAGTGAAGCGAATTAAGAGACATCTCCAAGAAGAAACAAAGGGCTTTAAAATCCAACCAGGCAGAGTCAGCTAGGGGAAAACGACTAAACAGAATAGTAGAACAAGAAAAAGAAATCTAATGGGCAGGAAACTACCGAGTAATCTGTCACCAAGACCCTTAGTACAGACATAATCAGGTAATTCCGACAGTGCGGGATGGAGACTGGTTTCTGCAAAGGGTGAACACGATGCAGTTGTATACATGTACTTCCGGGATCTAGAGATGGGGCGAAAAGCGGAGGATGCTGCTGACGGTGCAGGCGAAGGAGACGGGAAAGTTTGAAAGACAGGAAAAAAGAGTCTGTCGTATTTTTCAGCGGGAAGAATAAGAGGGTATTTTACTGCGAGATATTTGAACACGACACGACAAAGGGAGACATGTGCGAGCTTAGAGCCATTGAAGGCCTTGGATTACATGTGAACATGGGAGGGGATTGCCAAGAACTCATTATTGTAGAAACTGAGGGCAGCAAAGGTCCTATTGGTAGAAGCATTGTGGGCAGTATACTACTATTCGAGTTTCGAAATAGATGTGCCAAGAATCCTCGCCGTTGCAGTACATTTTCTCGACAACAAGGGTGGAAACAGAGCCAAGCGGGCAACGTGTTGAAGAGGACGGGAAGTATATTATACAGGCATATGACCCGTATTAAGATTACGGTTCATATTTATCTGTTAAGTTTGAATTGAGTTCCCAAATGAACTCCGGGCCTCATTATCCGCTCTATGAGTATAAATCCCAACGCTCACATGTCATTCACCAAGGCAGCATTGTCCCGTTGCCGCCTCATTTCTTCCATGCATCTCGGCCCTATTGCCGAAATACGGCGTCGGCTCTGATCTTAGCGCTGACTCGAGCCGTCTGTTCGGATACTGTCATTTTCCGTTCTGCATTTGCTGCAGACGCTGGTTTCTTCTTCTTTGTGCGAGGATTCCAAGAATAGGTGCTTTCATGCAGCTCATCAGGAGGAGCCAGTTATACTTGTTCACTGACTCTTGGTTACTTGAACTCCGTCAGACTTTATTAGTCACTATACAAGAAAGTGAAATCACCACGTCTTTCTTTGACTTCTTACAACTATGTCCGAGTTCCACACCGCCACCAAACTTGGGGTTTCCTCCTCTTTTTTCCGAGCAGACTAGGCAGAGATAGAGAAGATGTTAGCCATATCCGTTGCGTGTGCTTACGCAATAGCCTTCCAACAACACATTAGCGGGAGATCTAGGCACATGGGACGGAACACATCCCATCCGGCCAGACGACATTGAGAGCCACCCGGGTAGGGAGCATCCTAAACATTGATGATGAAGATCCTGCAACATCACTTGTTGGTGGTTGTTGGGCTCCAAAACTCGCTTAAAAGAGAGATGCTCGACGAGCAACAAATAATCATGAGTAATGAAGATATCAAAATAAGGCATTGATGCCCAATACTATTTCGTTTGGACAGCATACATGGATTGAATCCTTTCGGATATGCAAGCCAAAGATGCTCGTATTTGGGACTAATAACAAGATGACACGGCCTAACAGCAGCCAACTGCCGATGACATGAATTCCTCGATTCGATGGAGGGTGGACGATGGAGGAAATTGGTTTATATAACACAGTATCATGTATTGATTGCCGGGGATTATACAATTTAGGTGACTTCTCACAGACCAAAGGGACTTGACTGCCACTTGCAAGCATGGAATATAATGCCTCGTTTCCCCAAGATAGCGGCAGGGGACCCCGATCGACGGCCTGGAGCTGGGCTAGAACGATGGCTATCTTTTACTCTACCGTAGTTAAGGGTCAAAAAGTCCGGGTCTGGTCCCTCTACTAGTAGATGGCATGATGTTGATGACAGCAGTGGCTTGTGGTTAGCTTGTCCGCTGTAGAATCGAATGCCGCTAGGATGCCGCTGCCTGTGAAGAATCGATGCCACCCCAGCGCAAATCTGAGTGCATGAGCACCCATTAAGCCGACCAGGATGGATCAATGACTAAAGATTCAATGCAAAGCTGCAAGGCGCATGCACCTAAAGAGTAGCCGGTACAGGCCAAGAAGGCTCAGCTCGTCTATGACGCTTGGCTACTAAGCTGTTATCTGTTGGAAGGTAAGCGGTGGCTTGAAGCAGGTGGTTTGAAGGCTTGTGTGATGTGTGATTGAGGGTTGGTGTCAAACCTAGTGGCCGCGATGCGCTACGACGTTATTTCCCTTGGAGCGGTGAATGTTCCATTGCAGCAGCTGTGTCTCCATGGGCGTGTATTGTAGCATTTACCTTGTGATTCACATCAATTGTAATGAGCGGTCTCACGATGGTGGAGAAGCAGTTCCCTGTGCTGTATCTTCATGTTGCCAACAGACGAGACACACGACATCACTCATGATACCTTCAATGCCTTATAGGAACTTATCGATAGCAAGCATCGCCTAAACCGGCATTTGTAGTGTGATGCAGGGGGAAGGTACGGAATGAAACTACCTTTTCGACTTCCAGAAAAAACATGAACCACTTTCAACTTTCAACTGATAACTCGTGTCCCCATGCATTGGGCGTGTCAAGATTGTCTCTCCATTTCAACCCAGCCACCAGCCACCATCACCGCCGCGTCAAAGGCCAAGCCCCAAACATTCATCACATCGTCTGTGCTGTGCTGTGCTGTGCTGTGCTGTGCTGTGCTATGCTGGGATCAACACTGACTTGACTGGACAGCCATGACGACTCGCCCAAAGTCCCCGACCAAAACACCCACAAGGGTTCCGCCACCAAACTCGGCCGGTCTTCCCTGTGCCGTCAGATGCAACCAGGTTTATGTTAGCCAGGGCCAGGCGGCTTCAATCCGAGCCTTGAGTAGCAGCAGCGCGACTCACTAGCGGGGGGGCCGCCGCAGCCCTGGGATTGGATCGGGTCGCAAAGTCAGCCGTTTGGTTTGAAAGGGGACCGATATTAGTTGCTGGGTAGCGATGCTCTAGATTCGTCTTCTTGAGAAACCAACTCAACTCTGTTTATTCTCGAGGCAATTCGCCCCCTCCGCCATGCCAGTTCCCCACGGCCACTCTTGCGGGATACGGGAGAGAAGGATGACCTACTAGCAGCCTCAGCAAACACTCAGCGCGCCAGCAAATGGGCTCCTCGGAACAGCAGCAGCGCAGTGGCGCGACTGCGGCTCAACATGAGATCGCGCCAATGGCATCCATAGGTGAGTAAGACTGTCTGTTACAATTCATCTCGTGACTATACCATCTCCCTCCCTCCCTTTCTCTCTTCAAAATGACAATTCTTCAAATATGCAATGACTTGATGGAATTATCGTCACTGACGGAAAACCCCGCCACAGCCTGCCTGGTCTGCAGATCAAGAAAGGTACGCAGAGCTCACTGAGGCCTTGGCTATGTATTAGCAGGGAGGAGCAGTCTCAGAGACTTCGAGTTGCTTTGGCCTCACGTGTTTTTGCCATTCAGCGCATTTCTCACCACGGTTTTCCTGATTAGGTCAAATGCGACAAAACTATGCCAGAGTGTCGGAATTGCCTTCGCCTGGGAGTCGGATGTCCTGGGTTTAGCCCGCAGAGCGAGTTCATCTCGCGCAAAGAGATGCAAAAGTCGGCAGACAACATCTTCAGGGCTGCCGGCGTTGAAAAGAGAAGGGTGGGCTCCTGCGAAGAGTGTCGGTCATCCAAGCATCGCTGTACCAAGACTCGGCCGTCGTGCCGCCGATGCATCCTGCGCCATCTGCCCTGTGTCTATCCTTCAAAGCCGGATAAGCAGCAAGAGCGCGAATCCTCTACTCAACCCGCCAGCTCCGTCGCAAGTTCTACCGTTGCTGCTGCGGGGCTCAGCTCGACTGTCTCAGTTCAGCCCGTGGGATCTGGCCAATGGGCAAATCCCGCACTCATGCACGCCTTTGGTGTGAATATCGAGAGGTAAATGAGGATATCCAATGAGAGCCCTTTTTTCAGAGCTCAACTGGTCGTCGCCATAACCTCGTCAACTAATGTCCTTTCAAGTTTGTGCACAGATACTCTACCAAAAGATCATGGTCTCCGACTTCGCCTGGTTAATGCTTTCTTCGACCGGTCTCACCACCTTCGTTGTCTGACCTTTGTTCATCAACCCTCCTTCATGCAGTCGCTTGAGTCGGCCAGCGTAGCTCAGGATTATGGAGAGCCGTTGCTCTATGCCATGTGCGCCCTTGGCGCCAGGTAAGCAACCCCCTTTTTGTGCTGCGTATAAGAGGCAACCTAATCAGTTATCCGGCCCCAGACACATCTACTTTGATGCAACGTTCACCCTAGATGGCCCCGAACGCGACTCGCTTCCAAGCGTGATCCCTGGGCAGGCATGGGCTGAGAGGGCGAGAAAGGAGATATTAGGAGAGATGCATGCTCCCACAGTCCAAAACCTCATGGTAAGGCTTACCTGAGCATTTATTAGTCGACTATCCCGTTTAACCTAACTTGTCTGATAGACAGTAAGCCTTCTCTGTGAATATGGGCTTCGCGAGGACCAGCATGCCTTGGTCTTCATTTTACTGGCTTTTCTGCATCGCGCCATACGGTTGTTGGGCTTGGATTCGCCACGTCCCCTTCCCAGTCATCCCACGACGGCTCAGATGATGCAACGGGAAATAGAAAACCGCATCGTTTGGGCCAGCTTCGTCATTGATAGTCTTACGGCTAATGGCGTTGAAAAAAACATGTGTTGGAAGGATCACATACCAAGCATTCCGCTGCCTTGTTCCGACGATTGCTTCAATACATCCCAGCTTTCCGCACCACAACACTATCTTTTGCAGATCGAAGACTCAGGAATGCGTACCGCCATTTCGGAGCTGGATTTGTCGGCTCTTTTGGTTGTGGTTGTGCGATTGAGAACAAAAGTAATGCAGTAAGTTAATACTTCGCTTTCCACAAGCTTTTCCGCCTCTATTTCCGTTCTTCGCTAATGACTTAGACTTATTCGCGTTGCCGACCCTGGCATGCGCATTTGGGAGCCGTCGTCGCAATTCGTCATAATCATTGATCAACTTATCGCTCTGTACAATAATTTGCCAGAACGATATTATCTCACAGATGCTAATCTATACGAGCTCAAAGGCAAAGGAATGCTCGGGGCTGTCTTTGCGCTACATCTCTTTATCCACGCCGTCATCTTCGATCTCACCCGCATTTCACTAGCCGGCTTCAGCTTCCCGCTGGCACCAGCCTTCAAGAACTCCCCAGTTGAATTTCGCGCACACTGCCAAAGTCTATGCCGCTTCCATGCGAGTCAAGTTTCCGACATCATCCGCACAGGATTGAGCTTCGATCGTAGTGCTTTCGATGACCTCTTTAATCCCGATGCGACCATTGAATCGACCAAAGTACAGATTATCTACGCAGCGACTGTGGACCAATCCCCCCAGACCTTGCAGGTCACCAGAGACAATATCATCAGCAACTTGAACTTTCTTTTGACCATCCATAATCGTGGAAAAGAGGCGCCGGCACAGTTTGTGAGTTTTGATGGGCCAGTTTATGTATTTGCCGAACGAGGTGCTAACTGCAAACCAGATTCGTGGCATTATTCCACTGTGCCATCTCTTTGGCTTTCGAGACATTGCAGAGCGATATCAGGAAACACTTGGGTTCGTTCTTAATCTCTGATCACTTCCAGTACGTGCTGTTGACTGATATCCAGCCTTAGCATACCAATCGATCCAGCTGAAGTCACAGGATCAGCCGATGATCACCACCTTGTAGCATTAGCCTCCTTCCGACGAGGGAGAGTGCAGCTTCAAGAATCTCAAGCGACGGGGGGTGCCAAGACGATGTCTTCAGGAAACGACAACAAATCACCGTTAATCCACGCGAGTCAGGGCATCATCTATGAAGAGGCGGTGGACAAGAGTGGCGGCGGCGATTTTACAAGTTCGCTGCCAATCTTGAGGCCGACGTACCCCCCGATCGAGGTAGCACCTGAACTGATGAGCCAAAGCCTGGCGCAAAGGAATCCCCTTCAAATTATGCCATCTGCAGGTGTCATGGTGCAAAATGGAGCCATATTGCAGCCTTCGGTCGACGACTATATTAAAACAGCTGATGAAATGTCGACATATCTGACGTGGGGAATGACTGAAGTACCCCATTGGATGAACTTGCCTGACCCAATGCTCCCTGGGTGAGAAATGGGTGCCTGCTAATTCTAGTTACTTGAACAAAACGAATCATGTACTTCAGGGACTGTCATATTTTGAACCCAGCTAGCAGTGGATAAAGCGCAGAAGAGGAGAAGTTACTTTCCAGCGGTTTACCATCCCAAAACAAAGAATAAACGCAATATGAGGCTGCTATGTGTGACAACGACCGGGAGCTCACGAGCAAAGCATCTCAAGGATACACCCCGATCGCGGTAAAGCACCACAGGGTTTGTGCTCACGGTTGTCACAGCTATCTTACGCGCAGGCCTCCTTGTCGAAGCAGTGAGCTGTTACAACGCCTGCAACTCAGCAAAACATTGACTGCTAAATCGACATCCTCCGATGCGAAGATTGGCGGCGAGACTCGGCGTGGAAATGAGACTCATGCGATACTGGGCGAAGGGTTGTGCGACAGGCGAGAAGCGAATGCCTTGTCCTCAAAAGTCTTTAGCCAATAAACGAATCATACTATTTACTGTGCTCTGCATAGGTAAACTAACCCCCCTGGGTGAGGTGGAAGAAGAGGTTGAACTCGGCAGATGGGCGAGGGTGTTAATAGCCTGTTCATCTTGATACGCCCACTCAAATGCAATATTGTGATATTGTATTTCGGAACTATACCATCCAAATGGTCAACATGACACACTCGAGCCTGATGTCGTGTTTATATAACATTTCATTATATGAAACCGCCTGTATATGTAGTCTTGAAGTTTCGTTGTGTAAAGAGGAGAGAGATGACCCAATAGTTTGGCCTATCCGACTCCGACTCCGTATCCACATCACGTAGGGGATATCTCGACACATGCCCCAAGCCTCTGCAAGTCTCAAACCCCCGACGAGAAACGCCATCTTCCTTTTCATCTCTAGTTTAGCTCATCGTAACCAATTTAAATGCCAACTGCTGTATCGCATCACGGTATGACTCAACCTGGAGAGTCGAGACCGAATTAGGCAAAGACCGGGGCGCTGCTGCAACTTGCACATGCCACTCACCACCCGACACCACGAGGATAAAATGGTCGCTGTTTCCGCCGTGTTTCGTTGTTTTGTATTTTGAATCATCTGCTCTACGCTGCATCACTGTCATCATGGCCGGTGTTGATGCTGACCCGGATCAGGCATTCGAAATTGTAGAGCGAGATGCGGTACCCGCGCCTCCACCACAGCCAAACGACTCACACGAACAACGAATTCGCAGCCTGGAAAAATGGCTCCAACCAACCGACTTTCTCTCCCCAGGGAGCGAGTTCATGAAACATTTACACTCACATGTGCCTGGAACTGGCGGGTGGATCCACAAGTCGCCTGTCTTTCGCAGTTGGGCCAATGTCGACGCCAACTCTGACCATGATCATGATGGGGGCTCGTGTCTCCATGTCCGGGGGGTTGCTGGTAGCGGAAAGTCTGTCTTTTCAGCCAGTACAGTGCGCCAGTTGCAAGAGTCTGGCAACATTGTTCTCTTCTTCTTCTTTCGTCAGATTGTCGACAAGAATCACAGCGCCAACTACCTTGTGCGCGACTTTACTGCGCAACTGCTTTCTCATTGTCCTGCTTTGGTAACCACTTTGACGGCCATATCGCAGGATCATGCCATCAACCGTAATGAGAGCAGCTTGGTATGGCCTGCTCTCGCTGAGGCTCTTACTAAGAGTGTCACAAAGAATGTGTACTGCGTTGTGGACGCCTTAGATGAGATGGATGATGGTGACTTTGAGGGCATGACGAGTCGTCTTGTTGAGCTGAGCACCGCCGCACCTGAGAAAATCAAGGTTATGATGACGAGTAGGCCGCTACCTAAGATTGAACAGGCGTTTAGTAACCGCGGAATCATCAGGCTGAAGCTTGACCCTGCCCTACTTTTCCCAGATGTGGTACGTTATGTTAACGCCAGGATGGCTACTCTCGAGCCTCCGTTAAGCGACGACAAAAACGAGCTGATAAAGCAAGCCATCTGTGAACGAGCCAACGGACTCTTTCTTCACGCGAGACTTATTGCTGATAATTTAGCCGAAGGCTTACGGGATGGGCATATCACTGAAGAGACTCTGCCTAGCAGTCTGGATCGACTTCCACGTACACTCCGAGATGTGTACGAGGACATGTTAAAAGAACATGCTTATCGCAGCGGAGTCACCGCGGAGCAACAAGCCAAGGTCCTCATGTGTGTGACGCATGCGAGTCGACCGTTACGATTGATTGAGCTTGGATCTCTGCTATCCAATATGCTGAATATAAGTCTTGGACAAGGAAAGGACTTGGCGCGGCGGAGCTGCGGGAGGTTATTGGAGCTCCTGGAAGATGAGAGCGTGAGCGTTATTCACCATTCGTTTACCGAGTTTCTGCACGATGCCACGAGAAAGAAGGACGCCGCTGCTTTCCCTGTTCTTGACGATATAGCTTCACATGAGATGCTTGCGGTGCTAATGTTGGAATATCTCAATGGCTGCCCGCATTTCGACGTCACTATTGATGACGAGAGAGAGGCAAATTACGACGACTACAATTGGCAGGGCAAAGAGAGAAAAAGAAGGGAAGATGTCGCAACCAAATTGAGAGAGACACACCCCCTTGTCTCCTACGCTGCTGAAAACCTCGCATTTCATCTTAAGAATGCATCAGTGCGGCCGCTGGCCGTTGTTAGAGAAGCCCTGGCTCGCTATTTGTGTCCTGGAAAGCCAGCTTTTGAGACGTGGATGCTGATGAATTGGAGTGATCGACTATCTGGCTCTTTTACTGTCTTCCACCTTGCCACTGCTGTGCAATCCCAACTTGCCATGCCACTGGCGGTAGTCGAGCTGTTTGAAGGAAACGAGCCAACACTCGTCGACGCTCGTGATTCAGATGGCCGTACTTCATTATCCTACGCCGCCGAGAATGGCCATGATGAAATTGCCCAGTTTCTGCTTGCGAAAGGTGCAGACGCGGAGTCGGGTGGTAATGATGGCCTCATGCCCCTACACAGGGCGGCATTACGTGGTCATTCGGGAGTTGTTCGACTTTTATTAGCCGCTGGTGTTGACCCGCTGATTAAAACAGTCCCAGTCTTCAGGGAATTTGATTGTTATGAAGGGTACTTTGTCACTTATACAGAGGAGCAAGCGGAGAGTCGGAGAAAGACCGCTTTGTCATGTGCCTTCCGAGGAGACAAACCCGAGGTTGTCCAGGCGTTTCTGCCCTTTATTCCACCAGACTCTGTGAATAGATACTTTCACCAGGTCAATGACGTGGAGAATGTAGAGGCCATTCTGAACACGGGCAAAGTCGACATTGAATGCTTCCAGAACGGCAAAACAAGGCTGTTTAGGGCAACCGAGTCACACAAGCTAGATTTGGTCAAGTTACTCCTCAAATATGGTGCAGACCCGAACATGAGATGTGCCCGGGGGCGATCTTACGACTACAGCGGCAATATCACGCTACAAATCGACAACGAACGAGGGCCAACACCTCTTCATGCGTTTTCTTCTCCAGAGGAGAGGAGTATCTTTATGAAGGATGACGTGAAAGAGGCGGAAGAATGCGTCCGAGTGCTTATAGAAGCCGGTGCAGATGTGAATGCCACAATGGATTGGGCCTACTCTCGACGTGGCCAGAATCTGACAGCTCTGCATCTCGCTGTGCAGAAGACTAGTACGACGTTTGGATACTGGGGTTCGTTGGACAAGTCTGAAGAGATTCTTGCCAAGGTGCTCCTCGCAGCAGGAGCAGATCCTAACGTCCGGACGGACAAAGGAAACACACCTATGCACATCGCTAACCCGGAGAAGCCCCAACTGCTCGATATGCTCGTTGAACATGGGGCAGATGTAAACGCTGTGAATGCGTGGGGAAGAACGCCTTTGCTGGAGATTATCACCAACATGGGCACTTCGTCTGTTTTTAACCAGCTGAAACCAGATGTCCATACGTTCAACAAGCTCGTGGATCTCGGGGCCGATGTACACGCTACAGATCAAAACGGGGATAATTTGTTTCATCATATTATGGGGAGCATCGGGTTCCTTTCTGATAAAGAGTTTTTGCCTTTAATCCGACAATTGGCAAACTCTGGCGTGGACTTGAATCGCCGTAATGGCAAGGGTCATCCGCCTCTGTGGAAATATAATCATCCTGCTCCTACGGACAGCGACGAGGAACTTCTCCGAGTGCTCGTGGAAGCGGGCATGGATATAAACGCGTGTGACGAGGAGAGAGGCGAGACTATTCTATGGGTCCTCGGCAGGAGATTCGAAAAGAACCTCAACCCTATGAAAATGTTCATCCGTCTGGGCGCTGACCCCAAGGTATCCGCCAGAGACGGCAGAACTCTTTTGCACGATGCGGCAAAAGAACAACAGGACGCCGGTTGGTTTCGCTATTTGGTATCGGTAGGCACAGATCCAGAGGTACTCGACACCAGAGGAGACACGCTCATTCACTCGGTGCTTCGCTCCACTTGCGAAGATAAGAATCTTCCTGAGATAATGCAAGTCTTGGTCGATGCTGGTGTCGCACCGCTTGCCAAGAATACAACTGGCCAGACGGCGCTACACGTGGTGAAGAGCTTCGGTGTCCTGGAATATGTGCTCAAAACCCCCCTTTTCAAGGGTTTGGATATCAACGAGCAGGATGTGAATGGCTTTACCCCCTTGCACCACGCTGTAGCTCTCGGAGAAATAGAGATTGGGACTCTTCTCCGCGCTGGGGCTGATCCAACGATCCTCGCGGCGGATCATCTCTCCTTGCTTCATCTTGCCTCTCGTAAGGGAGCTGCTTCCATCGTCAACCTTCTCCTATCAGAGTACCAACGTCGAGGCGTGCTTGAGAAATATGTGAATCTTCTGGGCGAGGGTAGAGCACCACTACATTACGCTTGTTGCTTTGGACGGCCGGAGAGTGTCTGGGAGCTCCTCCGACATGGTGCAGACCCTTGGCTGTTAGATGCCAAAGGCCTTACGCCGCTTCATGCCATGGCCGAGTTTGAGCCTTCGGAACCTAAATGGAACTCGCCCAGAACTCGCACAGCGGATATTGTTACCATGTTGCGCCAAGCTGGAGTCGATTTAACCGTCGAGGCAGTCGTTGAAGAAGAAGACGGGACGACCAGGAATGTGACTCCCCTGGATCTGGCGGTAGAGAAGAAGTGCTGGGATATGGTACGCGCGCTGGTTACAAGCGGTGTCAAAGTCCGGGACAGCTACATGAAATCCCCAGAGTTTATCATGGCCACAGATAAACACAAAGCAGCCGAAAAGGTCCGTCGTATCTCGGTTACATTCCCTAGTCGGCAACATGGTAGCATGTGGCGGGGGCGATGGTCAGTCTCTGAAATGGATCGTCCCCAAACTCCTAAGAAAGAGAAGCTATACATAGCTGACGGACAGACCATATTGGATACACAAGCCAAAGTAGTGACTGGACTTGACAAAGTTGACCTCTTAAAGCGTGCTCTTGATGATGGGGATTACGACAGTATTAAAGAGTACGCATCGCTAGGCGGAGATGTGTTTGAACTGGACCAGTATGAGGACAATACTCTCCTCCATTTACTCGTCAACGGCGGATATGTAGACCTGCTCGAGTACTTTGCCGACCAAGTGCCCCTGTTTGAAGCCCAAGAGCGGGTTCAGACAGACGAGGAAAGTTGCGGCACGCTTCTTGGCACAGCCTGCGAACGGGAACTCCCATCTTTGAACATTGTACAGTTCCTCGTTGACAAGATTGGTGTTGATGTCAATGCTGTCTATAACCGACGAGGATATTGTGACAAGTTACGAGGAGCCACCGCGTTGCACATCCTCGCGAGCGGTCACTGCTTTTGGCAGATTGAGGCACTCGAATACCTTCTCTCAAAAGGAGCGAATATCGAGGCGCGGAACAAAGACGGCATGACACCGCTGTTGGCGGCGCTGGACCATAGTTATCCGGATGGTCATTGGCGAGAAGAGACGGTGCGGGTACTGGTGAAGCATGGAGCCAATGTAAATGCGACCATTCAGCAGACGGAAGACATATCAGAGCCGGTTAGATGGAACAATGGCTTCTCCGCATTGGAGATGTCGGACCGGGCGGGGATCACGAGACTCTTGCTTAAGAACGGAGCGGACGCCAAGTGTGTTCCGGGACTTATAGCCCGTATGGTAGCGAGATGGAATGATCCAGGGACGATCAAGGTGTTGTTGGAAGCTGGTTTGGATCCGAACGAGCTACCATCTTTAGGCAAGGAGGGAGAGGACGACAGACAAGGGGCGGAAAACGTGCGATATGCGCTCCATGAGGTATCTCGACCGTCAACTAGTGATCATCCAGAGGCAGACCTTCATTTACGAAAGCAGGCGACCATGGAGTTGTTGCTCTTGCACGGCGCTGATCCATTCAAACTGTACCCGGATGGAAGATGTCTGCTCTATACTGTCGTCGAGGAACAGGGTCAAATAGACAGTTTTCTCCCTCAACTCTCACAGACAGATATCGACCGCAAGGACAAGCGCGGACGCACCCTTCTAACCTTGGCTTGTATTCCGACTGTCCCTGTAGGACCGCCAACATACGACGAAGAGAAATCACCATGCGTGAGTATCGTGCCTGATTCCATCCTTGGTTTGTTAAAGCACGGGGCTGATGCCGTCGCTGTCGATGACGAAGGACGTACACCGCTGCATTGGTTCTGTACGCTTCCCGGAAAATACGATGAGAAGCAACGGCAGGCTTTTATCACGCTGGTTGAACACGGTCCCGCTGCCGTCAACATAGCCGACAAGCAAGGCCGCAAGCCTCTTCATTTGGCACTCGCGGCATATGCGGATCGTCTCCAAGGATCCCTATTTGCGGTCAAGCACCTCATATCCGCAGGCTCTGATATAAGTGAGCCAGATCCCGCGACGGGTAATTCGACGCTTCACCAGCTCGCACCTCGTCTCGTAGGTCACGCCGGAAGAGCCGTCAAAGCGACCTCACTCTTCCGCAAGCTTTCCACCAACCTCGATATCAACGCCCGGAACGCCTTGGGCGAGACTCCGGTGATGCGTTTCGCGAGTGCTGGGTGGGAAGGCACACGTGATCCCCAGCACAAAGTTTCGCATCCAACATATGCTATTGCCAATGATGTGACGCACGCGAGGGCGCTGAGCGTCTTTGTGGATCTGGGTGCGGACTTGATGGCTGTGGATGCACGGGGGCAGACGCTGCTGCATGTAACGGCGAGAAGGGGGCTTCCGAGTGGTAGCTCGGATTGGGATCAGCGGGAGGATTTGAAGGGTGCGTTTGAGAAGTTGATGGAGCTTGGTGTTGATCCGCGGAGGGAGGATGGTGAGTTGAGGACGGCTATTGACGTTGCTGTTGCGAGGGAGTTGCGTGATGTTATTCAGTTGTTTAGGGAGAAGAGGGAAGAAAGGAGTGTGGAAGAGAGCGAGGAGAGTGAAGAATAAGGGTAGTGGTGGTTATGAGTAGAAGTTGCTTTAATGTTTTAGGTTGGATAGTCTTTATGGGTCGGGAACTTGGCTATATACGACTGCCAGCTAATAATGATACTTTGCAGCCTGATGAAAAATATAACAGGCTTAAAAGCTTCTCTTATGTCAATAATAGCATTGCTGTAATAGTCAGAGAGCAAATACGTTTTGTAAAGCTGCCAAGCTTTTTCACTATTCCAGAAGTATCTAGTAAGCCCATTTCTTAGATCAAGTAATCAAAAGTTCATGGTGTCATGTCGCCAGTGATCACACATATGGAGAAGCCTTACTGACTAGAGGACAACTTGATTGGGTCTTACAGGATCAGTAATATTATGGAAACAAGCATGTTTCTCTTTTCCGCCAGCTGCACTTTTCGCTTTCCACTACTGGAGAGAGATCGGAAATTTAAGAGTTCTATCGAGATAAATATTTAATCATTAATGATGTTGATGACTATAGGAAGAGAGAGCTAAGGAGTGTTTTGAAGAAGCTATGTAGGAGGAAATCTTGCTTATATTTTGACTGGAGGCTTTACTTACCCTTCTTCGTCTTTTGATGCTGAATCTATACTCCTATTCGTGGAATGAGACGCTGATGGTTCGGTGGGGGGGGGGGGGGGGGGGGGGG